TTCTGGCCCGAGAGAGAAAGGGGAAGAAGAGCGATAGAGAGAGGAGATGGTAAAGAAGTAAAGAAGGTCATGCTTTTCGCGTCTCAGCCCCTCGTCCCGTCCCGCCACTGCCATGCGATGGGCCGAGCGAGCAAGCGAGCAAGCGAGCGAGCGAGACTGCTGAAATGTGTCTGTCTGCTCGCTCTCGCAGCGATTGTACTGCTTTGTCCTGGGGTTCGTTTCGTTGGTCGAATCCGCGAGTGAGGCCGGGATGACGAGAATCGGTCGTCGTGGAGGGTAAGGTAAGCAGCCCATGGCGGATCCCGTTAGATCTCCTTGATGTTAGGGACAACAAGATCGTTAAACTTCTAGGGCACCTGCAGCAAAGGGTTGGTCTGGATGGATGCTGAGGTCAAGCCTTTTACTAATAAACACAACATTCCAAAACTCAAACCCAATATATCCTCTCGCTCTTCAACTCCCCCTTCCCGACTTTCGCTTTGTTCGTCAGCAACTACGCTGCGCCCTCTCTCCTTCCCCTCCCATTTAGCATCCACTCCACCCATTTCTCCTCCCCTCTGGTGGGTCCCGAACCGAGCGCATTTCAGGGAGGAGAAACGAAACGCAACGAGCTCGATGAAGAAGAAGAAGAAGAGGAAGATGAGGAGCAGAAGAAGAAGAAGAAGAAGAAGCAGCGGCAGCAGCAGCGGGGACGAGACGATGGAAGGATGTACCGAGAGAGGGGAGGGAGCTGACCGCCAATTCAACTGTGGGGCCGGTCTAATCCACTTCTTAATCCAATCATCTTATCGGCCAGTTACACAGTTATAACCACCTATATCCTCCTAACCAAACTGCCGAACAAGGCCGACCGGGGCCGAACCTGAATTCAATGGACAGGACGTACACAAACCGGCGCTGGTGCTGGATAGCGCTGGCTCGCTGGCTGGCCTCGACCCCATTCCACTGACGTCATGGCATTTCTACCGGGGGTAAATATACTCTCTGACACGGGAAATCAGATCTCAGGACCGGCCCAGGACGTGCCCCATTGGCCCCGCCGCGGCGCTTTTAACCGCTACCGTGTGGCCGATCCGAGATTGAAGCTGGGTTCCTGGCTAACTGGGTCGCCGGTCTCCTGCCAGCGGTTTCGGGCTTCTGTCCGTCCGTCCGTCCATCCTTTCTCTACGCTCACCGCGTTGTTTAGATTCGGCCGACCGACTTGTCGTCACCGGGCAGGATGATCGTGGGGTGAGTTGGGTTGCCTTCGCTTAACCCGACCTGCTCTGGCCGGGGAAGGCGAGGGGAAGGGACGGGTTAATAATAAGAAAGAGGGTATGTACTAAGTATGGAGAGAACAGTAGAGTCGACACAGAAGGGACGGACGCCGTCTCGCCCCGCCCCGTCCCGTCCCCGTCCCCGTCCGCGTCGCCGTCAAAGATTCGACCCGTCGCGGTAGTCGCGTAGATGAAGCCGGCCACTGTAGGCATGATCGATCGCACATGCACATGATGCCTTCATCATCCGTCGATTAGCTTCACGCTGCCCTCTTTGCCTGCCATGCCTCTCAACCACCCGCTGGCACTGCCGCACTTTCTTTCCTTCTTTCCGTCGTCCGCTCTCGACAAGAACTTACGGATCTTGCCATTTGGAGATTCGATGCCCGCCGAATCTTTTCCTCCCGCCGTAGAAAGTGTTTCCATGTGACCACCCGTGCTCCATCTGTCTGAGCTGTCTCGACCTCCTGCCTCGGTCGACATGTCCTCACCGTGAGTCCACGATGGGGGCTTGTTTTAATCCGCGCTCCTTTTCCCACTGCCCTTTTCCGCCCATAATTTCTGTTTCTCGCCCTTCTCATTGGGCCCTGGGCTCCACCTGTATTTGGTCGGACAGGTTTGGCTGCCAGTCGCCTCAAGTTTGGATTTCTTTTGTTTCCTTCCGTCGAATAACTTCTCCTTCGCCCGATGGGGTAATTGGACCAAGAGTAACTCGCGGTTGAAATTCTCCTCTGGCTCGACCGGAAGAGCATCTCCCCTTTCATTCGGCTGAAAATATCTGCAGTTTGGACAAACTATTTTGGCCTGGCTCGACTATCATAAGCAGATCCAGCTGATGCGAGCCGTAACATGCTGCCGAGAGATGAAATAGAAAGTGCTCGCGCAAAATTAACAACATTTCCTCTACATACCCAGACTGGAGATGGCACCACGTACGTAGTCGCACTGGAGAGAATATTTCAGATCTTTGTCCGAAATGTGTCTACATGTTTTGTCCTTTCGGGGAGTTACTAAAATAATTTTACTCGGCCCACACCCCCGAGATGCTTACTCATTAATCCGCTCTATTTTATCCGTCGTTTTGGTGCGTAAGTATTGACAAACACGGAATATTAATAATAGGATGCTTAGTATGTGCGTTTTATCATCACCGTTGAAATCATGAGTTTCGTGATACTTCATTCTAAACATGAGAAAAGCATGAAAAAATATGTATATAATATTCAGGCTCCGATATGTTCTGAATCATAGGAAAAGCATGCAGTAAACATCGGAATCGAGTTCTGAGAATTATTACGAAGGTGGCATCTGCGGTGGAAAATAGAGCAGAAAACGTACTTCTCGTATTGACTGGCGCTGTCTCTGAGGTTACCCTCATTAAGCGTACCGATATTTTTCCAGTTATATCCATTGAAATATCCCGAAAATGGACAATATCCGCAGGAAAGGACAACGTGGAACCAGGCGAAGGAATAAGGAAAATTCCCGGGGAGGAAGAATCAGAAGGAAAGAATGATGATACCGCTGCGGTTGGTCCAGTAACAACATCACCAGCTGGTAAGTCCTATTAACTGACTCGTCGTCACTCATTGGCTCTTTCTGGTCTTAAGACCGAAAAGCTAAACTGGCCGTGGGGAAGCGGTCACGTGGCACCATGGCAAGCGTGTTCTTTACTCGAGAGAAGGCTCCACGCTTTCACCATGACCGCAACCCAGATCGGGTTCTCACCAACGGTAGATAAAAGCAGATAAAAGCCTGCAGGCCATCCCTTCAAACCCTAACTCTCGGTTTAACGTAACCTGACACTGATCACCCGGACGACGTCCGAGTTAGCTGGCTTTAATCAGCTCCCGGAAGGCCATTATTAGGACCCTGTACTTACGCTTTGCTTATTTCCAACTCCCTATGGCCTCTGACAGCCGGGTCTCGCTTTGACAACTTTATGAAGAAAGGCGATGGATGCGAATGCGTGTGGATTTTGGATTCATCTCCATGTATGTGTGTATATGCATGCATGGATGACGACCGCATGGATACCCCATGTCATGTGAGGCGCGGAAGCGTCCTCGTGGAATGGATGTCACTGTCAATAATGAATTTCGCGATTGCGCCTCGTTCGACGAAAATATCTCCGGCCCTCTTTCTTTTCTTTGCCTTTCCTTTCCTTTCCTTTTTAGAGCTTAACCTTTAGTGCCAGTTATTTCCCCCTTTTATCACATGTTTTTGCAAGCCATTCTTAAAGGCTGCTTCGCACCTTCTTTTATCAACGGAGATATTCTCATCGTCGGGTCCTAGATTAGTCCCCACTCTGCAAACCTATGGGTGAAGGTTGCTTCTACATCATGCCCAAATAATATAAATTCCAGCCGCAAAAGCGGACGACATGAAGATGTTATCGTAGGGCTTCTCACCACATATATTATATATAACATGCCACTCGCTCAATCATGAATTTCCCCTTCTCATGCATTCGCTTATTTGCCTAGCCCTGCTCACACCGAGAGGGACAGAATAAAGGGTACTATATTTCCCACACGGTGTACTATAACCAACATAACGGAATGATCTTGTTCGGAACCGCAGCTCGTGCCCGGATGCGTCTCGTCAGATATACGGCAATTATAATATCGGTACACCATTCCGTTTGTCCGGCTTGGGATGGTGCCCGCAATATCTACCGCTAATCGAGAACACCGCCGGATCATGGAGGGCGAGTCGGGCAGCTGCATGTAAAGAGGTACCGGAAACTGCCTAATCACCGGGAAAAAATCGAAGATGCGGGTCCTTCCCACAGTGGTTACCCCCCTCGGCCACGCACCTAACGAGCTAACGGTTCGGAATTAATTTGCATGCAGCGAACAGGACGCATCGACTTAAATTAATGAGCCCCGGAGTTACCAACTAAGCTACCGAATTTAAACTCGCGGTGGATGAGAAGGACCAGTGGGGAACTCGACGACGTGAGGTCGAGGAGGTACCGTCACGGACTAAATAAAGTCGAACCATTTTATAATTTTCGCAACGTCGCAGTTTCGCCATGTCCCTCTCGGAGTAACCATCGCGCTCGCTCTTCCTTACCGCGGACGGCTTGTAGGTTGACCGACCGATACGCAAAAGGAACCGTAGTGCAGTGTAGTTACCTGGTAGGGATTATTTGGAAGCGGACCCGACGGTGACGGATGGGGGTAGCGCATTGGACTTATTGGAGATATAGTTGCCGGGCGCAGTCCTGTTAGCTCACCGGCATCAATCACGAGAAGGAGAAGGTTGCACACCGTTCAAAACTCCACGGTGGAGGAGCGGGAGGAGGAGACAAAGCCGTGGGCGAGTGAAAGGGAGAGGCCGAAAAGGTGAAAGCCGCGGGAGTCATGAATGGGAATATTCGCGGGCGCGGGGGAGAGGCGGACACGAGGGCGCGCCGCGGTTAAACAGAAGACGGTAATAGTGACAGCGCGAGCTAACCACGCGGTTGGTTGGTTGGTTAAGTGTGAAGGAAGGACAGTCTGTACCTGCCCCCGCTTCAGCCCAGCAGGACGGAGGAGGAAGAGGAGGAGGAGGAGGAAGAGGATGGTGGTGGGCTGAAAAGAACGGATCAGGATGGATGCATGGATGCATGGCGGATGCGGGCGCGGGTCAGGCATGTCCGGCACCGTCCGTTGCCTGTCATCTGGTCGCTGGCCATCCACACATCCGGGCTCAACAGGCTGCCGACCTCCGCTCAGCTCCCATTCTTCCCCGCCCCATCATCATCGTCCGCTCTCCCCTTCTTCCTCTCGCCCTCGACCGATCCAGTTTCATTCGTTCGCTCTCTCGCCCTCCTCCCTTCGTACCCTCGCCCTCCTCCTCCTCCCCTCCTCCTCCTTCATAAGGCCTCGCCCTCTCGTCGTGTGTGCGCGGAACGCTCACTCTGCTTGTGCACTGCTGTCGTAGTCGCTGCTGTGCAGGGCCCAGTTTGCGCGTCGAGTCGAGTAGTAGTTGTTCTCTGTTCATCCATTCCTTCTCTATCTCTCTCTTTCTTTCTCCTCCTCGATCTCTCTCTCTCTCTCTCTCTCTCTCGCTCTCGCGCGCGCGCTCTCTCTCTTTCTCGGTCTCTTCGCTGGCGCGATAGCATCTTGCTTCGATCTGTAATTTCTCTTGACATCTTTCTCGTTCGATACCATCATTATTATCAACCCACAACACCATCACCACCAACCATCCAGTCGTGGGCTTGGGCCGTCGTGTCGTGACGAGCTCGGTCGGTCGGGTTCGTTCGAGGTCTGTGATAAAAGTTTCTTCCGGCTCTCGAGATCGTTCGAAGGTCGCGCGAGTGAGTCTTGCTACGACTCCTGGTGGTCAGATCCGTGGGGTTTGAGTCGAGGCTTGGACAAAGAGAAGCGTAGTTGAGGCGTCGGTAGTGGAGGTTGGAGGTTATCAGAGCGTGGACGGGAGGAAGAGGACTCACTCAATAGGTTGCAAGGATATCGGGAAAGGAATAAAGGAGGAAGAGAAGACGAGATAGGAAGAGAACGAACGAAGCCCGGTCCTGTCGTGGTCTGCTGTCGGTGGGGCTTCGAGTCTTGTTCGTTCGGTCGGTCGGTTGCTCGAAAGGCGGTAAGGAAGTGCAACAAAAGGGAGAAAGGAAAGGAAAAGTAGCGACGAGTAGACGAGGGAGATAGCGCGAGAAGGAAGTCCCGCTCCGCATCGTTTTCTTGTGCTGTCTTGAGAGAGGGAGCATCGGTTGTGATCGGTTTCTGGCTTCGGGCTTTATACCACGTGGTTGCTTCTTCGAGTTCTCTCTCAGATCCTACGTCTTTCTTGTCCTGCGACTTGGAAGCCACGGATTTCGGTTTCATCGGCGGGCACGTGTTTGCTCTCTTTCTCTCCCTCTCCCACTGCTCCAAGGGGCATATGCTCTCGCCTGCTGTCCTCCGTCCTCGTGGTGACATCTAATTCGAATCGGGTTCCTCTCGGTGTCCCACTCTTCGCGGATCTGCTCTCTCGTTGCCAGTGTGAACAGGCGCCGGTGCCCTCATCCATCTGCGTTCACAACAGACGACTCGTGAACCGGAAGAGAACGGAGCCGCACCGACCTTGTGCAGTTCGCTCCTCGTGCTCTACATCACACGATTTCTCCATCGTCTTCCCAGTCAGTAAAAATAGACCCATTCAAGTTACCACCGGTCGCTGTGGCTAACTTACGTATTCCTTCGGGGCGATCAGGGCCAGAAGAACTGGAGACCGAAATGACTCGCCGTTGCTCCCACTGTGGTCATAATGGGCACAATTCTCGTACGTGTCCCGATCGTTGTCCTGATCGGGGGGTACGGTTATTTGGTGTTCGACTCACAACGAACGATGGTGCAGCGAACATGCGTAAGAGTGTCAGCATGGGCAATTTGACGCATTATGCCAACGCCAGCAACCCTCCATCCACCCCCGAGCATTCGGAGTCCGGAGCTGGTGCTGAGGGATACGTTTCAGACGGCCTCGTGCAGACTTCCAGCAACGCTCGCGAAAGAAAGAAAGGTGGGTTTCCATGGCCCTTTTGATGTTTCAATTTCCAGCCAAGGACATTTCTCGAGAGTAGACGAAGAGCCTTCAACTTAAGACCGCCAGCATGTTTTCCCCTTCTTCTTGCATGAGAGAGTGATTCTTTGGAATCAGTTAATAGCCAGCGTGAGGTCGCCCTCATGCACGGCCCTCGTAAAGGAAGCGGGGTGGTCATGGTTGGTTGGTGCTGCTGCTTTTGAGCACTCACCTGCATCGGAAACCGAGCCCTTGCCCTAGATGAAGCGGTCCACATCCAGTGAAAGCCACATTCACGTCTTTGCCGTGCATGATCGTTTTGAAATTCTGACATGCCGTCCATGGCGGTTGAAGTCTGTTGTCCCTCTACTAACTCGTGTTCATTCCGCTCGACAGGTGTACCGTGGACTGAAGAAGAACACCGCCTCTTTCTTCTTGGGCTCCAGAAACTTGGTAAAGGTGATTGGAGGGGCATATCCAGGAATTTTGTGCAGACTAGGACTCCTACTCAGGTGGCCAGTCACGCTCAAAAATATTTCATCAGACAGAGTAACCTGAACAAAAGGAAGCGTCGTTCAAGCCTCTTCGACATTGTTACGGAGTCGGTGAGTCTTGGTGCACTTTCTCTACGTAGATCTTGAGTTTGGGTGCTGTCCATGGATAGCTAGCCTTTCTTGGGTCAGTTGTTTTCGCTCGTGAGAAATATATTATCTAGAGGTGAGCACTCGTCGATGCTGGCTTTCTTACATGGCGTGCGCTTCTCTTTATGTCCGCAGGGTCCGAGGCCGATGGTCGAAGAGCCCCTCTCAAAGAGCCCTGACATGTCTGCTCCCCTCCACCAACTCAGCTTGAGCTCCGGAGGATTGTTCAACCACGGTGCGTTCTTCGAACAACAGGGAATGCCGCAACTGAACAGAGGGCCAGACATGTTTCCTCCGATGGCTCCCATGTCGGGAGTGTCGATGAGAAGTTATCCGATTGGAGCCCATCTCCAACAAGCTATTCCTCTGCCAGTGATGTCTCTGGGAACGGCCGAGCAGACAGGTGAGTCGACTGTCAGCTACGCCGGCGAATCCGTAACGGTACTACCGAGACCTGTGGCAATTTCTGCGGCCAGTGCTTCAGGTCCCGGCAGTGCAGCGTTGGCGGGTCAGTTAGGAATCGGAGGACCAAGTATGTACCCATACCACATATGGCCAGGTATTGCACCTGGGAGCTACAGCAAGCCCATGTCCTCGTCGCCGTCATCGAGTTCGAAGGTGGTGAAGCCAACTGCGTGTCCGGCCAAGATCGATGAAGGATCCGAGATGGCGAAACTCACTCTCGGACCTTCACCGTCAGCGGAGCCGTCGAACCTCACTTTGAAGTTCTCGGGCCACAGCGCGTTCGTCTCCAAGACCTCATTCAACAGCAACAATCTCGGTCCGAGCACTATTAGTGTGGTGTAGAACAGTGGAGCCCATTTGGCACCGCAGTGTGGTAGTTGACAGGGATTCGTTGACACAAGGTTTCGGTTTGCTGTAGACTAATTTTTTATGTACATAGTTACGACGATTCATTCTGCCAGAGGCCTGCCTGGTACGTTCCCCAGGTTGTAAACTACACAGAAAGAGAGAATTCGACGTCCCTGGAATTGGAATCTAGTGGGGCCTGCAGGGACAACGCATATCAGGAGTTTCATGCAGTTCATTTTGACTCTTTGTTAAGCAATGGTTGTGTGATGAAGGTGGCCATGAAATGAAGCCTTTTTCATATATGGCGAGAAGTGGCGAGTCTTATTTGTGCAAGGCTCTGCTGAACTCGTCTATTCATGACATTGCGGGCTCACAATCTCTCAAGAAGGTGAGAGTGGTGAGCTCCATGTGTGCAAGGTTGAGAAGGTTAGTAAAGTGCTTTGTTTCACCGACACTGGCAGTTGCATCCGAAGCTCTTAATTTGCAAAAAGCTTTAGCGCTGTGTCCACGTGCAAGCAAAGTAGGACATGATTCGGACTCTCGGTGTCGAGTTCATGGAAGTAAAATACTCTCCATATGGTTGAATCTCCGTCCGTCGCTCACTAGGCCAGCTTTCTGTCGGAAGGAGCTTGCGGGGTGTTTCAGAAATGAGGCGTTACAGGACCCGGTTGAGACATTCGAGTAGTATAGAGATAGATGGCCTTAGTCAGGTCGAGGTCAGGGCCCGTGATTTTTTATCTCGGATGTGCTGCGGGAGATCAAGTTTTTCAACTCTCGTTTGTGGATTGGAGTCACTATGTAGCCCTTTTGGATATTGTAAGCTGTGTCCGCACGTCCGACCTGACTGAGTTCCTATTTTCAAGCTTTCGAAAGAAAGAGTAGGGTCGTCATATGGAGGCATGGGTGATTGGTGAAATACCAAGAATGTACAGATTTTGGGGTCACGGCCCCTTTTTCTAGAGCAAGCAATTGTAGAAGATAAACCTGGAATATGAGAATCATCACCCTTATCATCATATCGACCTGTACCCAGTTTCCGCCACCTTCACCGGTTGCTGTCTATCTATCTGTCTGTCTGTCGATTCATTTTCTCTTCTTTGCCCTCTCATCTGCTCCACTGTCACCTTCCTCCTCCTCTCACTTGATTGATGGTCCAGCACACACAATGCTCCCTGCCTGCCTTTCTCCAGCCTGCGTTCTCTTCTCACTCACTACCACAGTCCACAACCCATCCCGTCCCTCCCTCCTCTTTCCAAATTTTCCAACGGCGCGACTCAACTCAACTCAACTCGCGCAGGTCGTCGCACCCTTCTGTTCGAGTCTGTCGGTTTGACCTTCTGGGACACTAGCGTGGTCGTCCAGTCTGTCTGTCCAGGTGGGGAGAGAGAGAGAGAGAGAGAGAGAGTCTCGAAGCATATCGTCGCCCTTTTGTCATAACTGCAGGCAGCCATGCATCCGAGGATTGTACAAGTGAAAGTGTCAAATTCGCTCTCGCACGTCAAGTGGGCGAGTCGAGACATGGGGAAAAGCCCAGCAGTACTGGGCTGTCACCGCACGCTGTACGCCTTCCCAAGCGCCTGACCATGATCTCTTGTCGGTCAAAGAACGCGTGGAATGAGTGAGATCCTCGTTTGACCGTATGCTTCCTCCGTCCTCTACTACTACACACACGCGGGAAAGGACTGCCGTCGTAGAGCGAGGCGTTACCCAGCACACAGCATCGTGATCGCCCACCCCCTACCCCCGAGGGCCGACGGTGTCCGCTATGATCATTGCAGGGGGAGAGGATTAAAAGGTCGGTAAGGCTTCGAATGCAGATCGGAGACCTTCCCTTCTGCAGAAAATGGGAAATGATCGTTTCTTCAGCTGCTCGAGAAGTACATACAAATGTACCCGAAACCGAAGCTTGGCGCTGCTCTCTTGGCAGGACGTGGATCCTCCGCCCACCATGTTCGATCGGTCCGGATCTGATTATGTACAGCTCTTAATGAGCTGCCGGTTGATCCTGTGTACCATCGCCACAATGCTCCCACTACTCCTCCTCGTACTCTGTACATCTATCCTGAAACTGTCGGCCCTCGCCCCTCCCTCCCTCCCTCCCTCCTAACCCCATCCCATGCCATCCCAATGTAGATAAGGTCCCGGCGGCCTCATGAGCGCCACTGCAGGCCATCATTCCACGACGCGAAGGTGTTCATGGCGAATGCTCGGATCGGTGGCCTCGCTGAATTGACGTCGCTTTATCTCCTGCAATTAAGGATCAGGTCACAGGTCAAAACGCCCAAGAACTCTGTTCCCGCCCGACTGATGATGATGATGGAGAAGAAGAAGTCCCATGGCCTCGTCCGTTCGTGGACTCGTAGAGATTGCACCCACGGAATCAGAACCGTCGTCCTCGTTCTTGATCCAGACGAGAGAGAATGTGTGCCCGCCCGGCCGCCATAGCCCCAAAGGTCGCCGCCATCTGGATAATTCTCGAGTGTGGCCGAGTCCCCCACCGAGACGGAGAATTTCACTTGCAGCCATCTCAGTCTTCCCTTCCCTTGCCTTCACGACGACGGCGACGACAACGACGACCTTTCTTCAGTCCCTTTCGTCACATCTGATGCACCATATTCCAGCTTCGCTTGAGGACGCCGCCGTCTTCGTGGGCACACAAACCTTCTTCGCTCCCGTCTCGCCCACCGACAGAGAGACCTTGACGAAGTGATGTGATGTGTGAGCTCGGATGACGAATCTGCATCCGATATCTTCTTATCTTCCAAGAGCCGTGTCTGACATTCTGGGCACATGGAGTGCGATACCTTACTCACTTCACTTCCTGCTCCCTCTTTGACAATTTCTCAGTCAGTCTCAGAGTCTCAACTGCCCGACCCCCATGATTGATACAGATGGAGCTTCCCGCTGAGCTTCCCCCCTCACCCTGTGCTCGTTGAAACTCGAATCATGAGTCAGTAAGTGGTCCCCCTCGACCCATGCATGAGCATGGATGAGCTTTTGGAGCCGTTAGTAGTGGAGATTGCTTCTTCTTCTTTCTCGAGCCAATTCGATGAGGGAGAGCATCCTGGTCTTGCTCGGCGGCTGGGGAATTGTAAGCGCTGGGCATCATTGAGTGCTGACAGTCAGTTTGAATGTCTCCTGTAAGCAGCGTGAGCAGATAAGGTGTTTATTTTGGGCTCTTTTTGAGCACCTTCACAAGCTCGCTGTGCCTCGGGCCTAAGCGGAATCTGAGCTGATGATGCGAGCCGAGGATGAATTTTGGAGGATGAATTTGTCTCGGTGAGCAAGTCATGCATTCATTCATTCGTTCGACCAACGAAGGTCGGAGATGGAACTCAACGCCACCTCCACCGTCAGAGGGAAAGCCAGAGGAGACAGAGAGACGGAGGGCTGAACCTCTCCTGCCCAACTGAGCACCACCGCCAGAAATCATATCTAAGAGTGAGCTGATCGACTCCGAAGCAATCAGGCCGGCAAGAAATAGAGTACCTCTGACCAGATGTCGATTATTGCACGTGATGAGAACGAAGAGGTTACACGAATTGTTGTCCTCGAGAAAAATGTTATGGGATCGAGAAGGATTTGCACTTTACTTTGGGACTCTGTTCTGTCGCCGAGGCAGGGACTTTTCCTTTTTGCCTGATTGATTGATTGATTGATTGATCCATTAAGAACAACAGTTTCAAAAGACATGTCACAAATTTCACTCTCCATTCAGCACACGGACCTTCCTTCACTTCAATGAATGGTTCTTTTGGCCTCAGAGGATCTTACAGGATCTTACAGGATCTAATAGCCATGAAGCGCACTCGTTTCATTTTCCCCTTTTGCTCCCAATACAATAATGAGATGCCAAAAATACATGTACAAGAACCTGCCATCAAACTAAAACGAGCAGGCTCCCCAATATCATTCATTATCTCGTACAGGTGACATCGGGGACGCTTCTCCTGCTGTGTTTGGGGCTCCCACTCCCCGACCTTTCACCAAGGTCAGGTAGCAAGGCTGGGTTCCATGTGCAGGCACAGCTTAAGCTAAATCAGTAAATGGAGCCGAATCATTCAACATCCAGTTCTGGAGCAACACAGTTTTCTGACCCTGTAGAATAATTATTACTCTGTTTGTGGTCTGTCTGGATGGAAATCATGTTCCTATGCGATTCCCTTCAGATCTGAGAACTGTCCATTAAACAATGAGCGAGTGAGTGACTCAACGGAGAATTAGAGGTCAACGAAAGGAGAGAATGGAACGAGCCCCTCCGCGAGACGAGGAAGAGAGAGTGGGAGTGGGGAGGGAAACCTCGAAGAAGAAGGGCATCCTGGTTCATCAAGGGGCATCAGTCACCGTCACATGTATGAATTGAATGAGCGACAACTTGTCCCCATTCCCAGCTCTCTCTCTCTCTGACTTCTCTGCCTCTCTGGAGTTCCAACAGCTCTTCTTCCCTGGCAAGCTGCTGCTGCTCTTGCTGCTGCACCTTCCTTCGCTCTCGCCCTCCTCCCCTCTCGGCCAGCATTCCGATTTCTCCGATTGCTCGTGGACAGTAAATTATGGAGATAGGCCCCAAATTGCATCACTCATGCTTACGTGGTTGAACTGCCCCTTCCACTCCCCCAGTCTCCGAAACTTATGTCTTTGTGTTTGGGGGTAGAGTTGGAGGCACAACAAAATTTCTCGGGGCATGCCCATGCCCCCTTTCAAGATCAAAAGGCATGCCCCCAAGCATGCCCGTATAATAATACGTACATTCTACCGTATCATAAATATACTTCTATGTAAATAAAATACTAAGTAGGATGTTTGAAAGTTTTTAAATCCCAGAAAAGACTAGAGCATAATTTCCAAGTGAAAAAAGTTTTATTTCCTCACTTATCCCACAGTCTATTTCTCTAAAATATACGTCTGTAGCTCTAAAGTATATGTATGAAAAAATATACGTAATGACTGTATGTATAAATGTTTTATACATACAGGCATGCCTCGTATAGAAAATTCGAATTAGGCATGCCCCCGTGCCCTCGCCCCGGGCATACCATTTGAGGTTGTGCCTCCAACTCTAGTTGAGGGGATGACCCTCCGCTTCCTCGCAGGGTTCAATGTTTGTTTTATTAGGTCTTGACTTATTTGCTAGTAATGTGGATCATTCAGAATGCGAGTGTTGTGGGCCTTGGAAACCTCATTAAGCAAGTTTAGGGTTGTAGTAGTTGTAAGTAGAGCTTGGTTTAATCCATGAGCTCTTCATCTCTTCCAGCTGTTAGGGATACTTATGACACCCAAAATGTGATGCACGTTGGATTCGAAGTTTTGTTCTCCCTTTACCTAAACGCTGTATTGGCCGAGGATTATTGCATATAGAAAATAGTTCACATGTGCTCTTATGCATTTTCTCTATCGCTGTAAGGTCTTTGATAAGTGTCTTCTGGGATATCATCTGCTTGGAGATCTTTGAATGTGTGATAACAGATTTGACGGGGACAAAAACACACACGCACATATGAAATAATAGTTGCATACTGTAGTTATATATAATTTTTTCTTGATATTTTCATAGGAATAAAAATTATCTAGAATTCATATATTTAACATCTTTTGATAATTTGCACTGTATATATCTATGTCATTATAATACATTGTTTAGCAAATTATTTTAATCGCAATATGTGACTAATAAGTTCGTCATTGGTAGATTAACCTGCACCTATAACATCAGATGCTAAGTGGTCACTTTCATCAACTTTTGCTATCTTTTTTACTTTTGATTGCAGTAAGACATCTCCTTGAGATATGTGCAATAGATGTTGATAAAGAACTTCTTTTTATTTCAAGACACACCTTACATAAATGAGATTATACATCATCTTTCATGTTTTTCTTCCTGATCCACCGACTGAGCTGAGCGAGAGATCTACAATATATTTTGATAATATAGATAACTTTGATATGCTCTACAATCACGATGAAGGTATCAGTTAGGTTTTAATCAGAAGGTCTCATTATAATCTCAATAAGGAAATCCCTAAAAGTCTCGTACCACAAGGGCCAATTCAAGTACTTGCTCAAGTAAGGATAAAAGCTCTTGGATGTTAGCCGGATCATGCATTAGTACTTTCTGATTGATGTACACTACTTTGTTCACATTCATGAAGTTATGACTAAGCTTGATGTGTCTATTTGCATATTCATTGCCTATGTGCCAATTTGATACTATATTAAATGCACCGAATGTTTATATGATGTGATATCTATTTAAAAAATGAAAAGATAAGTACATTAAATGCCATTTAACACGCGATGTTAGAACTTACATACCAAAGTGGATTATTTCTTAGAAAAGTGATTTGATACATTTTGCACTTAATATATTAGGTAAAAAGTGATATATAATTTGAGTTATAAACTATAATTGCGGATGTGAATATTGACTCTAAATTTGATAAAAAAAATTTATAATTCATAATTCTTCTTACTCAATAACTCGTTAGTTTTGTAACAATCAAAATTTCCAAAGACACTAATATGTGAAGTAATAATCTCTTTGAGTCTCTAGGTTTGAAGTAAACTGAAGCTTTATATGTTGGTTTGAGAGTTGTTATGTAGCTGTGCAAACATGTGTATTAGATTTAATAATGTACCATCAACATTGCTTTGCATCAAGAATGAATCAATCTTTTAAATGAAAGGTAATTTTTGAGCTTTATTTTAAAAATCTTTTTTCTCTATCTAGCTTAGAAAGACAGTATCATTCAGCCAGTTGATTATAAACAAATCTTATAATTAATTGCTACAAATAATTTTTTTGTTTTATGATAAATATTGTTTTTATAAAACACAACAAGATCTCATGTTCTTCATTTTTCAATCATTTGTACACAAAATTTCAGTCATTTATTCATGATCGCGCGTCAAACTCATTATACTTTTCAATAATTTTTGTTCAAATTTCTCCATTACATGTTTCACCATTCAAATATTTCCAGTGAGAAAAAAAATTTAGTGCAAATGTTTGTAATATGAGTGCAACTTTGGTCTAAAAATAAATTAAGCTGACACATAACATTCAAATATATTCATCAATTAAATTTATAAATTGAAACACAATTATATGTACAGATTTGTTCTTTTCAAACATTAATTTTAAATCTAGTATATATACATAATTTTATTTTCATCTTCACAATTCTTAAAGAACACCAATAATGTCAATAGCTAAAATGTTGAACTCATTTTGAGTTCATGTTCTGTGCTTTTCAAACATTTCATTGTATTTTAATATCTGTTTCAAAAAAAAATTCAAGAAAATCATTGATTTGAAATTTTCAAATCATAAATATTTTTTTTAATTCATTTCAATAAATAATATTTCAACATAAAGTTCTATATCAAATCAAAAAATTATTAAATTCTATGTAAGTATATATAGTTTTACAAATAAGTGAGATAAGATCAATGTGTTGAACAAAAAAATTAAATAGATGAATTTTCAAATCAAATGAGATTTCTTGCCAATTTGTTGAAAAATGAAAAGTATATAGTTTTTTCCCAAAAACCAGCAGTGATATGTTTAAATCCAAATATTAATGATCACCAAAATATGCAATTTTAGAATTAAAATTTTTGAGATAAATTAACATATAAAACTTTATGTATCAATTTATATAGTAAATATAAATGAAAATGTTTTGAAATATTTTATTAAATTTTATTCTTGTTTCATAATTACTTTATAGATAAAAGGTGTCATTGCTATATCACTGAATTAGAAAAAAAACTTTTTATAATTTCTAATCATATTAGCTGTGTAAATAAACATTTATTCATCCTATGAGTATTTCATTATTTACTTCGATTAGACAAGATCTAAGCAATGTGAGACTACATCAATTTGATTTATTTTTTGAATGAATATTTGTTACAAATCTTATCTTCAAGTTTATTCAACTTTTGAAAATTTTGATGCATCAACCAACCATAGCACTTTTGATTTTCTACCTTCTTATTCTTTAAAGAATATGTCAAGTTATAATAAACATTGATAACACTATCTTCAACAGTCAAATTGAAAACAATTTTGCAACTCTCAAATTGTATCACTAAATTTCTTTTACAACCGTCTTATAACTCCGAGAAAATATTTCACGTGATAATACAATTTAACATAATACGATAAACACAATTGACGCGTGGTCTTGCGTTTACATATGATGGCATGTGTTTAATCGAGGAGTGATAGATTCTTCTAAGAATTCTTAATGCAACCCTCTTATAACTCTAAGAAAATATTTCACGTGATAATATAATCTAATATAATACGATAAACACAATTGACGTGTGATCTCGCGTTTACATATGATGGCATGTGTTTAATTAAAGAGTGATACATTCTTCTAAGGATTCATAATGCAAATAGTTACAATCAAGGTCATGGATCCATCTTTTTCCACATATTTCCACAATCACCTCATCAAAGATGGATGAATTCTCTGGTTAAATGCACTCCGATATGTATTTTGGACAATTATTAGATACAACTTGATTTTACATCTCTCAGGAAAATCTTGTGACTCTTGAGTATTAAACTTTCTCCATAGATTTAAATTACTTCTGCACTCATGACAACATACAATATACTCTGAAGTAAAAACCTCTTCAGTTTTTTTTCAATCCTATAGCTTTCCCTTTCATCTATTTAGATAGATATTCATTTACTCATACCAGGTTACTCAATCAATCTATTCTTATTGACATCATTATTAAATTCACAATTCTCAAGCTTATGAGAAGCACTAGAAAAGATAAAGAACAAATCGTTACTTCGTTTGATTATTGAATATATGTAACATGCTGTACTTCATCCAGAAATCTCATTGCACCTTTGTAGATGTTATTCCACCAAGTCATATTTTCCATTTTTTTGTACGTATATATTTGTGGCATAGTTCTCATCTCAATTCTTGCTTTATCTGCCTTAAACAGTTTACATATTTGATCAAATGTTTCTTTAATTTCATTATTCTTCACATATATACTTTCAAAATCAACTAGTAAATTTTCACAAAGGTATACCATAGAATTTTGAAATTAAAAAATAATTGAATTATTTGATTTGTTGAAGGAAATTCAACTTTGGTACAGTACACTGCCCTATATTTTTTTCTAACATCAAATTGATTATTAACATGTCAAGGTATATCGTTTTCTTCCCATTTCTTTCTATTATTTTTTTCCCATTCAATTTATAAGTTATTGATATTATGTATATTAGAGGTAGTTATGAATTTGCTTTATACATCTTCTGCTTTATTTCTGGGAATTTTTAAGCTGATTTATTTCGAGAGCGTTAGTTAAATTTGAAATCATGGAAGATTAGAAGGATTTGTGTATGAACTTTTTCTGCATCGTAATTGGTTCGGTGTTACATTAGAGAAGAGACGTGTGAGAATTGTTGTATGATTTATCAGGTAGAGTGTGACTGTTTTTCAATTTAAATGTTATAATTAACGGATTTTATCTTTTACAGTAATAAGGAGTAGTTTTAGACCTTGCCTGTTGTTTCATCTTTGTTACAGTTATCTATAAAGTAAAATATTTTGATACGGTTTATTTGACTGAAGAGGCAGGTTCTAATGTTGGTATTGTCACACTTTGTTCACTTTCTGCTTATTTGTACTGTTTTTTTTTCTATCTTTCCCTTTCTTTTTTTCCTTTTCCATTTTTCTTTTTCCTTGTCTCAACAGTTTACATTCTATTCTCTTCTTCCAATCGAAGCTTTCTTCCCCTTACATGTTTTATGACATTTTTCTTTTAATCACAATAAACATGACAAAATGGAATATTTTTCCCATTATTTATTCTACGGCATATTTCTCTTATTATCACGATGGACACTACATGAAAACATTCTTTCCCTTATCTGTTCTACGGCATATCTTTCTTATTATCACAATGGACAGTATATGATACAACATTCTTACCCTTATGTATTCTACGGCATATTTCTCTTGTTAACACCATTAACATTACGTGATAAAACATTCTTACCCTTCTCTATTCTACGGCGTATTTCTCTTGTTATCACAATGGACATTACATGATAACATCTATGAGCTCATATCTTTAATAGCTAATCAGTTTGCGCAATTTTTTTCCCCTTGCTGTGCTATCATACATGCAAAATATTGTTTCGTCAACATTCTCCATTCAAGATCATGTGCAAGCACAGCGGCATTGAAAAATTTCAACCGCATTGTGAGAATTAGTTCTCGCCAGGTTCACAGAACGCAAGTCGCGAGTTCTTCATTTTCATTCATAACATTGGAAGAACTCCCTGTTTGTCTGTCATAATGAATTAAACCAATGCGATGGGAGCATGCTGCCACAATTTCTTCCTATGGCGGCGTCTATATATTCCTGGGGAATTTGAGCTCAAGTAGAATAAAGTGTTAGACTGTAGTTATGTCTTCAAACCTACGCAGCCACTCAACTGTTGACATGCGTTATATATGTACAAGGTGCCGTCCAGTCAAGTACCAATCTTGAAGGCAGAACTCGCAGGGAAGAGAATTGAAGGGAAAAAATAGACGATCGAAACAATCAGACTTTTGATGGCGTATGTTACAGTCTTCATTTGTATTCCAACATCATGTTGTTCTCCGGGTTCAGTCCGATGCATGCGCGCATCACGTTCTCCAACATTGCTCTCTGCTTGGCCAGCGCGTTCACAACAGGGGTTCCAGCTGGTACCAAGGGTGCCTTCGTCAAGTAGCTCAATAGAGTGGCCACGGGGTGGAACGATCTGAATTTGTCCTGTGATGCAAAGAAAGACGGTTTTCGAGAACGTCAATTACGTTTCAAAACACAATTAGAGTGGTTTTGTCCAGAAAAATGATGCGTAAGTTCAAGGCGGAATTGCTGAAGCTTTTACCTGCCCATCTTCTTTCAAAGTGATTCTGGTGAATAGCTCGGCTAGGAGCACTAAATCGAGAATGAGAGGAGCTGCTAGCAGGGAGTCTTCGCAGGTGTTGTGCATGACAATGGTGTTTCTGCCGCCCATGAAAATCTCCGAGGTGTACTCGTCCATCGCGCGCTTGCTGTCGGCAACGTACGGGACATACTGCAAAAAGACAGCGTCCAAGGTCGAGTCAGAACTTTCATGTTCTAACATCTAACAAATATAGCTACCGGGTCTTTTGACGGCAAAGAGACAGTACTCCCAGTGGGTATTGTGTAATGCAAAGCATAAGTCTCCGTGTTCAACCGTACCTTGATGACGATAACGTGATCCGGGTGCTCTCCTGGGCCGTACAGAATGGAGTTGCTCGACACCATGTCATCCACGACGTTACTCTTGGAGATTTCCTTGGATCTGAAAGTTTGGGGCGCGGAAAGGTTCATTCCGTCGTTGTTTCCGAGATGGTTGTAGCTCACAATGGATGTGGGCTGAACGACAAAACCAATACTCGGTTAGAACACCCCCATGCTAAGTGCAACTCACCACATTCCCTCTACATGTTCGTATATGCTCGTATATGCAGCGACTTGAATTTGGGAGTAATAGACGTTGGGTCAAATATTCAAGTCAAATATTAATGTCGATAGATAAGGTTTATTCACCTTGATACCAGCTCCAACAAGGAAGTCGACCAGCACAGACTTCATCTTCGTCTGTCCACTCTTGAAGTCATCACCACCTATGAGGACATTTTCCTCAACAGCAAAGTCGATGACCCCTAATGATCACAGCGAGTTTACAACAGATTAATTGATGAATTGATGACAAATTTTAAAAGGCCATTTATGATAAGCATGTCGGCATTGAGAATATGGAAACCAAGTAGAGAATAAGAAGCCACTTTACCAGGAACAAAGGTATTCTGAGGACTTCCGTTGATGAACGGGACTTTCTCGTGAATGCAGGCCAAAGCGTAAATGGTGGAAGGTGAGATTTCAGACTCATTCTTCTCCAAGGATTTGAATAAGTTCTCCTTGGTATCATTCAATCCAACAATGACGTCACTGTAACGCTCAGTGTTGGCAGTCCACAGCACAACTACCTTTTCGACCTCAGTTTGGGCCTTGAAGTTCCTGTCATGAAAGCATGCAGCGCATGAGTTTGCGTCAAATCGAGTTATCAGATCTTGAAGCAGACAAAGTACTTAGGAAATTCGAACGCAGGATGGAAGCCTCGAAAGCATGAAAACAAGCGGATAGATGTCCAAAATCACTGACATACTTTGCACAGCGAGTACTCTCACGGCAGTCCAACTAGTTTATCCAGTAGATTGTATCTCTGCATCTAGTGGGCGGTGATCAAGATAGATGAAATCCACATACAGAATCTTCGTTATCTTCCCCGCAATTCCAGGCAATTCCAGGTGAGAGTTTGAGGAAGTGGGAAATACCTGATGTCTTTCCTGAGTTGCTCCAACTGCTCCGCCTTGGTTCCCTTGATACAGTTGTCGGCCCTGGCACCCTGGTTGGCGGCGATGAAGTCCGGGTCGTAGATACCTGCCATTGGCAACATGTCTTGCATGTGGGGGCGCAGCTGCTTTTGCAAATCAATATCCAGTACTCTAGCACGGTCCATGGCATCAGCCAAATTCATACTGGAAATGTCCCATCCTCCGATGACGATGTCATTTGGATCAACCTGCAACGATCAATAGGATCCCCAGACTCAGCACAGTGGTTCCTGAAACCTCCGAGATAACCGATTTCAACTGCGAAGCTGCAACTAATCACTCACTGTTTGCATTGTAAGAGAGCTAGACAAAGTTATATGTTCCATCAGTGCTAACTACGATACCCATCACATCTACATCACAGACATAGAAACGCACAGAGGACAGCCAGTGGTGTCAGTGGGTGTACAACTAAGTAGGCCCAGATTTGGATCCAATGAGCTCACCATCGGTAAAATGCTCTTGAATGGCACGTAAATCTCCTCTCCGCTGTAAGCACCAATGTGGCAAGTTGAGGCCTGAGTGAGGGATCCGAAGTAGTTGGCTCTCTGGACTCCATCCTTGGTGACCCAGGAGATTCCCCTGATGAGAACAGGTTGTAAACAATGGATGCTGTCAGACTACATTCCCGTGGGATCCCAAAAAACGAATTTGTGCTTTCTCACCCGCGGAAACGATGAAACGGATCACTTCGGCCAAAAAAAAACCCGCTTACTCTCTGTTCGCAATAATTCCTCCGGTCAAAGTGCTTCCATTGTTGCCACCCCATCCGACCAACATCACCCTGAGAGAGACCACCAGAACCGAGGAATATCGTAAGTAACAAAATCAACCTCCATCCTCCAAAAACCACCAAAACTCATGAAACTAATTCGACCTCTCAGAAGAGGACCCAAACTCACCCGAGCTTCGGCACCTTGCGCTCAGTCTTGAACTCATAGGTGACGCTCTTGGGACGCACAACCCACTCGTACTTGCCATCCTTAACATCGTGCACCAATTCGGTGGTCTGGTACTGATACGAGGACGAGATTTCATCCTCCGTGTACTTCACATTCTCACTCTCTACGCGGAAATTCTCCACCAACATTTTGACGAACGACGACAGCCACCACCAATCCGATGCGCAATCCGATCGGAGAAAATGCAAGAACCGAGAGAGCTGAGCGAACGAAGAGCGCCCGCGAAGAGAAGAGAGAGAGAGAGAGAGAAAGAGAGGGAACGAGAGAGAAGAGAGCCTGAGCTGCGCTTTCACGAGATTCTAAAGCCGAGCGAGGCTCGGGCGGCGAAGGATGGGGAGGGGACGAGAGGATAGGCGCGGCAGATGGGCAGCAGCGGGCGGAGCTAACGCTGACTGCTACCGTGCATCTTGAACAGATGCGCGCATGCACGTTGCATTTAAATATAGAGGAGCTTGTCGACGGGAGGTGCCCCACCATGACTGGTTGCAGCCATCGCCCCCTGCCCTTCCTTCCTTCCTTCCTGCCCTTCCTTTCCTGCCCTGCCCTGCCCTGCCCGCCCCCGGCAGCCGAGCGAAGCTTCGTGCCATCATCGCCCCGTGGGTCGGGCAGCGACGAGAGAAGCGCGGCAGTGTCCAGAGGAAGGAGCAGCCGCAGCAGAGGGTCGGGCACCGAGAGGAGCAGTCCCGCGACTGCAGAGGACGACAGCGCATTCGCAGCCATGAGCCCGAGCTTCCTTCTGTCCTCGCCCGCAGCGCTCGCTCCCTCATTCGCTCATTCGTCGGCTGCGGAAATTCCATTATTTATTTCCTGCTCTTTCTGACGGCATCTATTATCTGGAAGAATTTGGAGAAACTCATTCGCTCTCGAAATTGGTGGCGTGCCATAATCCGCCGTGGAGCAGCGGTCTCTTTGTTCCGCACCGGGAGTCTTCCCCGATGCCATCGCTGATTCATGTTGGCGAGTGCGGTCTCGAGATGAGGCCCTGAGCCCAAGTTCGTGGAGTTTGGAGCTCGTGGGTTAGGGTTTAGCGTATCAAGGCTGCCAAAAACCTTAGTGAAGCTTTGAAGTGAAAAATCGCCACTATTCAAGCAAGTGTCAACGTTTATCTCGATGTTCCATTCTGGTTAAAGTTTTTCTTTTTCTTTTTCTTCTGTTCAATGATTAGTCATTTGCTAACTTACGCTCAAATAAATCAGCCTTATCTTTTATATGTTTGAAAATTATCTTTCTTCTTCTGACTTGCGTCAATTCTCTCTCTTGGATTTGCATTTGCATATTCAGACGTGTCACATTCCCTTCGATTCGATTTGGATGCTATCAGGAAGGTATTTGAATCGATGCGGTCACATCCATTTTAACTGTCTCCTGTGATCCTTGGTTTGAAGAACTGACCTGCGGAAATGCAGATTTTTCACTTCACAATCTAAAATATATAATTAGAAAAAAGTTAGAATCAATTTTTCTTTTACAAAAATACCAATGCAAAAAAAATATCCTTAAAATTTTGCATTCATTAATATATATTGAATGAACAACATTGTTTGAAATATCAAAAGTCATGTTTATAATCAATATAATATTTGGTTTTTAAATTTTTTTATTATTCACATGTTTCCTCAATTTGTAAGTTTTCAATCCAACAATTAAGATATTCATATTTAGAGTAAAACTTGTTGGTTTTTTTGTCTCAGTAGTTTTTAATTTTATATTCATATAGTTTCTTATCATAAGTTCTATCATATTGTTTTCTAAGTTGCATTAAAAACTTTATATTATATATAGTTGTAAATCAATAATATTCATTTTTTTTAAATTCAAATCTATTTTATCTTACATGTGTTGCAATCATATTACTTCAATATACTTGACACTTTCTGCAAAATATGTACATTATATAGATTTGTTGTCTTAAATGCAAATCAGTCTATATGGTTAATATAAAGACTTAAATAGAATGGAAACGACTATGTAAAGTATACCAGAATATATTGACATTACTTTCCTTTATATATTATACAAACTTCATTTCTGTGCATAAAGAAAGAAACATGTATGAATGAGTTTATTATTCAACTTTTAATTCATTAAAAAATTTCAAATACGATCAAGCAGTGAATGCACAGTCCCTTTTTCATTAAAAGATAATATTTAACAATATCATTAGCTTAATACAAGCTTGAACATGATGGTAAAAAGATGGATAATTACACTTGGTTTCTGCAATAACTTCTAGTAAGCTATGAGTATTCTAATTTACGGCTAGTCTAGAGATGAAATCTGTAAATAGTCGGATTCTCTCCTTCAGACAGTACTGAATAAGACTCTCCTAAATCATGTCAGTCTCCCATCTGTGTAAATATAAACCATTTAGTGACTGCGAAAGCAAGAACCAACAAAAGAATGAATATTTAGTATCTAAGACCCTTCTTTCATCTACGATTAGATCTTTCACTTTTTTCAAAAGTATATCTCAAACGGTATTCATTAAGAAAACTGCTGATGGATCTTCTTCTAAAGTAATGTGAAAGTCAGAAGAGGAAGTCTCCTAGCAAAAGTGACACAAAATCCTGAATGCAGGCTCACTTGTCCTTCCTTCGCCATTCACAACCTTTTCGCTCCATGAATTGAGGGGATCGAGTACGAATTCTAAAGTGGACGCAAGGAAGGAGCAAAAAGAAACCGCCACTGGCCACACTCCCACCTTTCAATATAAAAATGCGCTCGATCTCGACAAATGGGGGAATTGCCATTTGTCGATACCTGGACTTCAGACCCACAGACGAGTTGCCAAGCTTGCACTTGTGAATGGTCAGCTGCTCCCACTGGATATGTGAAGCAATTGCTATGAGTGCTCCTAACGTAGCTTGAAACACTTCCCTGTCCAACACGAGCACCAGCTCGAGGCGAACTAGACCAGCTGATCTGGGGGGAATAAGTCACGGAGGAGGCAAGGAATAAGAAGATTTGGAGGATGTGATGAAGTGGCGAACAGCGTCAAGGAGCCGCTTTCTCCAGCATGATGTTCGAGCGTCGAGGATTCGCAATGGTTCCAGGGTGGCGACGAGAAGGTGGACAAGAGTCAAGCGTGTGGTCCCACTCCCACTGCTGCTGCACTGCTGCTGCCGACGCTGGGTTGAGCAGAAGAGGGTGGACCCAGGGACCCACAAGCTCCAGAGAAAGGCGAGAAAGGAAGCAAGGAGCTTGGAGAGAGAGGCATGTGGCCAGTCTCTGCATGGTCTGTCGAACACCTCACATTTCTATTCTCTTCTGAGCCTCGTATATGCCATGGAAGGCAACTGCGGCCTTGGATCGTCAACACCTCACATCTGACTCTGTCCCAGATCGTCCCCTCCATTCATTCCATTCATGCAAGCAGTGCCCAGATCGTCCGCTCTTTCTCCAGCATGTGCCACTTCATCCGTAAGATGGACAAACCACAAACGATGAAAAAGTCCTGCAGCGTTCTGCACATTGTATTGTTGTGTGATCACACTTCAGAACCTCGTGCCCTCACAGAGTTCAGGGTCGACGAGAAGGAAACCAGTTGGAGCTGCCCGAAGAGAATTACAATAAGTTGTTATGCTAGTGTTGGTCACCCCCCTCGAGAGAGAGAGAAGAGGAGAAGATGCTTATGCTTGAGCATCTTCACATTAAACGTACCAGATCTAGAAACGCTAACGGTATACACTTTAGTATAAAGCACGGAACTGCAAATTCTGCAAAGAATCTCATCAAGGCCCTCATCTGAATCTGAAGAGTGAATAAAACATACCGAACATGGTCTACGGCAGGACTGTTGTTCAAGACCCAAGCTATGCGAGCACGACACAACATTGAATAACGTCCTCTGGACTTGCTGGAACTTAGACTTTAATCATATCGTACAGTCTTGGGAAGAATGAGCTTCACTCCCCATGTCTGAATCCAAAAGGATACCAGAATTCATCAGCTTTTACCCTTTTCCCATGTCAATATTCTCATTACGGGTGGAGGGCAATGAGCTCAAGGTAATTGTTCTTACCTCCAGAGTCGTCAGAGCCTTTGCGAGCCTCCAGTTGGATGCTCCATTCTAACAGATTCCCTCATTCAAACGGCAGGTTGAGAACGAACGCGGAGAAAAGCAGATTTGCGGGTGCAGCCAAAGTCAGCTTTTCTGTCTTCTCTTGGCCTTTCACGAAAACTTTCCGAGAACATAAAACCATGGGCTCTTGCTGGTTGCAGACCTCTGAAGCCAACAACAGCAACCTGCATCTTACACTGAAACCTACGGAAAGCAGTAGGCCACTGCCCAAGATCCTATGGCCCCGGTCCACTTGGCTAGATATCATGTGATCTCACCTCCTATTCCGCAGGACATCAATGATCTCAATGTAGTCAGTGTGTCCGATTCTTTTCTGTCGGTAGGTGAGTCTTTACTCTACAATGTCCAGTTTTCGCTCTTTATGTCGCTGTGACTCACCTCCGTGTAACTGCATGCTCTCTTTTCCTCTTCAATCAGGCTGTTTCGCCTTCCAGTCAAGAAACTGCACTTAGAAGTCTAGCCAGTTTTTTCTGCCGGAATTCAAATCATCGATATACGACCCGATTTGATATCACTTACGATCATCTTCTTCGTTCCCTACTAGATACTTGCGAAGAGAAGGAGGTTAACAAATGACACGACTCAAAATCTTGAAGTTTATACTTAGTCCAAACTGTTCTTCATTGACGGTGTTTTGGTCTCCATCTGACTTCTATTTCCATATTTGGGTCTACTTGGAAATTTGCGTCTCCACTAAGTACCCTGACATAAACCTTCCCTGCTCGACAACTCAACTACAGACAAGTGTAAAGCAAAAGTCGTGCGGAATTAGCTGCTGCTTACTAATGACAAACTCCACCTATAAAAAGACACAAATCACTCATGCAACTCTCCGTACAGTACAAGCCATGTGGACGACATCGCTCTGTTCTAAAGTGCTTCATTCTGACTTCTCAACGAGATGTGTTCTGCCACGTATTACTTGCATCATAGGCTGCCACTAAAACTAGGAGTTTTCTGCAGTTAATGCAAAAGCTTAAACGACACATTCATCGCTAGGTCAGGATCCATCTCAGCGGGTTAACCGCGAAGCAAGGCGTACCAAGTTAGCGAAGAGAAGTCCTTCATACCAGTCCAATTCAAAATCCGCTTAGATATGTATGTACATTTTCAACCTCACTTTTCACCTATTCGCATTAAAGAGGTGAAAATCCAGGAGTGTAACTGAACTCGGGATAGTCAGACCTTCTACCCACTAACCTCCTCTGCCCTTACACCTCCAACGAGTATCAGTTCGGAACTTGAGTAGAGGTGATAGGTTCTGAGGCGTTCACACCTTTCCACACGTACGACATAGTGACAACCACATTATATACAAGACAACAGGTTCGGGAAACTCTGCGAAAAACTTGGCGCTTCTTAAAACCTGTGTATTGAAAGCAGCCATGTGACGCTATTCGTGAGTCCATGTGAAAAAAAAACTGTTGGTACAGTCTTACAACGGAACGGGCCTGGCGGACCAGGAGATTCCATGCGAGGCAGCAAATCTATGCTACTTGATCTCCAACGCTCTCATCATGTCATGTGAACACTATTCTTAACAACTCCGACATCATGTACGCGCTCAATTGCGTATATGACTATATTCCTACTTAGAATCTAAAAGATTGGATTCTACGGTACTCGTCAGATAAAACCAATCCTAAACCACAGTGAATTGACTCGTTTCTGACTTGAAGGGACGCCTCTCCTCAGTTGGGAACAACGGACGAAGACAACCTTTCTTGTAAAAGCCGGGAGGTCAAAACTTCGGCCATATTTTGGCGGCTCAATGATTACCTTACATCATTACAAGCTGTTTCTTCTTTTTCTTCTGCTCGCTAAGGTCTACGTTTTCGGGGTCGTTTACACCCGACTTCATTTTCTTCTTCTTGCTCTTCGTTTCAAGGGCACCCATTACTCCTTTTAAGGAGGGATCTTCTAGCTTTTCATCCACCATGCCTGCCACACTCTGACTTGGTTCTGCAGTTCCTCCCTCCGCAGAATGCTTGCGCTTCTTGCCTTTCTTATCCTTTTTGTCCACCTTTTTCCGATCAAAAAGACGATCGATGTCATCAAATCCTGCTTGAGACCTTGCTTCCTTCCCTTTCTTCCCTGCTTTTTCTTCTACTTGGCCTATACTGCTTATAAGATCATCTTTCGAAGAGTCCTTTGCACCTAGTGGAACAATGGCTTCACTAGGCTTTGCACTCTTCTTGTTTTTGGACTTCGTAATGGCGAAGCTGAAACCTAATTGAGCCATCGGTCCCTCCAAGTCAAGGTCCATATCTTGAGGTAGGACCTTTTTCTGTTTCTGACCCTGTGAACCCTTGGAGCCTGTCGGCTCTCTCTCTTCTTCGACATCTTGAGGTGTATTGGTCACCTCTCTATTCTCCGCGTGCTCAGGGTCGGCAACTGAGCTGAATAACTCCGAAAAAGCCTTATGGGTGCTTTGCTTTGTGCTTTCTTTTGATCGCCATTGCTCTGGCTTCTTACTATATCTGCGATGACCACAAATTGGTACAGAGCACAGAGAATCAGAACGTGGATGAAACCACGAAGTGGCCAAAATATCTGTAAAGCTCCTAGCATCTGTAAAATTAGTCCAGGATGACCGGTCACGAATTTACTTCTGGACGGTTCCACATAAATGGACAACGTTTTCAGGCAGTGTGGATTCGAACCACGCTTCTTAGGTTTAAGAGCCTTTCATCTATCGGCGGCGACAGCCATGGCAAGTATCTACTTTTCATAATAACACAAAATTTAAAACCAAGGGCAAAATACTTCGAGAAAAATTACCCGATAATGTCACATCGTCTTGATATGCGTGCCCCGTATCGACTCTTCGCTAATTCTGCCTGCACAGGTGCCAGCTCAGCGGCAATTCTCTCCTTGAGTTTGATATCCGCTACTGTATAGCTCTTTTCCACAATGAAACAACCGATAGGATGAAGTGCCATTTCTGCGAAGTGACCCTCCAACCTAAGCAACAAGATTCAAAACATATCAGCTCATGAAGTACCAAATTTGCACCAAGTTCCGCTTAACGTTTACTCATATGGAGATAAAACAGGACAGCCACACTCTTCTTGCTTCTTGAAAAAAGATCATCAGTGACTAACACAAAGATTCCTAGGTCTCCACTTCACAACCTTCGAATGCCTGTTTTGTCAATAGAACATATCCGACTGTAACTCAATTCATCTCAGGCAGTTCGTATCCCAAGAAGTCAATCGGAATCTTAATTGTAAATAATACTGTTCCCTGTTGAGAGGCATTCAGGTTCAATTCTTTACTGTAAGACTCTTAACATCTTAGATTGTGCAGCGGGCAAAGACGGCAAAACCAAATGCTCACTTGGAAATTATTCGGTGCTTATGCTTCGGCGGCGCAGCGGAAGACTCAAGAAAGGCTTCCAAAACACGACTCCCACTTGGGTCTCTTACAGCATGTAATAAGCTGAGAGTTTCAAGAGCAGCAATGCTTGAACAGAACTGCTGACTGCACTCCTGCACAACTCTACCCATAACGTACAAACTACATTCAATTCCAGAAAAAGGACACCCATATCGATCTCAAGGCTTCCAATGTGGGCTAAACGTTTCAGAAGAAATCAAATAACTGGCATGAGCAAGAGGCCTGACCACAGCTACGTCACACGAAATTGCGAAGACTCTTCCAACGTAACAAATTACATGTGATAATTCCTACCTTGGGGAAACTCAAAATTGTTTGAAGAATGATGGAACCGATGACTGACATCTTGCTGTCAGATAAAGAGTCCAAGTCTGCTGGAAATGCTCCGTTTTTCGCACTCTCGAGGTGCAAAAGACGAGGCACAAGATCCACCGGTGAAGCTTTGTTTGAATTGATTGCCACTGCAAGGGCTCGACATACCTATCAGCACATTTCAATGTTAAAATAAGGTAAACTAAGTGAAGCTTAAAATAGAAAAAAGCTTGCTTGTACAATACAATCCGCAGCTTGGTCACACTTTTGACAGTGAGACTTAAATTGAAAAAAACGTACCAAAACCTAACCTTTGCTCAGCGTTCGGTCTGAAGGGTACGTAAGGACCCTGTTATCCTTACTGGACAAAACATCGTCAACTACAGTAGCGGGCCACTAAATAGTACGACTGCAGCAATTACTTGCAAACAGAACAGACGCATACATACTTCTCGTTGTTTGGTGTTGAAACGACCGCATGCAGAAATGAGCGCAGCGATAACACCGGCTCGCTTCTCAAACACGATATCGGTGAAGTGCCCTTCTAGTTCCTCAAAAATCATGTTGACCTTCAGAAAATAAGAAAAACGAAATCAAAGACGGAAACTACAGATTGCACGGCTTTGGAGAAAGAGAACCAAGCAGGCAGAACTCGGTGTCCAAGGATATCACAAATCCCCACCAAATCTCCGTCCTCCACAACCACAGCGATCAAGCAGATTTGAGTACGCACCTGGCCTTCGTGCCTGGCACATGATATCAGCACTTGGACGACAAAGTTCGCAGACTGATGTAGTGACAGCTGCAGCATACGCTTCCTAAAAAATCTTTGAAAAATCTCCACGTACAGAGGATTAGGTGCGCTCTGGATAATGACCTGAAAGAAACACAGGTTCTAAGATGAGTACTGTAACGCGGCTTGAAGAAGCGAAACAACGAACGAGCACTATCGATGGGTTTGAATGCATGAAGCTCTGTATCAAAGAAACGACGTAATCCTACATCAACTACTTCGTCTGAGCTTTACAGCGAGCAGATCCATTGACAAAATAAGGGAAGGATCCCATGGTAAACCATTAAGAAACGTGTGTTTTTTTGAACACCCGTTGTTCTCGCTGAAGTCCTACGCTTATTGCCTACCACCCATGAGATGGAAACGAAGGAGGTAGTGAAAAACAGTGATTCCTCTCGTGGTCAGAAAGGAGTTTGTCACACGGTTACCAACGACAGCAAAGGTTGGAGGAATTAGTTCAAAAGTACCTCCATAAGGTGGCTACTACTGCGATCTTCCATTGCAGCGACAATTCCCTCCACAGGAGCTTTTTCCAAAACAAAACCCTCCTTACCACCGGTCTCGCAATCTAACATCCCTGCGATCGCCTGTGTGATTGCCTCCTGGTTTCCTTGCAAAGCTTTCAGTAGTCCCTGTCACGTCAAATGCGAGATTAATTTGAGCAAATAGATGTAATACTCATGATCCCTCAGTCAAACTGATAATTCAATCTTCGCTATAATAAAAAAAACTTGTGCTACTGAATCGAATACAAACCAGTTTCGTTAAAATCCGCCAGATTGTAACGACACGAAGTGCCAGTAGAAAGCATTATACGGCTCCATAAGATCAAACAAATCAAGGTACAAGGTCCTTAGAGCTGCATGCTATTCCTCTCGTTTCCTTCAAGAACTGAAGTGTCCAATCACCTTTTGTTCTGAAAGTACGAAGTGGTCAATTTTTACTGATGAATATCAAATGAAGATACTCCGAACAAACTGGAAAAAGTGACAAACCTGTAATACTGGACTCCCACACTCATCCGCTCGCAACTGAGCCATGCTTCCTTTCGAACTCTCTAAAATCTTGCCAACTAGATCGTGGAGAAGCTTCGGAAACGAGAGTCCTTTCGGCCGCATTGCGTCTTTAGACCTGAATGACCCAAGCTTGTTACCCAAATTCCTCGCTGATTTGGCACCTCCTTTCTCTTGATCGAGAAAGTCGGCAGTTTCCCCACTGAGAAGACACAAGAAGGAACGGAAAACGTGTGATCCATATCGATTCAACATCACATCCACCGACTGTGAACCAAGTTCCTGCGAATTTGGCAGCGAAAGGTAGGTCATGAGTTGTTGGCATAGACTCGATACAAAGGTCCTGTAGATAATTCTACTCGAGAGCAGCGTAAGCCAGTAGGGTCACTCGCCCGCTACACGCCATTTACTTAGAATCTCGTATCCTGAAGACATTACACGAACCAGACTGGTGTGCAGTATCTAGAGTCTATTGCTAGACAATTCTTTGAGGAGTTCGATCTTAAACCCCGAATTTCTCAGAAATTGCTTTTCAGCTTTTCAGCTTTAAGAGCTTGAAATTTCGATAGGAGAAATACTTTCACAATCCAACTCAGCCGTTGATACCAACGAATGGGTTGCTGATTGTTGACAGAGACAACACGTTCGCTTTGACAATTCAATGCATTCACAGAGAAAGAGCAGACTGTTCACCAGTCTGAAAGTATATATGCAATACAGCTCAAAGTGGTTATTTACCTGGCAGATAACGGCGAGGATAGACTCCAGGGTCGGGAACCAGTCCGCATTGCGAGAATTGTCATCGAGCAACGTTCGTGCCACTGCCTTCAATGCACCTTCTAAGATATGGGAAGCTCCAGGATCGACAGCCATACTGACCGAAACCAAAGTGCAACGCTGGAGAAACTGAACAACGTGAGAAACATCACAGTAGCTCAGCAGAGTTTCGAGAACTCGTCCGCACCCTGGATCGCAGGCCAGCTGCAGCTCCTGCCCTTGGGTTTCCTCCAACGCACTGACACAAATATTCTCCCTCTCCTCCTCGTTCGCCCCATCCTTCACCAGAGCCGCAATCTCCAAAAAATAACTCTTCGTCGCAGGATCCAATCTCTTCCTCGACAAATGCTCTCCCTCCTCACCTTCCGTCGACTTCCAAGCTCGAAATTCCTGCCCATGCTGCTCCTCCTCCTCCTCAAATCGACCACCACCTCCGCCCCTACCTCCACCTCCACCTCTGCCCCCACCTCGCCCACCACCACCTCCTCTTCCACCACCACCTCCACCCGAAGTCCTTTGCTTCTTCATTGCGCCCGGCGATCTCCCGGAATCATCCCGTTTCCTGCTCAGCCCCATCCCATCAATTGATTCTGCCCGTCCAGCGAAAATCACGAGACTCTGAATCGCATTCTGACTGCGGGATTTCTCGACAATTTTGAATGCCCGTCGATTTCGAATTTCCTCGGCACCTGCCTTTGTCTGCGTCGACGATTAGGGCTACTGCGCACGGGAGCCCGCAGACAGAAACCTTGTGACTTCTGTTTACCGCGCGGGATGTCCCGTCGATGTTGCCCTGACTCCTCCTCGCGGAACGAGGTCCTCCGTCCGACACTGCACCTGGAAATGGGACGGAAGCCAGTGGATGGACGCATCTTTCCGTCACTCAGTGAACCGTGTAAAGTCACGAAGGCGGAAGTCACAATTTGCCGGTTCGCAAAAACCCGGAACTGGTTTATTCAACCCACTCGTCTGATTAGGGTGATTTCGGCCAACTATCACCAGATTATCACTTGATATATCTATATTCTGAAAAGTAATCTTCGAGTGACTTACTATGCGTGCTATACTACATACTAAAATCAGCTAATCATGTGAAGATAAGCAAAAATATTTTGGTGATTTCGTACTACATTAGCCATATAATTCCATTGTCATTTATCTGTATGTTAAGAATCGAGGATACTCTAGTGTTCGTCTCAGCTAAATTACTTTGTGGATAACTCCTATAGTGACATTAGACCTCGATCGCGATGGTTTTGGTCGTGCAACTTCTTTAATTCTTTTAACAGCATATTGACTGGCCACTCGTGATTATTTAGTATTAATTCACCAACTGTGAAGTAGTATTAGAAAATAACAATACTTGAAATAAATACAGTTGTTTAGTATATGATCGTGTTCATCAATGCACGTTAGGCAGACTTGCTAGTAAGCAGCTTTACGAGGACGCGGGTCGAAGGGGGCACGGTAAAGATAACCCGAGTTAATAAGGGTGGCAGAAAACAATTATTCAGTACACCGAATTTTGAGAAAGCAAACCCCACTCCGCAGAACAAAGCCAGACTGAGATCATGTGACGAGCACAAGGCAAAGCCCACTGTTAATGATGAGTCAGTAGTTTCGGCCCTAACTCTGGTCATGAGGTTTTCGACAAAGGCAGTAGTAAAAGATTAGTCATCCGATTAAGAGTGCACATTGGAGCATTTAGCAGAGGGGAACAATAATTGTTTCACACAAGACCCACAGAGCGGATGGGAATGCAGAAGAAAAACCCGAACGATATAAAAAAAATTGCCACCAAAGACAAATATGCACATGAGAAATAAAAGGGGGAACAGCGAAAGACGCTTCTTGCAATTTACAACTCCACAACCAAAATTGCCAAGACTTTGAGCCTTGGATTGCTTGCTGAAGAACCCACATTTGCTAGTCGCACTCGATGCTCTCTCACTATCTCTGTGTGTGTGTAGTCTCCACGCTTTGAACCTCAATCTAAGGCATGTTTGACATACAATTGCCCTGGTTGCAGTGACCTAAACTAAAATAAATTGCGACATAAGCTTTATGTAAAGCTCGGAGTATGTCAGCTACACTGCTTTCTTCTTCTTCTTGGTCAATTTGTACATAACCATTCGAGCAATTTTGTAAAACCAGAAGACACTGACGACCTGGATACCAACGGCGCCAAACTGCAAAAGAGCATGCAAACATATTTCACCGAATTTTGAGTAAGCTCTCTGGACTGACAGAGCAATCGAATCTTGAGATCACAAACACCATAATCAACAAGGGAAAAGACTCTGCGTAATGCCATTAGCAGCAACACACATTTCGGATGTATCTGCTGTAAACGACGACGCTTACCTTGACCACAGGCGTGCTCTGAGAGTTGAGAGTGTGGTAGACGACGTATGGGCCAACTCCCATCCTTGCCAAAGTAAATATAACGACGAAAGAGAGCTGCATGATCCATCCGCCGGAAGTGGTCATTTCTCAGTCTAGCAACAAAGATTTGTATGGGCCAGAACTGTAGAAGTATCGACAGTTCTGCTCTAAAGACACAGGACACGAAACTACGAAGAGAACACATAATATCTGCATCGACGTTCAAAACTAGTGGGCTCGGGCAGAGTTGAGATTCTCAACTTACATCATTCGCCATGTTCAGAGGAGTATCCTTGATGCCAAACTCTTTGAAGAGTTCTCGAGCATGCATGAAAGGGTTTGACAGTTCCATGAGCCAAAGGCACGCGACGAGCTCTGTCCCACACTGCATTACATCTTTTGCTTCGTTAGGGCACTGGAAACACGAAGCAAAGAAGAGATTGACGCTTTCCAAAACCTCTACAGGACTCAGACAAATTGTGTTACAGAATTCAAATCGAAATAAATTGAGCTCATAAACAACTGAAACCAAAACTAGATATTTACTGCCCAGACTACTAACCGTTTGAGTCATAAATCCATAACCAAGACCCATGATCGTGATGATATGGTGCACAGCATTGCCGATATCCCTCGGAAAAACTACCAGGCAGCAGAAGAAATCGTATACAAAGTACGCGAGGCTGGTCTTGATTGCACGCATCTGTAAGCATTCAGTTGTGAACATCATTGAAGCACATTGAGACCTAGCATAAAAGCTGACATCGATATACTTAATGCACCCTGCCCAAAGAGCCTGGACACGACTCCAGCAATGCTTCAAGAGTTTCACAACCATTTGTGCTCCGTAAACATCAAACCCGATTCACTTGAACTTGGATCAGGCGACATGCCCAAAAGAGCCCAACTGGATGACATGAAACAGAATTTTGACAGCGTTTGTCCGCTTGGTCTGAAACTTCATCATTTTCGTTACATTCAACTATAGTTATTACTTGAATGCAATGCACTACTGTCCAATTATTCACATCCTTCGCACAATTCATGCATTTCAATTTTCAGTTCCACCGAGATCGGCAGGCCATTCACGTCTGAGAGGGCGCTAATCGTTGATACTAACAGTCTAAGAAAAATATCTCGAGAGCAAGGTGCATGACACGTGCTCCACGATCTCAGGAAGACACATGTTCAAATCGATTCATACCAGAAAGACGAGGAAAAAGAGAGCAGAGTTTCATTCTGCATTCATTTCCTTCGAAACAATTGTACCCTGCATTGGAACAATCCAAATAGCAGATCGAGAAAAAATGCCCACCTGTAAGGCGGAAGAAGGACCGCCGATGCCATCCAGAGGGCGAGACCAGTCACTGACAGAGGCCATGCAGAGATAAGCTGCCACAAACACATGAACCATAGAAACGCAGCGATTGCAAAACTCGCCTGACTTCTTCTTCCCTAACAGAGCAGTCACAATGCCAAATCCGGCTCCCCATGCCACCGTGCCCACTGCCAGCCCTTGCCAGTCCGCCATCTCACTTCACTCTCCAAGCCCCCACAAACCTCAAAGCTTCCCTCCCTCCTCTCCCTGCCCTCCGTCCCTCTCACACCACCTCGCCCTGAAATTCTACCACCACCTCGATTCCACACTCCAATCTCACCCCGTGCACCGAAACTACGCACGGGCCGATCACTCTCGCCAACATTCAGCGACCGATGAAGAGCGACGCGCGGGCGATGCGCTCTCATGTACCGACTGCGAAGCGCTGTCAGCTCGTGCAGCTGCTGTGACGCAGTAGCACCATTCAAAGCTTTGAAATGCTTGGAAGAAGTAGCTCCCCAAGCATTGGTTACCTTTGACAGAACCTCAGCTAAGGGCTCACCTTCTGCGAGGCATAATTAATAATTTTCTCGGTGCATAATTGCGATTACTACTTGTGGATTGTGCTTTGCAGTGGACGGGACGAGGTGATCCAAAGTCTCTGGGTTTAGATCGTCCAACTAAGAAAGTCCTTCCACCATCTCTCAAAACTTCGAAGTTCATTATTTTACGCACCGCACCCAATGACGCTTTTCATTATACAACTCAAAATTTCTACATTGCTTTGAAAGTGCAGTTTTATGAGAGGCTTGAGACTCTCACGGGGTCAAGTTCAGAATGAAGGAGTCAGTTTTGGTGGACTACCTTTATATGCTCAATTAAAGCTGATCTTAGAGTGTAAATTGTTCGACTTTAATAAAATCATTGGTATTTCCAACATTCCGTCAGACTCTATGGTCAGTTTTAGCATTGTAGCAAAACATATACGACGATCATATTTTTTCTGATGAGTGCTTGTCATACGATAACCTTTGTTCCATGACAATGTATATTGGTTCACCATCTCATGTTTCGTAACCGGCGATTTGTGAGAAATGGTTATCCTTCCTTCCTTCCTTCCATTCACTTTGGACCTTATTTTTTGTGTACCGTAAACTTCAGAACGAGTACAAATGCTTTCAGCGAAGCCATCCCTAAACTTTGTGAGAGAAATAACCGAGTCAATGAAATGAGAGGGAAGTTCTCATGTCAGCTTTTTATCTAACAAAATGTTACGCCTTGCACTAACATGACAATTTGATTCACTTCTTCATCCGACCTAGAGAAGTACTTTCCGTTCATGCATACATGCAATGAAAGAGATAGAGAAAGGGAAAGTTGAGTTATGCGGGTAGCTGTTCCAATATAATCTTTGCATTGGTTCTCTCTATGCGCTTCAACTTTAATGATCCCACTATCAACGTTGTTGATGTATTGTGATTATTCGTAACTTTTGCCATTAGATAACAGAGGAGTAAATTTGATTGCTCATTCTTCTTCTTCTTTTCTTTGTATTGTGTTCTATAATTTAATTTTTTATTCTAAAATGTGAATTTTTATAAGTAAATCCAGTTTATTTTCAAATTTTCATTTACACAAACAGAAATCAAATCCGGTGACTTGCTTCAATTTGATTCTAAATATTCAGTATGTTTTTCAAAATACCAGTGAAAAAATTGACAGTATCAAATTTTTTTTAGTAGTAGTTCAATTTCTTAATTTCAACATAACAAATGTCATAACATTGGTAGTTAGTGCACGATACATAATCTACACACTCTTACCTAATAGAAATATATAAGCGTAACCAATCTCCTTTAGCCATAGTTATTTCGATTAAGTCTAAATTGATTACAAAATCACTTACATACAAAAATATGAAGTGCATGATCAAAAGAATCAAAGATAAAGTTCGATTTTTAAGGAAACGTGATGTGCTAACTAGCATGCATTGGTGTGTTAGATGAAGTGCAAGATGCTTTTTACAAATGTATCACTATAAGAGATCAAAGCTGCTTTATATACATGGTAGCCATAATTCATAGATTAGTATTTGAACACGTTTTATACCCATGAAACAATCAACGAAGGAAATCCTTAAAATCGCATCATATCTTTGAATACAACTTTAAAATCATTTTATCAACTTTGAACTCATTTTAAAACATCTATATTGTTCACATAAGTTGGATGAACCCTGTCAAAAAAGTGATCTTGCTCGGTTTTAGAATGTGAGGAGAGATTGTTTGTTAAACAATGATAATTGTGATTGAGCTGCAAGTGATGAGGAAATTATCATGAGTATGGATTATTAATAATGATATTGATAATAGATTTGGTGTTTAGAACGTGAAATCTAATTTACTACTTATATTCATCTAGTAACGTTATTTGAGATTTCACATCCTAGTTTAAAGAGGATACTACAGACAATATCATCTACGACATTCAAGTCATGGTGTGAAATGAAATATGTTTATGATTCTATAGTTAATGTTTGTTGCTTATCTCTCCTTTAAATTTTGAAGACAAATAATACTTAAAATCTTTACATAAACTCATTCAGAGATGAAAACTACGAAGTAAGTTTTGAGCGAAATCATATAAAATCTTAGAGATCTGAAAATCCAATTTTAACAAAGAGTTTTACAGGTAAAAAATCAACTTAAAAATTTATAGAAGTCATAATGAGAAGAAAAGAAGAAGGAGCAATGCAAATAATAAAGCTAAAAATCATAGCTTTCCAACTCTATGTTGATTTCTTCTTTTATGGCTTGCAAGTGACTTTCTGAACATTTTGGTGTGAATATATAAGAATGAACTTATGAATACAATTCTGGTCTCCAATCCACATTATTATATAATCATCTGAATATTTTGATGACGCAGGCTATTTTTTCATTAAAAAATATTAATAAATAAACATTTACTGGTATTAATAATATTATTTCATTTCACGAGGGTCGAAGATCTAAATCCTGTTTTGAAGATTTCAGCAAAGTCGGGGTCCGGACTCCTCTCTTCTCGCTTCCGCGAGGGAGCCCAAATCGGAATTATTTATATATTGTTTATTATACATATAGTTAACAAAGTCATGAGCACTTTCCACTTGTATGTCAATCACACGTACTACTCAGTTTCAATTGGTATAAAATAATAAACCCCTTATTTGATAGAGTTTTCCTTAAGAGTGAAATCTCTATCCATTAGGATGACTTAGGTGTTTAATCGCGCGTTAATACTTATTGAAAGACGTATATTTGATTGTATATTTATATACTGAATATTTTAGACTCCACGCGTCAAGTGCAAGTGCCTTCGGCATGATTCCGGCCTTTCTCTTCAAGAGCCCCAATTCCCAACTCGTGCTCGGGTTACACAAGGCCTCATAAAATTTGGCATTTTATTTTTAGATGCCAAATTTGCCAAAAATAAAAAGTCAAAATTGCCAAAATTGAATTGTTGTCTTTATTTCTGAGTTTGATGCAAAAATTCAAATATCGGATATTTAAAAAAATTATAAAATTTGACAATTGGAAGTACTTATATACGCTTAGATTCAATCAGCAAAAAGAGTACCACTCAAGTGATACTTTAACACCGTTCTAAGAGATACTCTTCGCTAACAGACCACCTGCTTTGCTGCTTGCCAAGTGATGATAGAATGATATAACCTCCACACCAACATAGTCACTCATCCAAAAGATCAATGACTTGTTAAACCTTCACATGTATGTGAAGGTTTAACAAGTCATTGCTAGATGAGTGACTATGACTGCAGAAAAATTTCTTCTCCTCATGTCTTTCACATTTCATATTCTTTTATACATGAATGTTTGATCATTCGTCATGTGACTTGGCTGAAGAGATATACTGTACCCCAAAGGATTATAGTATCTAGTTTTTTTCCCTCGATAAATTTGTGAACTTTTGACTGAAATTACTGAAAAATTGCAAGTTGTAAGTTTAATTGTGAAACACAAAACAAGGTTTGTTAAAAAGCAATACTTAGAACAAATACTCAAATTGTTCACTGAACACTGTATCACAAAGCAAGCTTATGTATTTGTACCCATTTGTATGAAACTTGTTAACAACTATTGTCAGTGATCTGTGATTCCAGTTTTCCGGTTCTTGGTAACCCTGAAAACTAGATTTAAAAAATCCTCACATCTGGTGTATCTTTTATGTCTTTTCATGTCCTTTTGTTATCGCTTTAATTTGTCTTCCACCTAAACTTTGTATCACCGTAGCCATGTATTGTCCTCGTCTTCCATTCTTGTATAGCTGTAGCCAAGCGATTGATGTTGTTGTGTACTGGTGGTCCTACTCCTACTCACCTAAAGCGCCTGGAGCTCAGTGGATAGAGCGTCTGTTTCCTGAGCAGAAAGTCATAGCTTCGATCCAAATCTCCCTTGTCTTTGACCAATTTCACATCTGTGACACTAGATTACGCTCCATGTCCGTCAGGTTTGCTTTATCCTGTATGCGTCACGCATTTAAGCACTAGTCTTCTTACAACCAGGGGTTGGATTTCTCCTACTTCTACTGACATCGATACATCTGCCTTTGCTGCTGGCGCACACAAAACGCCACGACCCGTCTAATTTCTTACCATTTTTTGCTCAACAATATGTTCCGATATTGATTCCACAAGCGATATTTATAATGCAAATAGATTAGGACTGCAGAAAAATATCTTGAACTTAAAAAGCTCCCCTCGCTATAGATCGGCCCAAATTTAACACCAGGCGTGCATATCCATTTGCATCGACATCTGACTCAATTCAGGAGGGAAAACCAACAAGCAAAGGTTTGGGCACATAGTTTGGCGTTCCTGCATGCTTGTTAAGTGTGTGACCAGAAGGGCAAACTACCAGTCCAAGGCAAGAAAATTGAGGATGATGACTCTACTCATCTTCAGCGATGATTTACAAACTTGACACTTCAAAACGAATTTTTGTTCTGAGGCTCAAGTAAGTCAGGCTATTTAGGTGTGCTGGTTTGCAAGAAGCTGATGGGGTTATAGTCCAGGATCATTCCACGAACTATGCCCCTTGTTCGCTGCCCAACTTGGATCCACCAGTTGTGAGTTTCGATTGAATGACTCTCCGTGCAAGATTTGCGAAAGCACAGATGAGGTTGATCAGAGGCTACTATATGACGGTTGCAATAGCGAGTATCACTTGTTTTGTCTTCCTCGTGAACTTACCCATGTCCCTGCAAGTCTGTGGTTTTTGCCCTCAATGCTCTACATGGATTTCCAATACTTTTTAGACCTATAATATGCAATGTTCTGAGGTCTTGAATAACATGAGATTTTTGTGGCCTTTCTGTTTTATTTAGATTTCCTTCCTTATACCAGTTTGGAATCTTGCTTACTGATTTCCATATAGCTGAACCGGGCCAGCATTTGAGCTAAACTTTGCGTTTCTTCTGGGTTTTAACTATTTTCAATAAGGTCATATTGCCATCTAGACTGCAATTAGTAGCTCTGAACGAGATTACTGCCTCTAGAGTTTTGGGCTCTTCATTATAAGATACATTTATAATCCGTCTTGGGAGGGAATCTTCAAGAAAGTTTTCCTCTCGCAGAGTTATTTATTGGAGGGGGCGGAGAGGCTCTAAGATAACAAGGTGTGTTTAAGTTTCATTCGTATGTTCGGGCATGTCGACATGATTTTGCAATGCCTCCACACACTCTACAAGTTGCGCATGCTTTTCAAAATTCTCAACAAATTGTGAATGGTCTTCGGCTACGGAGTAAAAGAAATCATCGTCTGCCTTGGCAGATCCCTCTCTCATATACGAACACATTCGTCCCGCTGTCTACATCAGAGATCAGAGGAGATTTGTAAATACTTGGTGCTGAAAGTTCACAACTTTCTTCTGTGTAGATCAGATACGCAAACAGCTATCGAGCACTCTTCGCTTCCCTTCATTTTCCACCTTCTTCACGCAGCATTTGTTGCGTCTGAACCTTCCATTGGCAGTTGGTGGAAAAGCACGATCTACATGAGGACCCGGCTCTTAAAAAAGGACGTGGTCATCGACGATACTCCGCGCCGTCATGAATTCACAAAGCGCTTTGTCCTTCCAGCAGAAGTTTCACAGTTAGATCGATGTATGCATTAACGGAAAAACGCAAGCGAAGGTGAGTTTCTCATGACATAGCAGTGATGCCTGAGGTCTGCAAGGTTTGTAAAGACGAAGACTCCGGTTTTTTGATCCTGGAGTCTTGATGACGAATCCCCAACACATAGCTGAAAATGCCCACTGTGTCTCACTTGCCTGATAAATCATCGAGCTAAAGTTTCACACGAACTGCTAGAACGTAAATATGGTGTAAATTTGACATGTCTACTGAGTTGAAGTGTTATTCATGTAGTCTGCGTGGAACTTTGTACAATCTCTCGAAGGGAGCAAAATCAAACACTAAGAATCGGGTTAATGGTTCTAATCCTGGTCCAGCAGCAACAGCATGGGCTGAAATGCCTATTAAATGCAACATACAAGCCTGTATATCAAATGCCTTTCGCATTCAATATGGAAACCTTTCGAATCACCACGCAACTTTTCATAGATGTTTCAACCAAAGATTAATCGACCTGGAACCTGATATGAACCGCCCTTTAGATCGGACTACCCCCAGATTTGAGCCAGACCCGTATGTCTAGTTTCAGGTTGATTTTATCTTTCTAACTTTCAAAGAGAGCCATTCTATGGCTATTACCTCAAAAGAATTCTATCAATGAATACTACCACGATAAATAATCCTCTACACGTAGATCAGAACTGTGCACAAGACATTCTGTATGCACAGTGCCTGAAAAAATTTGGGGCAATATTAGTTGAATAATGAGCTAACTGCGCAAGGGCCTTACCCTTCAGGATCTAAGATCTGTCGTAGCTTTACGAAGAAAGGATCGAAGCGTATTCCGGACACGATGAACCCGACCAAGTAATGTTAGGACCATCAGCCCATGGGACTGATAAACGGCCCAGAATCCCACGGATGTCTTTGACTATTATTGTCACGTGTGCAATGAAGAAATTAATAAAATGCAGATAAGCGTAGTCAGAATTTGTGTTCCCAAAGACGTAAAACGTCAGCTGGAAATGCATAGGTGCTACTTGTTCTTCTAAATATTCAGTTGTGTAAACCAGAATGGTTGCATGGAGTTCTTTATCTGAAGCGCTGGTTTTTTAAACAAAAGGGCCCTAAGCACATTTTGCCTAGAATAGATAAGGGATGGGTGTATTTCCAATATCTCTACAATAATAATAATATTTTAAATTTGCTTTGTATATATTTATGAAATCACCACAATCAAATTATGCAACTGTTGTTCGACGTTTCCCCGTGAACGCTAGAGTTTACTTCGATGAAAATTAGACATAAAATATTGACACGAAACTTGTCACCAGTGCGACAGTGATGAACCTCGTAGAAAGTCGAGGTTCATCACTGTCGACGGGCTGAATTTAGTGACATCGCGCTTTGCATTTCACATTTCTTTCACGAGTCAAGAATACAGTACTGTTACAAAAATCATTATTATTTCTAGTGGCCTGCTGTCTAATCAATTCCTTCCCTCCATGAGATATCTCTAACTTTCTGGCTCAGATTCAATGGCCAATACTTGGGAAAGCTGGACAGGACGCTGAAGGCATCCGGGAATTCCTAAATATATACTTTCCTCTCCGCAGAGCGATGGTTGGTTACATGTTTTGTGCAACTCGTTAATAATATCAACACGTCTACAATCAGAATTTTGTGACTGTAGATTATTTCCTGCGGTTTCCTTTCGAGTCATATGCATTACAATCTCACCTGATGCGCCAGGTAAGATAAGCCATTCTGCACGTTTGTTTTGTTCAATTCATGCAATTCCTCCCTGGACCTTAGTAGTCGAGTAACAAGCACCCACAAATTTTTTAGCCTTGAGTATATCATTGATTACCACATATTCTATCAACACTGACAAACAAAAGAAACAAACAAAATAGACAGTTTAAAAGAAGAATTGTCAAGGATTGTGAGTAAATGAAATGTAATCTACAATATGAATGGATGAAATTGAATGACTTGATATTCATCCGATTGTCTTATTTGAAGTTTATATAAGAAGATTGTGTGTAATATTTGGTATTGTACATTACCCTGAAGAGAGGCAATGGATCATTTATAAATAAAATTTCCTAATAAACCAAGGTTAAGATTTCATATATAGCTTTGTTCGTGTTATGATTTAAATTTCTTATATGTTTAGTTAAATAACATGATAAAAGCGAATTGATGATACTCTAGACATGTTCAAATTTAAAATCATCTTTCTCGTAATGCTCTCAGAGGTAATTCGCTTTCAACTTAAGAACAAAACTATGAGAATAAAATGCAATATGACCAGATTCTTATTTATAAGTAACGGAATAATTACACAAACTTTGGTAATTGATCAAGCGATAATGTAAATGTATTACACGTGATATATTCTTTGATAATAGATCATCATGTGTGATAGTTCTCCTTAAAATCTGATATCGACTTTTGTGCTCTAAATTCGATACTATAAGTGAATGGTTTGATGAGCAGATGTTTACATTGTGAGTAATTGAGGTTAAAAGTCGTCGGACGAGCTCAAATTAAAACTAAATTTTGATATGATGTACCTTCAGAGTTAACCGTGAATTTTTGAAATGTCATTTCAGAAGCACAACGAGTGCTGTATTTACGTAAAATACGTGACAAGTTGTAGATGGTTTTAGAAAGTTTAGAAAAGCACAGCCATTAGATCAAATTAAAGGTACAAGTTGCTTCAAATGGTCTGATGCGCCGTTTATTGTTCCCGATATCGCCTGTCTCGACGCTGCTACCATAACATGTCTGTCTATTCGTGGTAGACGTGCTGATCCTAAAGAATTCGACGGGTGTGCGTTTCTGAAAACCTGGATGGTGCAGAGAATCAACAACCACGTGCACATCCTTCTGGATGAGCCCGATCTAGATGTGAATATTGTATTTTTCCACGGCTTGCAGATGCAGAAAGACTCAGACGCAGTGAGTGCGTACTGGAGAACATGGAAGATGAGAAACAGCGAAGAATGCTGGCAGTGGAGTTGCTCCCACGACTTCTCGTCCACGAGAAGAGGAATGTCAAAGTCAAGGTGCTCGCGGTAGCGTGCGAGGCCAGAGCAGACTTGAGTTAAGAAGACAAGGCAATGAAGCGACCGATGAGTATCTCATAGATGAAATTTCTGACTCAGATCCTCATATTCGACAGCGAAGGAGTCGGGCAAAAGGGAAGGAGTGCCAGTGGTTCTCGTTGGGCCTGACCTCGGCGGAATATTGATAAAGACATTTGTTCTGGAGGTAGAAAGGAGAGCAATCTTGCTCGGATGAGGAGGAACTCGGCAAGTTCCTCCGCAATCTGGTGTGGCATAGAAGAATCGGTGTTCTTCTATGCCATACCTCACTCTCGATCGAGGATTTTGGGACTGCCAACAACCGTGGATGAATTGGAGCGGAATCGGATGATCTTTCTGATGGAGTTGTTGAAAAATCACACAGCAAGAATGAATGAGGAATTCTCTCAATACAGATATCGGTCTAATGACTCGAAACCAAAGCGGGCAAGATTCACTTCATATGCGTTCCATGCCTTACATGAGACAAAATTGGTAAAAATGTTTCTCACACCAACTCTAACTAGAATCTCCTGAAGCTCTCATGTCTTTACGTTGGTTCTCTCTCTCTCTCTCCCTCTCTCCCTCTCTCCCTCCCTCCCTCCCTTTGAGTATGTGCTTGATTGATATTGTCGATTTTTAGCACTCAGTTCCTCCTCTAATTCCTGCAGTGTTGCAGTTGTTGGCAGGGGGGACCGATATGTCCAGATAGTTGAGGAGGCATCCGCCATGGCGAACAATGACCTCTTTTACTACACAACAGCAAGCCACTACACGGTTTGTCAACCCCAAGATGAAATTTTCGACGAGCGTTCAATTGTTTGCGAAGCTAGTAATCTCCCGGGTGCAAGAGCGAAGAAGGAAGCCGATATCAACCTGTCAAACCCTAAACGAGTAAAACATCGATGGAAGCATTAGTCGGCGGCAAATTTTACGTTTAGCAAAGATCCATTGTATATATTGCCGATTCTTGCTTGTTGTTCTGTACATATGTACAAAAAGGTTGTGATCCGTGGACGAACTCATAGTCTAGGAGGGATGGATTTATTAACTACAGTCAATATTCAAAACTGTCAGCAGAAAATACGTAAGATAGCTAGTCTAGGGCTTTCACCACTAAGGGCCAAGTATGTTCACATAGGCCTGTACACCTGATCATTTGGTCCGAAGGTACAATTTCCAGTTATAGATGCGATTTTTGGATACAGCTTAGGATTGATTTGTAAATTGGAGAATGACAGGATGAGCTTTAAATAGCTTCTCACTGACTGGATTTTGATTTTCTTCAGACAGCTGATAGCAAGGGCATAGATTTTATACTTTCACACATGTAAGTATTAACCTCCATGGCTTGCCATCCAGTTGATCAATGGAATAGGTTTCTGAGAATCCATGTAACAACATCTCAACGAATTGAGGTAAATTTGTAAAATCAACTGAAATTCACTGAGTCCATTCGCATCGTAGGCTCATGACAGATCTAAACGTTGGAAAGTTCGAAATTTCTACAGTCTGGAACAGTATTTTATGGAGTAGAGTCATCTCTTTAACTATGTGACTGGAAAAATTTCGCCATAAAAAATTTCTTTCGAACAGTTATATAATTCGTGCAAAAACTACATTCATAGTCCAAATCTATGATTTTAATTCAAATTCTACAGACCCTTATTGAACATATATACTGAATGGATATAAATGGCATACTGCAATATTCTATTACAAATTTGAAGTTGTGATAACCTATTAAGGTAAATGTCATATTATTGGCCTGTGAATTTTATATAATAAGCCATTGTTAAATGTAGTGCAAGTTATTTTTCGACTTTATAGGTGATGAAAAATTGAACAATATCACAATTATCTTATAATAATTTCACAAGTAAAATGACTGAATTATTTCATGAATTTAAATTTCAAAAAAAAATAAAAAAAATGAATTTGACTCCCTCCATCCTCAACTTGGACAAACACTATAAAGTTCTAATGGACCCTATCATTGACCCATGTATCACCATTGCTACCTGTCTTTTATGAAACTGTCAAAGGAGAAAAAGCTGAACTGAGATAGTGCTCCAAATTGAAGACAACTTCAGTCTCCCGATACAGCACATTGGCTCATTACTCTGGCTCATACGGTAAACTCAAATTGGTCAGATGTACAGAGGTGCCTGTTGTGTACCAACCGAGACCAGAGAATTTATGATATTCAGATCTCAACTCCTTGGAGGCTGAGGAAGAAGGGAGACAAGACTTTGTAAATCCTTCAAACTGAGTTCAGACGAAGATAAGGACGGAGACATTGTCACCGTCTTTGGAACAATGAGGTCAATGCACGCCAGTTAGTTGACGAATCTTACACAAATGGTGTCAATGTCCGTCGTTGCCAACTTCAACGCCTTTCCTAATTACGATCAGATAAGAGTTCTGCGATTTTCAACCAGCAGAGTCAGAGAGAAGTTCACCATATCAACCAGAAAAAGATGTCCTATGCTTCTCGGGACAGGATTTTCCCGTGTCTAGCTGATCTTTCATGTCCTCCGACACCTCGCTGCGCTCAGCATCGGGACCTTTCAAGCTGCGTAGGAACATCATCTTTGAACCATAGCAATTTTAGAACTACATGAATTGGAATTGGGGGACAGCCTAGTGGAAAACAATAGGGTCACTAGAGTTCTTCAGTAAAAATTTCTTTCCTCTCTCGATCGGTTCCCAAGAGAATCGTTCAATCTACCCACTGCGTCAGTGGCCAAGTCTGTGCGATTTGTGGATCAATGAAGGAGAGAATAAAACCAGAGAAGAACAATCACCTGCTGCAATTCGCACATGTACGTTAGGAGCCGGAGAAGACGAGTGAGAGGGAGAACGATAAGGTGCTCGAGAGCGAGAACTCGAAGGTGGTTGAGACAAAGACCGTCGGTGATGTCCTCGAAGGTGATCTGAGGTGAGGACGATGGTCACAAACCGAAGCCCAATCTACGTTTTGTGTGGCACAAATCGAGATTGTTGGAAATAAATAAAGAGGTCTCGCAGCTCATGTGAAGAAGCTTCTACCATAATTTAATCCCAGAATGCGAAGAGGAATATGCGAAGAACAAATGTAACGGATACATATCTTTGAGTACGAATGCAGAGACCATGAACATAAACGAGAATTGAGGTCCGATGCAGAATCTACAGAACAAGCACGTCAACGTTGAATGTCTCAGCTCATCGTGAGAGGAAGGTTTCCAGCTGCAAGATCTATGCTCCCACGTCCTGTGATTTCCCGCGTGAGCCCGCTACGTTTGCAAAGAAATGCAAACCGGGTGCAAATCAGAGCCATGTGAACTGAACCTGCGAACAGTGACAAATTCGAGCATTATTATTCAGTTTCCGAGCGTTCGCCGTGCGATGATTTGAGCATGTTGAGTTGCATGGGTCTGATTTGTGGACCACATTCGATGCATCTGGAAACAGCGCCTGGAGCAAGCTCCGGATCCCCGTGGTGGCTCAGATGTCGCCCGCAGCAGGGCCTTGCGAAGTCTCTATCGAGCTCATCCACATGCACGGTTCAAACGCGATTGCATGGCTCACGAATATTGCTGTCGAATAACACCTCACGACGAGATTTTCGCGCCTTGTACGCTGATGAAATGGTATTCCAGCCCGCCAGCAGAGCTGCCCTCAGATGCCCCTAACCCGTACATGATCGTAATCCGACTACATTTCTATATTCAACGCTCATTTGGATTAATGAATCAGTGTGAGCACAAAGCTCGCAGCATAGTTTCTTCATGAATGTAATAGTTAATAGTTCGTTATTTCAGTTTTGAGAATCTTGGAATTTTTTTAAGCCAACACGTTCAAATTTATTTTTTTCTGTATGGATGTTAGACATCGAACGCTCTGCAACCGTGGCCCATTTTTTTTGGTTGGAAATATTGGACTATTCTCGAAGCCAGCCCCTTAGAGACTGGGAATCTGAGACCGCAATGACTTTGCATTTGCACGACATTAACTTTGCATCCCGAGAGTTCTTGAGAGATTGGCCGTCGACAGGCGCCAATAAATTTTTCTAAGTGAATGTCACGAATCAAAAGCCCAGCTCCCGTGAACCATTTTTTGGTGGTAATCTTGGGATATACTCGAAGCTAGCCCATGGAGTTAGATACTGGGAAACTGAGACTGCAATGATTTTGTGTTATCACAATTTCCAGGATTTAGTTGCCGCCCGAGAGGCCAGAGACAGACACGTGTCAATACATTGTGGGGAAATCTGCATGCATTTGGATGAATCTTACCAACCACTCCAATGCACCAACTTGTATCCAAAACTGATGCACTAAAACTGGTGCAGTCTTTTCCTTTCACGTTAATGTGAAAGTAAAAAGAATGACCTCTATGCATATTTTTACATTTTTGCATTCCCAATTAGGAAATACGATCATGAATTCTAGATTGTGTCACATGTGATATGAATGACCATAACGTTCTTAGTAGTATCATGATATTTTTACTAAATTATGGATACAGTCCAATATGCGTGTATTACATTCTAGCTATTCAAATTCTTCTACCTTATCAAAAATTTCATATCATGGAAAGATGTACCCTTCCCATGTTATTATCACTCATACATAAGAAATGAATATATCTTACATAATTTTACAATTTATATGTGTGAATATATATATATATATATATATTAAACACAACCATGTTAGTATTCTCAACATCAAGAATATTTCTTTTTGGATCAGCAAGTTAGATGATCTGTGTATTTCAACCATAAGCCTGACAGAAACAAGTTGTACGAAACGAAATACTTTGGTGAATAACAACATGTACTATTTAAATGTTAGAAGAATTAGCTTTATACACCAAGAGAATATATCAAGGTTGTGAAAATTATTGGTACAATGAATGAAATGCAGATATATCATTCCTTTAGTTTTTATCAATAAATACAGGAAAAAAAATAATCGTAACTTAAATTTATTTTTAAAAATATTTTAAAAGAAAGACATTTATAAATTTACACAAATCTCAAGGGTAGCTAAGTTGACAAAAAATGTAATATTTTTCAAAAATAATTTTATAATAATAATATCCTTGTTCAAATATCTCTTTTAGAGTTAGTTGTTTGATGATTTCATAATCATATCAAGCATGATAGTGATGCATTTCTTCTCATGTCTTTGTTAACTCTGTTTATGAGCTAACTAGAAAATTATATATCTGATTCTTTAGTTTTTTTTCAAAGATTATTGGTTTATTAACCTTTTATTGCTGTAAATAAATCAAAGATTCTCTTGTGTTTTCTTTTTGCTGAATTGAAATTTCAAATTTTTCATATTACAATTTAACAAGTTGCTGTGATAAATATATTTAGATTTAATTCAAAAACTAATTTGGGATATCATTGCATGACATGTGTCATGATCATACATATCAGACATTGCAACATGTATTTTTTTATGCATACTAATGTTGATTGTGCATGAAATATGATGAATAAGTTCCAGCACTAATTTATCATTTATTTGTTATACAGAGATATTTTAACTCTTGGATAAACATATATTTCATCAACAAAATCATTTCAAATAACGAAATGTGGTTCAGTAAAGTAAACATTTACACAGCGGATACAATCATAGATAAGTCACATGGATTACCTTCTTCAAACTTTCGTTCAGGAATACACAAAGATAGCTTATTAAAATTCTTAATTCATCACTGATTGCTGCAATGAGTTATTTTTTATAATTATAGACTAGCTAAATCAACTACTCATGACGAAGTTACCCAATACCTGAGTTAAGTACACTATTTCACATAACCTTTTACTCCATACACATAAGAGTATAGGTTGTTGTAAAACTTCATTGGTAACATGCGTCAAACATCTCATCTTTGAATCAAGATTAATGAATCCACGTCACACATACATGTAAACTGATGTAGTTTCATTCATAATAAGCTCAATGCTTTGGATACTACAAGCAAGTATTCACATAATTACAACTATATTGAAAAAAAATCACGTGCAAATTGATAAGTAGTATGCGATAAGATTGTTCGCGTTTATGAGAGATGTGGCCATACAGTTCTCGGATGTTAGCATAGTGCATAGTCAGTCGTGATGGCAGATGGTGAGGATATGAATTGACATTGATAGAGTGACTTTGATGACATAACATATACAATGGTTCCGACAAGTAATAAGAATTGGAAGTGTTTGGAGGTTCAATCTTAAGAGATAAATGTTACAGTGGAGATACTGTATCCTTGTAGAAATAGAACTATTTAAAAATATTTAGGACCCTGATGACTTTGCCTCTGAATTTAAATCGATTCTAAGGTTTGTATTTCTAAAAAACCTTTTTTATGTTTGTTTGGCACGAATATTTTTTCCATAATTGATAATGACCATGATTTATAGGAGACGACTAGGGCCATACTCGTTTTTTTAACACAACACCCACTATATACATCAAAACACGCCTCTCCTCAAACCCAACTGCTAAACCGAGGTGTTACACGAGATAGTCGAGAGTATTAGAGGGGCGCGGCAGCCGTTTCGCGCGTTGCTGGGGCTTCGGCATGGTAATTAGACTGCAGGTTAGATCAACCCCGACCGTATGCCTGTGGGCTGACGGCATACGGTCACCGTTGTGACGGTCTCTCCTTTGTCACCGTCGCGTGAAGTACTCAACCGTCGAGCTCGCACCCTCTAGAAGCCGTTCGATGCATTTGTTCAACATGAACTTCGATTCTCAGCGGTAAAGCGCTGGCTGCTCCGTAGCTGCTTTGTCGATTAGAGGGTTTAGGGTTCACAAGATTAGAATTCATGCACCCAGGTAGGGGGGTCATTCCTCAGACACGGCAGTCACTTCTGATAAGGATTCCACGGAATAATGAGGAAAATAAGCACCATCCCTGTGATGGAGACCTAGACATGCACGAGTATTATGCAATCACGTCTCGAAATCGACTCATCCTGTTCATAAACGCGATTAGATCGGTTTCAGGGACTAGCTGCCTACAGCTCCGTAGCTGACATTGTGCTCGAAATGTTGCAGCTTTACAGGACTAAAATTCATCCTGCCAGCTTCTGGTAAATTTCCATGGCCCCGACCAAGCCAAGCCTGCCGTGAAGTCATGGAAATTTCCATACCAAGCCTGCCGTGAAGTCACGGGAGAATACGTTTATCTTGGGGTCGTAGCTCTTCCTTTCTTTCGAGAATTCTGCGATTCTTGTTAATTTTAATGGGATGGTGCTCCACTGACGGAGCGCTCGATTTTATCCAGAGATATTGGGATAAAATAGTCTACTTGGATTTTATTCAAAACTTGTACTGAAGAAAAACTGAAGATCCAAGACTATGAGCCCGGCACGAAGGCTCTTGGCTCGCACACCGTATGGGTTTAGGCTGATCCGCCATCGCAAAGTGCATTCCAAGAAATGCGAGACGAACATTTTCTCCGGCTTCGCCTCGAAAACCCCAGTGACGGTGACCCACGAACGGTGTACGTATACCGTCAACCCGCGAAGTATACGGTCGGGGTTGATCTAGCCAAAAGTGTAATTAGCGGGCGTGGCCCTAATCTAGCGTTAAAAAGCTCTTTGGAACGGAAAATGCTCTTTGTCATTACTGATACAAACCCAAATCGGCTTCTTACTATAAGGGGCTGCCGCCTTCGCCTAGGCGAGCTATCCGCCAAAGACTATATTGGCTAGACAGTAGTTTTGAACTGGCAGTTACCGGGAGGGCATAATGAAGGGAACTGCTTGAAGAGGATGGGGCCACGAAGAGAGTACGGAAACCGTTAGATGCTCGATCCTCCACTGTGCACGTGCTTAACACAGAGCGGTCATCCAACTTTATTGGAGGACCGCAATCTGTTAACCACGTGCAGGGGGGTTAAGGGTTCAAGCAAAGAACGGTTACCGTACCTTACAGGCTAGAGTCCTGATGTCCAAAGTTCGAACGCTGAGGAGTAAGCCAGCTCAAATTTGCCTTTCCATAATAAATGGAGTGGATGCAGGTACCTAAGCCTAAACCCTGAGCCTAAGCTGACAAACGTAAAATGTCCATGAACTTTGGACACAGACTTTAACACCATCTCGACTTTATCTATGAACCCAATTGATGAGAAAGTTGTTGAAATCACTGGTTTTGCTAATAGTTCGTCATCTTTTACTTTAAAGTGTTCTCTGTTGATTGTAATTGACAAAGATGTGAACAATAATCAACGTGGTGCAAATTAAACTTCTTAAAGCAGGAGGTCAGATCTTCATCGATAGAAACAAATGGGGACTCGTCGTTTTAAAAAAACAGCCGCCACAATCCGTTATTAATGCACAAAGTGCATTAACTACAAAATGCAAATGATCTTAAATGTACGTTCAGAGGTTGAATGGTGATCACCCCTCATTTATGAGAGAGTTAAATATTCCAATGGAACTTCAGCCATTGCGTAGATGAACATCCAACGTATGTGCATGAATCGTTGATTAACAAATAGAAGTGTTGAGTAAGAGATTTACGTTTATTCACACTCAAGAATTTCGCGTATCTAATTTTATATCCAGTTGACCAAGAGATACAACAGTCATCCAAGAAAGAATTTGACCAAAATGCAATAATGAAATATTATTCCAAAACGAAATAGCTCAATAGATATGGTGATATGATAATTACAGGTGAAAAAAAAGAATTTGTAATGATCAAAACATGATAGGTCTATGCACCGCTATCTTGACATCGTCAAACACAGATACACATGGAAAGACGTTGAGAATTAAAAACACATATTTCTTTACAAATAATCTGTACATGAATATGTAGTTTTCTCCTCAATATTCTTCTCACATACAAGAATGAGATGGCAAGTTTTATTCCCGCAATACGACGTCAGAAAGATGAATAAATAAAGTTGAAGAAGTCCTAACGATAACAGTAAAAGTTGCAAAATGAATGTCGAAGAAGAAAATGCATCATTCCGAACCAATTTTATTATATATTTTCCCCCCTCATAAAAGCGACCAAAAGATGAACGGTTGATATGTGAGAAATAGGTATTATCTTATACTTCTACAGCCACTGCAATAAATGTTAACTAAGTGTTAACTGCAATGCAATAAATGTTAACTGGTGTCATGTCTGGAGCCTAAATATTCGTACTGTCATTCGTAGCGTCTTGGCGTTCTACCTCACCCGACTGCCGTCTCGAGATATTCCCCGGCAGTCTTTTGCGGCACAGGTCTCAAGGACAGAAGGAGCAACGCATGAGCCTTCGCCGTGAACAACAAGCGGGCGAGAATATTCTCCTTGCCGGCAACTCACGGACAAAGTTCCGTCAGTCGAGATATCGCCGACTTGAATTTCTGCCTCTCGCGCATGACCTTTCTCCCTCAGTCACAGCATGCGAATCTCGCAGTGCTGCACCGCACGCAAAATCAGTCCGACGAGTGGCTCGATGATCTCCTCCGCTGCAAACTCAACTGCAGTTCGGATGTGCTCGACGAGCCTTCCCGTCTGTCTGTCCGTCCGTCCGTCGCTAACTCACTCACTAACGTGTCCTCTTCCCCGCCGAGAACCCCTAAACCCAGTGAGTGAACCGCATGTTGTTGAGGTGGGGTGGGGGTGCGGGGGTACCGTGAGATGCGAGGGACGGAAGCAGACGTTGCCGCAGTAGTTGCATTTGCCGGGGTACGTTGGATATCAGAATCGGAAGAACCGAAGCCGGTTCCTCGAAGGCAGACAGACCGGGAGGGCTGGGGGGCTGGGGGGGTTTGAGCATACGATCATGGCAGCAGCAGTAGCGTGCAGTCAAAGCAGAAGCAGAAGCAAAGGCAGAGGAAGATGGAGCAGGCTCTGCGGCGGTGGGACCCGACGATAGGGCCAACCAGCGGCAGCGGATCCTCGGACGAAAAGGGAGGGGGAGGGGAGGGGTCAGGCGAAAGGGGCACCGAAGCAGCACAACGAACAACCGGCACCACGACCGATCGCTGTGCTCCGATTCCTCCTTCTACGGGCGACCACCACCACCACCGGAGACTTCATAAGCTCGCCGGGCACGCACTCCAATTCGTCTCCCTCGCCTGCGTGTCGAATGTTCGTCGCAAGCCAGCCAGCGAGCGAGCGAGAGAGCGAGGCAAGGCAAAGCAAGGCTCAGCAAGGACGCAAGCTCACACAATATCCTGCTGCTGCTGCTGCTGCTAGCTGCCTGACTAGCTAAGCTCCCTCCGCTGCTGGACGACCGAACGAACGAAGGAAGCACGGGCGGCCCGGGTTTCCAGAAAAGATACAAACTTCCCTCTCTATAGAAGTGGGACATTCAGAAGAGAATCGAGTTTCCTGTCTTGTGTGCAATTCGGTGCAATAACCGAAAATCATGCTCAGTAGTACTATTTCATGTCGTTGATGTTCCGCCCCCCGCCCCCCTTCTCCACCGCCTGAGACATTCCCAAGTTGCAGTTTGTTTCCCAACTCTCCCCTTGTTTCCCGCCCCAGGACGCTTGCAGATTGATCACACCGTACTGCTCCTACCGTATGCGGAAATCCTACCCCATCGCTTTGCCGACCTCCTGCCTGCCTTTGCGCTCCCATTCTTGCGAGTCCAAGTCACTGGAGTGGTCTTCTCTGCAGATAAAGAATCTGACATGTTGAATTGGCTGCGCTTCACTGGACACTAGTGTCACTCACTGCCCCGCAGAATTCGAGAGAGCCTGCTGCTTCCACACACCTGGTATTCCAGGGCGCCATTCGAAGGCAACCCTGCGTCGACCTCGCGTAAATTTTTCGCTCTCTGTGGTCGGTCAAGAGTGCATCAATTGAGCCAAGGAATGCAGCCTGCCGGACGTAAATCAATGAATTTACGACGTTGCTGAATTTGGAACGACCCGGGCTCGGTTTGAGATTGTGCAGCGGTCTTCCTGGCTTCCTGCGCTTCACTGGACTCTGGTTTCACTCACTGCCCCACTGAATTCGAGAGAGCCTGCTTCCACACACCTGGCATCCGAAGGCAACCCTGCGTCGACCTCGCGTAGATTTTTCGCTCTCTGTGGTCAAGAGTGCATCAATTGAGCCAATGAATGCATCCTGTCGGACGTAAATCAATGAATTTACGACGGTGCTGACTTTGGAACGACCGGGACTCGGTTTGAGATTGCGCAGCGGTCTTCCTGATTTTGGAATCTGGGCCCCAGCGTCAGTCCAAGCCAGCCCCCCGGTGAGCTATGCGCAACGAGTATCGGTCGACATCTTGAAACGAAAATTATATTTGGAATTGAAATTATCAGCAAATTCGGCAACAGTGGTCCTGAATTCGTCGCTTCAATCGCGCACATTTCGCTTCAATGGATGTACAAGAACCTATGGCAACGTCTGCCGCAGTCGCAGGAGCAGGGTGCACGGAGAGCGGGCCGGGGAATTCCGGCAGCATTCCATCGACCCGTGACTCCGAAACTCCGAAATCCCGTCAAGCCATAGCAGGAGCGCCTTCTTCGAACGATTGCACAGAAGTGCAAATCGAGGCAGCGACGACAGCCGAAATGAAGCTGTCGCTCTATGGTCCCACAGGCCTCCTGTTACCCCGTAGATCGATCTTGAGCTATGGCACCGGGCACATGCTCAATGATCTCACCGCCGCTTGCTGGTTCACCTATCTTCTCATCTTTCTCACCGACGTCGGCTTGTCTCCCCAGTAAGATTCAGTTTTCTTGATTGATTGCCCTTCGCAAACCTGATGCAGACGCCAGGCAATTGCTGTAATTTGGTCAAGCTGTTCTTTCTGTCGTATTTCCTCTGGCTTTGGCGATGTTTGTGATTCTGGTAACTGGTAAGAGGGACAAATTTTGTGACCAAAATTATGTGGAGAGAGTCAGCTGGAACTCTTAGCACAGAATCACCAATGACTATTTTTCTCAACTGTATCTTTGGTCTTGAACTATGCGTCGCACTCTCATCCAGCGCTGCGTTTAATCTGTGATCGGTAAATTTCTTGATTTTTTCGTGGGTGACAGTTGTCTGTGGGATGCTTTTCCAGGCAAGCAGCTACGGTGATGTTATCGGGTCAGGTTGCGGATGGAATTGCAACAATTTTTGTTGGACAGCTGGTGAGTTGGACATTACATGCGTGGTGCTAAACGGAATTGCATGCATTGTGTCATTTCTGTGACTCCTACATGTGGTTCATGCACAATTGTTGTTGCTTGCAATCATGTGTTCAATGTCATAATCGTATTTCTTGGGGATTTTGTACAGATTGACAAATTCGGTCACTTCAAAATATGGCACGCTGGTGGATCTATTTTAGTGGCTCTGTCCTTCTCCTCCGTCTTTGGAGGTTGTTACGCCTGTGAGCTGCTGGGAACAACGTCTTTTTCTGCAATAACCATCGGTTATAGTACATTTGCTGCAATCTTCAATCTCGGTTGGGCAGCAACTCAAGTCTCCCACATGTAAGTATGCGGATGATCGTACTCTTAGTGTCAAGTTTGTACATGAAGGACACTCAAACTACCCAAATGTCTGATTTCCTGTGTAAATCATTGTGCTTGTCTCGAATTCTTCCCTTGCGATGTGCAAAATACTTCTTCAAATTTTTTTGGGCCGATCATGAAATTAATAAGAGATGCAAATTAAATGCTGGAACCCTTCGTTTTGTTTGATTCTTTTCATTATTGCGGAGTTACCACTCTCACAATTTGATATAAATACAGGTCTCTTGTCAACTGCATAACGGCTAACGCGACGAGCAGAGTATCGCTCAACAGCTGTAGGAATGCCTTCTCTATGGTAATTATTTCTATGTGTTTGCTCCAGAAGCTCGTCTACACAAAGATGTCTGTAATCTTTTTTTGAAGTCTAAGAATGATAAATTGTATCCATTGGCACGTGAGAATGTCAGGATAGACTTGATCACCTTAAGCCGTTTCCAACACGTCTATTATTCGAGCAAAAAAATTCGTGTTTCACATGTTAGCTTATCATTGAAAGGTGGCAAGCACAGTTCAAGAACTTGGATTTCTAGATTTGCATGACCTTGTCAAGATATACACTTATCACTAATTTATTACTGGAAGCGTATTCAGCACACATAATATGTCTACAAGAATCTCTTAAATCAATGCAAGATGACCTGTTGGAAAGGGGAATGATGCTTACCAACCGTAGTCATTCACCTACACAGTGAGGAGAATATACTGTGTGCTTGTAGCTCTATTCAGTTGGTTTATGATTATTTCAATACTCGAATGTGCCAGCAAACTGCACAATAACTTTGAAAAAATCTGACCTTTAAAATTTTGCAGGTTGCCAATCTCTGTTTATATGCGATCGCCTATGTGGTGTTTTGGATGTTTCCTGGAACATCAGCGGAAGGAGTTCATAAACAGGTACTGCATCATTTATTCCTTTACTAAACATGCGAAGTCATGGCAGAAGTAATGCTCTAATTTTTTGCCCCATTCTTCTGTTCACCCTCTAAGCAAAGTCAAAACAATCGAATACAAAGTTTGTCAGTTTCTTCCAGATGAAAGCAGGATGAACTGATAGTTTTGTAGAATCACAGGATTGTGTTGTAACATTGTTTTCTCGAATCCAAGTTTATGATACCCCTGTCTTGGAAACACTGTTCCTTTTCCGTGGTGACAAGCAAGGAAATCTGTTTGGATGGGTGCTTTTTTTAAGATTTTATTACCCATGTAAACCTCACTATGAGCTCCAGGGTGTGGAGGTGTAAGACTCTTAGTCCAGTGGTGATCTCGTAGGTCCATTGGGTGTCTGCTGTAGATTTTGGTATTGGTAATGATTTGTTTTTTACCACAAGCACTACTGACATTTATCACTTCACCAGTTCCGATGGATCGCATGGATTTCAATCTTCACCGGGAGTTGTTTTGTGATTGTCTTCCTCTTCGGGGTCAAAGAGCCGAGGTAAAGGTCAAGAACACCAATTCTCCTGTCGTATATCCAACATCAGTCCTTTCATGTGAAACATGCGAATGCAGCAAGCGTGGTTTATTATATCCTCTGAGATGAGCCCAAGGTCTCATAAGGAAATATCCACCACGTTGGTTTTGCAGATTATATCACCATCATTCGCCAGCAAAGAGCACATTTGCAAAGACAACAGTCTCAACATGGTTCAAGAAAATATTGTATTATCAAGTCGCTGTTGTCTACACGCTCACCCGTCTTACCACCAACGTTTCACAGGTTAGTTCATTTATTTGAAAGACGATGAGTATTTTGTCAATTATTTGTTGTTAAGGGTATAAATGCTGATATTGTTATTGAGCATAGTTTAGAGAGTATACTTCTATCTTTACTTTCCTTGCTTCATGCTCATACAACAAAAATGATAGCTCTGTTCACGTTCTTTGTTAATATTAGAAATATCACACGCTGTATCTCGTTTGAAATCTTACAACTCTGGTTTGAAACAGGCTCTTCTTTCCTTCTATCTCATTGATGATCTTATGATGGGAGAATCTTCAAAGGCTGTGGTAAGATTACACCGACACAATAGTAGAGGATTTTTCCCAGTTTACTTTCCTGGTGAACAGGTTATTCCATTGTAAATTTTTGCAAATTTTAGATGCCGTATTGGTGCACGAAATAGAAATTATTGGAGTCTACTGAAAGGTAAGATTGGTGCTAATTTGAACTTCTGTCTTTTGTATATACCAGATTCCAGCTCTGATATACATCTGCAGTTTCTTGACATCCATAGTGCTACAGGTAAGCTGAAATCTAAACAATGTGCTGGTAAATGCTGTCCCAAGCTGCCTTTTGAAGACAGATATTGTCTACTTTCCCTCACCAGTTTACTGTGCGAAGGCATAACCGAGCATAGATTTGATTTGATTTGTGAACTGGACACTTCTAATCATTGCGTACATTCTCAAAGCAGGAGCTGCATTGGACTGGTCATCGGTTGAAAGGAGTTTATGCTGGAGGGGCATGTCTATGGATCTTTTCAGGAGCTGCTTTATACCTCCTTCCTATCGATTTCAAATCTTCAATCTACGGTTTGGCAGGCATTATCGGGCTAGGAAATGCCTTGATGCTGGTATGTATAGCAGTTGCTCTCTTGGTCAAACTATCATAAAGTATTTCCCTTCATGTATGAGTCGATATGTGTGGATGAAACATTTCGTTGTTGAAAGTTTATAGTAAACCACATGAAGAATACAAAGCATGTAACTGCTTTTCTCTGAAGCTGCAATGATTTCACTTCATGACGTGTGTTATCAATTGCCAAAACAGGTGACGGCGACCAGCATGCAAGGCGTTCTTGTCGGACATGATCTCTCTGGAGTCGCGTTTGTGTATGGATCTTTAAGCTTCTTGGACAAGTTGACATGTGGGATCGCCTTGTACCTGATTGAGGGACTTAACGGTAAGTTGTTCAGAATCTTAAGCAATTTTCGTCATTTACAGAACTTTCTTCTAGGCTGCTCCTTATTTGTTAATGCAGTGATCGCGTTGTTGAAATAGGAGTTGCAGTATTTTCTTCTAGGTTTGCCTACACGCAGTGTTCGTAGCTTGTGGTTACTGTTGATGAAATCATTTTCTGGCAATCCGTTAAAAAAATTTGGGGTATAACTTTACGTTTTATGTTGTTTTTCTCGTCAAAAAGTACATGTCCATAGAAGTTGTGGGCAATTAGATGAACCAAAAAGAAACTGGTAGTATTTTCATCTCTTGCACGTATGTCTATGTCTTTCGCAGATGAAACACGTTCATGTCGCCGAAATGGTTCAGACTTGACTATTAGCTGTAGTGGATCTACCATCAGAACTGCACTGGGACTTGTTCCCAGTGCATGTGCCCTCGTTGCTGCACTGGTTACTGTGTCGATGAATCTTACAGACACCGATGCAGACACTTCCGTTTTAAGCAAGCCTTTATTAGATGAATCTGCTACTGGACAAGATCAGGGTGAAACAAGTGCTCTCAGGTTGAACGGGCATTCTTCCGAAGCTGAGGGCAGAAGTAAGGCAAGATCTATTCTGCCCTTTCGTGGTAGGAGGGGCAGAAACTACGAACTGGTTTCTGGGTCAGACGAAACGGACGAGGGTGACATAGAGAAGAACAAAAGGGAAGAAGATCAGGGCTTTTCTATTTGGAAACTGCTGGAAATGTCAATGGTGGGTAGGTGGGGATCCATCCGAAGGCCTATGACATGGTTAGAATGAAACATCAGAAACTGCGCCATACATTTCATCGGTGGTACTGTAACGGTACCAAGCACATTCTTTAACGTTGACATCTCGTCAACACCGTAGGATGCGCAGCGAAACTGTCATATGCTCCGGCCATGGTGTCGAATCGATCATCCTCTTGATGAAGACAGATGGTTGCTTTAGTAGAGTCTCTTATCTATCTCAGATACAGCCGTAGGAGTCAGGAGACAAGCGAAGACAACAACAACACACGAGAAAGAACAATGTACATTTGCAGCAGCAGCTGATGAAGACAGCGTGAACAGAGTGAAGGACAATACCTGGTGACCAGGCAAAACCTCTGGCAACCAACAGCCCAAAATATTTAAGGAGCGGACCACGTTATTCTACAACAATCAACACTTCGGAGGGTAGGAAGCACAGGACTAACGTACTGAAAGATTTACGTTAGCGTTTCACAAAACGTGTTGATTTTCTACCCTGGACGCGTATTACTGTACATGTGTATGATATCAATTCTCACAAGGAAACTATTCTTTTCTACTCGCAAGATGACATTACCATGCCGAATGATTCTCAGTTTGTCGTAACTCCTGAATGTAGAATGACGCTCTAAGTGTGTTCAACTGCGCTTTCAGTGAAGCTTGTCAGTTGGAGTTCCATGTTACTGCCTGTATGTCATCACCTTAAACTCATCGTCGGCTAATTCAACAGCTCTACGCGATACTTTAACCCTGGTGAGATCATTCGCTTCATTCAAATGTAGGATGGTATACATTGGCATGGGAACAAACAAACTGTTTATGCTTCATGCTTGGACAGTAAGGCGTCGAGGTTTCAGATGGACTCTTTTTTCAGACTGCACAATATGGAAAATTAAGAAAAAGCTTGTGCACGAGCAGTGTCGATATAGCCTGTCTTTACCATTCGGGCTAGGAATTTTAGCAGGCCTAATGGTTGAGGTCCTTTGTGTGAGTTGAGTTAACTTGTAGTAGAAGCAACCATTTTTATGAACAAAACCCCCATTTCTTCTTGCATACACGCTCTTTGAATGTTCAGTGATAACTATCCCCCTCACCATCAGTGTTTACGGCTCCTAATGCAAAGATTTATTGAAATATAACTTCCAAAATAAATTGTCATTCTAGGATGAAATGACTAGCCCTCTCTAAAATTGTTTAGATATGCATTATCAAAGTAAGGGTTTTGGGTTTTGGGTATTTAAGGTTAAGAGTACGGGTAAGCGACCATCGATCCACTGTACAGTACAGAGGTGTGGACGCGCGATGTGAACAATAACGCAGTGTAGGAAGTGTAGTATAGAAGTGTATCAGTATGAGAATACAACATTTCCAATAATTTTGCTGGATGCTAAGCACTACATGACATTTTGCTAGAAATTTTCATTGAGTAGTTTACGTCTAGGGATTCTGCTTATCCACATGTTCAATGGATTCAATGAAATGCTTACTGGTTTGTGTCGGGTTCCTCCTCTCCTGAGTAGGGTTGGAGGCACAGACTCAAAGGGCATGCCCCAGGGCGAGGGCACGGGGGCATGCCTCGTTCGGGTTCTTCCATACAGCCATGCCTGTATGTACAAATAAATTAATATGTATTTTCTGGAACTTTTCAACAATTTTATTTATAACAATGTTTTATTCTCATAGATGTACATTTTAAAATACGTCAAATGTACGTATTTCAATACGGGTATGCATGGGGGCATGGGGCATGCCCTTTTGACCGTGAAATGGGGCATAGGCATGCCTCAAAATATTTTGCTGTACCTCCAACCCTACTCCTGAGCAATGCCGTGAATTAATGGATTAAGTTGATTTATTGATCTTCATGTGCATCTCATGCTCGGATTTACTACGTCCTCGTCCCATTGAGGTACATAAAAACTGGCATCATCATTCTCTAACTTTTATGACAACAATGAAGAGATTGGCTCTCCTCCAACACCTTTACATGTCTTTACTTTACGCCTCGATATCTTTGGCACAAAACATTGGAGCGATCTATTTCAGTTTTTGCTTCTTTAAGACTGGCTTCCGTTATTCCTCCACATTTAGACTCTTTCTTGCAATTTTCTTTGTCAAATTATACAGTCAAAATAAGGATTCCTCCATTTCCCAAAATACTTCGTCCAGCTACTCCAAAGATAACTCGTCCCTAATTCTAACCATTGCTGCTGGCACGATTACTTCATTGTTCGATCCTAGACTTTATGGTAAATCTGCTAGTTGCATCTTTTGATTCGAGCCCATCCACTTTCTCTTAAGTTTCAAGATTATAATTACTCCAATGTCCACATCTTCGGAGTTAACTGAGGTATGGATTAACTCTAGTTAGCTTAAGGTTGATTAGAATAATTAGACTCGTTAGATGAGAAAAAATCTATCTTTGATACAAAATTAACGTTGTGAAGTCCAACCTTGTAGTTACGTGTACATAGTCTGGCTGAGATAAACGAGTCATTCTAATGTTGATTGTATGTTTGCGTTTACTCAGGAATTCCTTGCGGAGCCAATCCTATATTTGAGTAATCATGAATAATATGTAACATAAAAATTAAGAGAGTAATTCAATGAAATAGAACTCTGAGAAACATCTGAATGGTTATATTTTTTTTATATCAAAAGTTGCCAATAACTAGATACATTTCATTCCTTGTCTTAGGATATGACGGATAATACTATAAAACATGCATATTGTTAATATGTTGTTTTCAATTAACACATTTAATTTCTATCTATGGATAATTGAAAACGATTATAGATAATCCATTAGAATATGATTATATTTTTATTTTGAATAAAATTTACGTTAGTCATAAATAACTAAATAATTACAATATAGAAATAAATTATAACCTGCTCATTACTTTTGTCCATAAGATTATAGATAGCTGGTGAATATAAAAATCCAATTTCACTTGATCAAACCTATCACAATTTCTTTTTATTTTACTCAAGTGCTTCACTTTGAAAATTATACTTTTACAAAATATTCTCCAATGAGATGCATTTAAGAACCATTTCTCTCTTTTCTCCCTCTCATACTGAGTCAATATGTTGACTTCTTTAAATTCATCTACTCTACCGAGAAAGTTCAAGTGAGACTTTTCCACTAATCGTAATCTTGCTAATCAAATTTTGCAGCCGATTTCTAAGTCCTAGATTGTTCCTCCAATCCAATTCTACTGTAGTCTTTTTTTGACAACTTTTCAAGGTTGTATCTCAAATGCCGAGTTATTCTAACCCTATATAGACTAGATTGGGTCCAGGTATCAATCTGCATGTGGATCCCACCGTACACAAAGTTATATGTAAGATCGTGACCATAAAAATATGGAAAAGAAAATGGGAATCCACAAATAATGCGAATAAGAAAGGAATAAACCGCCGGACCGTTCTGAAATCGTGGTCTCGAATTACAAGCGGACAGAATTTCATCATGGAGTTGAAATCAGGCCCGTTCTTGACTGACGAGGCAACTTCGCGGGACAAAACGGTCGCGACAATGAGTCACGTCAGCCAATGGCCGAGCACCAAACATGTCATCACGGAGGGCTGTTGCTTCCACCGTGTTCGGGTGACGCGTACCACTGCCCGAAGAGACATTGACCGGGTGCAAGCGGCAGGAACAATGAGAATCTGCCAACTGGCGACATATGCCCCGGGCTCCTCTAGACCCTTCGCCCAGCCTCCAAAGCCTCCGAGGCCTCGAGAATGCCGGGACGCCGCGCCTTTTAATAGCGCTGTGCTGGTCCAGTGGGCTCTATATAGTTAGCCATTTGGATAAAGCCATCGGGAGCAGACAGATCAGGCTCGAGGATCAGACGCAGGAGTAATTTCAACTCCGTGGCATTTGCGTTCTTTGTTGAAGAGATTTACGAGGAGGAAGGGAGTTCATTCTCGGGGTACCGCATCGAGACTTTTGGTCAATTTCGATCTATTAGGGAGCGGGAGCGGAAGCGAGCAAGCAAGCAAGCGAGCGGTCGAGGTTGACTTTCACTGTCAAGATGGAGGCCGCATCGAGCTTTTTCGAGTCCAGATCGAGGGGCTGGAATGTCAACAGCCTGATGAATTTCTCGCATCTGAATTCGCGTGTCCAGCTTCATCTTCGGAAGGTGTGTGTGTGACGATGGGAGAGAGACGCGATCTTCGTTTTTGGGTCTCTGTGGGTTGGGTTTTGGAGTTGGCTGGGCCTCGACTCCTCTTGTCGTGTGTCACAGTTATGTTCATTCGCTCTTTGGGGTTGGGGCTTTGTGGTTTTACATGTTGATTAGAATTGGGCTTGCGATTTATCTGTTTAGGTTTCAATGTCCATGTCTTTAAGTTTGTCCGCAAACTTGAATGTTTGGTTTGGATCATTGGTGAGTAAGCCTTCTTCCAATTCATATTCTTATGGCGATCTCTTTCTTGACCGTTCTAGAATTTTTTTACAAGTTTGTGTTGAATATAAGAATTGGCCACTTGTGTGGCAGCGCCGCACAGTGCTGTATTTTTTGCTCTCGACTCCTAGCTCATGAAACTTCACCCGATGTTTTGTCTTCGTGATTGCCTTTCAAGGAGTTCTAGGGAGGGATGAGTACTTGTTTGCGGGGTAATGAAGCGTGGTTTTGTGGAACGGTTTCTCTTCGTTGAGAGTCATCTTTATTTTCCCGATGAAAGAAATGAGTGGTCCTGTTGGTTTTCAAGTCAATTTACACTTGATCATTTTTTACGGAGAGCTAGGTTTTGAGGATTTCACATGATAGGGATCTCCAGAAGGTCACAAAAACCACTCAAAACTTCGGAAGTATTCGATGGGCTTTGTCCGAAAGTAGGTCTTCAGTACTTATTACAACCTTCATTGCTTGACGTCCGCCAGGAGCTTCGATAAATATTGAGAGAATGCTTGATACCTTTCTCTAAGTCTGATTTTAGGTCAGGTTGTCTGAATAGCTTACTGATTTCTGTCTGGACCTGATTTTGAAAGTTGAAAGTTTGAAAGTGATTGAGTTCGGAAGGTTTCCATTGGAGAATTGTGGCAACATTCAATTCTTCTTTCATCCACAAGAGGGGTGTTAGTCACACTGTGTCGGCTGGCGTGATCTGACATTGTGCTCGACTGTTTCTTGCTCTCCAGCACGGGCCTTGATCTCATGTGAATTTATTGCCGTATAAGCCGGTGTGAACAAGCTATGAGTGCCCGCTCGTCTTCTTCATCAGAACATGGTGTTAATAGTTGAACCTTTTTAATATGTACCCTTAAGCATAGGTTTCTGAACTTGGGAATTTATATTTTGTGCAGGTTTACACCACCCTCTGTTTGTCGCTCTTGGTGGCATCTCTTGGAGTTTACGCGCACATGTTGGTAAATTTGGGAGGTTTCCTGACGAGCATGGCGTTCATCGGCTGCGTCATGTGGCTTATGTCTGTTCCGTCTTATGAAGAGGTATGCGGACTTTTTCGGTTTTGGGGTTTTGGGGCATGGATGTCAATGGAATTGTACAACAGTAGCAAGAACTTTTGCTGTGAAGGCAAGAATACCACTTCAGCTAACATCATATCTCGGAAATATAGGGTAAGCGGTGGAAGATTTTGATGGGAGCATCTTTTTTGGAGGGATTATCTATCGGCCCACTGATTGACTTGTGCAACAATCTGTTTCCTGATTCAGGGTAAGATCTTCCATCATTTAAGTGCACATTTTTTCCCGGTCGAAGAATTGGGAGGTCTTCGTCTTTGCCTTTTGTGTTGAAATGTGGCACTTGTTCCTAAAGCTTTGCGTCGTATATACGCAGGCTTGTCCTGACTGCCTTTCTAGGAACAATTGCAATTTTTGCAAGCTTCTCTGGAGCTGCACTTTTTGCCAAACGGCGTGAATACTTGTTCCTAGGAGGGATATTATCATCAGCTGTGAGCGCTATGTTGACGCTGCGATTCTGTTCGTACTTTTTCGGTGGAGCGTCTGCAATGTTCAACCTTGAGGTATGGTGGGAAGAGTTGATGACTTAGTTGAAGCGTACTGTTACTCTCTAGTTGTAACTATTTGTGTCCGAGATCATGAAAAGGAGCAAGGGCAGTTTATTAAATTATAGTAGCAGATATATAGTAACTTGTACATCCTTTGCTTTGAACCGTCCTTGTATCTGCACTAAATTGTTTCGATCTGGTTCATCGCAGTTGTACGGAGGTCTTTTGGTATTTGTTGGTTATGTGCTCTTCGACACTCAGTTGATCATCGAAAGGGCAGACAAGGGCGATGACGACTACATTCAGCATACGTTGGACTTATTCATGGACTTCGTGTCCATCTTCGTTAGGATTCTCGTGATTCTGGTTAGCATACCATACCTTGCCTTTCTTTTGAAACCCTGACCAAAAGTCATTGAATCTTTTGGTCAAGACGTTTTTGCTTTCCGCTTTTCCGATTTATTCCAGGTGCTGACATAATTTGCGTTGTTCACAGACGAAAAACGCGGGCGAAAAGTCGCGCAAGGAGGAGTCTAGGCGCAAGAGGAGTCAGTGATCTCTCGTGGACATTCTGAGTAGCACTATTAAGAGAATCTCTGATGTGGATTCCATGTTGTGATCTCGATGAAGTAGATTTTGAGTTGTACATACTACTGTAGTGATACACCTTCACTCTCATGTAAAATCTTTAGCGTCAAAGCGGGTAGAAAGTTCTGTAGCAGATGACACTTTTGTGCACCTTGACACCCATCATTTGATAAATCATGCTTTTCAATTTTGATTCTAAACTGGAAGAAATAGAGATATTCTGCTTGATCGTAGATTGCAATGCGGATAGGTGTAGAAATCTGTAGATGTATGGCGGAGACATTGGAATTTTTATTCAAGATAAATTCAAATCAGAGCTATGGATGCAGTGGATGTAGAAAATATTCCACGCGTTTAAAGTTTGTTTAGCCATAGGCGGATGTTGAAAGAGTGTAACACTGAAAGCTGGAAATCAGCATGAGCAATATACATGTGTTGAGAGGAAAGGTCTCTCTCAACTCGTATGTTATTGAAGAATGGTTATGAATGAACATAAGTAGGAAATATATCAAGGCAAAAAAGCAACATGGAGTGAAGTATTCAATATACACTAAACTAGAACGTGTGTAAATGAAGGCTAAAACATGGGAATAGTGCGAAACAGTGAGAAAATTTACTTGAACCCGATGAAAACTAAATCGTCTTGATGTGACCTAACAGATTTCATTTCAACCGATGGAACCTTCTTCGACGGACACCATAAGCAATATTCTTATAACCTGCAGATTTGCTCAATGTTCTTATAACCTACTAATTTGCTCTTTAGAGTGGGGAGTGTCCGCCAGCGTCGGGCCAGAGTATTTTGACTACTCTTATTTAAAACGACAGTCACCATCAGTCTCAATTACTCCGGATATGGTTTTGCGGGAAATTTATGTTCTACTCGAATTAACCCCAGATAGGATTGGAACATCACTGAAAACATCCAAAAACATCCAAAAACATCCATCGGCTAAAACAGTTGGGTAATTAAGTGTTAAATTTTTCCGCAGTCCATCAAACAATTTCCTCGCAAAACAGTATTCACAGGAGAACTATCAATTCTCAATTGAAGATGAAAACTGTCCATTTGATGAGCAATCATTAAACCTAATCGACAGAAGAAAGGGCTTGCACCTGTCAAAATAATCTGTACTATCAACAATGAAGCTGTACACGATCTACACACTGACTTCGACCGGCGACCGCGTCATAAAAGAAATATGGAATAGAGGAAAATGGAAAATTAAAGTTCCAAAAACACCACGGGAGAAATATAAGTGGAGCAGAAAATGGAATGGGAAACGGCCAAAACCATGTAGCTAGCAGACAGTGAATGTTGCTTGACAGTAGTCAGTCGCAGATGGGTACGGAACGTTTTCCTTCTTGCGATGACTAAGCAATGTCGAGTATCATGTTAAAGTCATGATTCAGGACCAGCTCACTGGACGTGGGCGTTAATTATTTTGAAACTGTGGTGAGAAGGCAACGGAATTATGATTCGTGGAGAAATTCGCAATTTCCGAAAATTATTATGTCGTAAAAGGAATTTGGAGGCAACCAAAGTTGATCTGACCACCGGTTTTAGTGGGATAATACAAAGTGAGAAGCGTGTTGTGAAGTAGGGCAACCAAAACCGGTCTAATCATCGGCATTTGAAGGGAGTTAAGATGCGTAAGTTGTCGTCGGGAACAGGGGTCAAGGAGGCAACCAGGATTGAACTGAAGACCTATCGGACTGCAGCCGATTGCTCTACCACTGAGCTATACCTCCGAACTTGTTTCTTGATGAGCTATTACAATTAATAAATTCTTGATAAGACGGAGACTGATGCAATTCATTTACATGAACTTGATGAGATTTATTAAATAAAATATATTAAATTCATTTATATTTATATAATTTTTAAAATATAATTAAATAAAATATATCTGATTATAGGATTTACTTAAGTTCTTCTATGTGTAGGGGACTATAATTGTTACGTCAATAATCTACAATTTACTCTTGGGAATATACATGAGGTATGCGTTGGATTCAGTATGACATATTTCTCATGCAAAAATTGTGGGGAAGAAAAGTGAGAAGGCTTATGGTTTGTACAAGAAGTAAAATGATTTTTGCATTACACCTTCAAGAGATTTTACAAATTGCAAAAGTAGCTCAGTATCTCAACTTTTGTTAGTTGATGATTCCATAATTCCCAAGATATATGTGACGTGGGAGTAAGAGCCGCGTCAATGTTGTGTGAACGTAAAACTTAAAAGAGATTGTGTTTTCAAATAATTCTTAATGATTGGTCACCTTTTCAAGATTTGAAAAGGTCTAGACATTGGCACTGATACATCCACATCTTCACTTCAATTGTAGCACATGCGTTGAAATCATACCTCAAGCTTGTGATTATAGTGAAGCTTGACTATAATATCAACATGTTGACAGTGTTGCAAGTGGTTCATGATTTATCCCTTGACTACTAGAGCCCAACATTGGGTGCCCATGCCCATGGGCTTGGGTGACATTACTTTTCCATGGATGGGCAGAAGTCATTCTAAGGGCAGTGTTTGTCAAGATCCAACCAAGAATTTGCGTAATTTGAGTAGCATGGGTGGGCATGGGTGGGCTTAGGTCGCTGCTGATGGTCTAAGTGCAGATTTAAAGTAAAATTTTGGCCTCTGTTGACTAGCAAAAATTATTGGACTTTAGGGTGGGATGTGGATAGTTCAATTAGAAATTGCACTGGACCTTATCTTAAGATACGAAGTGAGTGTATTCCTTTGTATCGCTCAATATTCAGTTTGTTAAAGACCTCATTGGGATTGCACTACCACGCATCCCATTACGATGTTTTAAAAGGGAGTTAATATTAAATCTACGGATGTGCAAACAATGAATATTAGAGACTTTAGAACGCTCTCAATTCCTTGTGGAATCCCTTGGCACCCTATATTCGCATATCGCACTCGTGATGCAAGCCTTTCCTTCGATGCACACCCTTCGGAGAAAGAAGAGTAATACCGGCCAGGCTGGTTACCATGGCCGAAAAGCGGGACGTTGGCCAGCGGACAGTGAGGAGCTGACCGATAGCTCCAGTCATGGCGGGGCCAGCAGGTCCGAGGAGGTTTTGCCCTTGCGGAGAGCAGGATGACAACCAACTACTGCTTCAATGCCCTCCGCAAAGTTCCCTACGACGTCCATGGAAGGTCCGTGGTCGAGAGTGGACTGCGTGCGCCTCGACGCGGTGTGAAGCTTCAAGGCGATCGGGGTCGCGGCTCGCGGGGCAGTCTCGGCACGCGACGAAGCTTCAACGACCTCGAAGAAGAAATTGATGGTCGATCGGAAATCGCAACTGTCTCCAATTATGATGTCTGCCAATTTTCGGCAGAAGACGAGTTCAGTGCGAGAGATTATGGGGGGCGGACATCCGTGGACGCGACGACTTTGCGTTAGGGGAGCATCGGGGTGTTCGAAGATTTCTTTGGTATGGAGCGGAGGCACATGTCACCGAGGAGACGAGTGATTTTGCTGCGGGGGAAGTCGTTTTTTTTCTTGTCGTCGCAAATGATGTAGATAGTTCTAGGTCATCACGATCTATCGGCGGAGATGGCGGATGATTTAGAAAGAGGATTGGGAAATGGGAATCAAAAGAAGGTTTCGGTGAAGCTGAGCGACATGAAACCGGGCCGACCGAGTTTAGGGTTGGAGAGAAGAAGTTCCCGCAACCCCGACGACCCCAGCAGCAGCAGTTCCCGCAGAAGGTCGAGCCGCAGCTCGAGCCCTCCGATCGTCGACAGTGCCAGACCCAGTCTTTCGGTTTTCAGGTTCAAGCAGGCGCTTTCGAATTCCGGCATCGGCCAGACAGTCACCCGCACCCCGAGCAGAGGAGGCTCAGACTTTCGACCCACCAACGCCAGTCCCTCTGCAACGTCGAGCGCAGAAGGTCCAATCGCAAGCACGGCTTCTGCTGCCTCTCCAAATCGGGGCATTCAGTTGCTGCTGGAGGCTGCATCGACCTCGACTCCCGAGTTCATCGCGAAGAGGAGGCAGTCAGAGAGTGCGTCGACGTCCACACCTCAGTCCAAGAGGAGAAGGCCCAGCTCTCTGGGAGCAGTGCCGCCTCCGCCTCCGCCTCCGGGCAGAAGACCTGGCGTGGGGACTGAGGACGGAGGGTCCGTGGTCCTGTCCTGGACGAATTTGAAGGTCACCTCACGGTAAATTAACGGACAGCTGCCATTATTGTAACGAACAGAATGGACGAAAGCAGTCGTCTCCAAACACTCTCCCAGACTGGTATATAGGTGTACCAGTACGTGTAAATGCGTGAATTTGCTTCTGTGGCACGTTCCTAAACACGAAAAATTGGAGCAGATTATGGTTAGTTCTGAATAGATGGTTGCCATCTATTCAGACGTAACCCTGTCGCCTCTTTCTCATTCCGAAGGGAACAAGGAGTTTGTATCCCATGATCTTCATGGATCATGGGATACACTCTAGCAATACACCGAAACCTGCTCAGAAGTCGAACAACAATAAGAATTTCGCATCAACAATGCAACCACCCTTCATCAATATGTTATTAGTTTAAGGGTCTAAACGAAGATTACATCCAAGTCCCAGCCGAAAGTAAATGCACTGATATCTTCTGCGTGCACAATTACAACACTTTCATCCATGACCCACTTAAGGTACCCTCTGCACTGCACTGATCTCTCTGTGCACTCCAAACGGTCTCTCTGAAGTGGTAGCTGCATAAATCTTCAGCCTTCTCGGCTCAGATCAAGCAATAGTCAAAAGTGTTTCACTCAAACTAAGAATGAAGACCTCGAAACCTCTTAATTTGCATCATCTTAGAACTGCGACAGCAATACATAGGAGCACTGAAATTTATTCTTACGACAGGGATGGAAAGAAGTTGCTTCTGGACAATCTGAATGGTCAGGTCCATGCTGGTTTCACTGCCATCATGGGGCCTAGCGGCTCAGGGAAGTCCACTCTGCTCAACACACTGGCCTGTAGAATGGACAAGTCTGCCTCAGTAACGGGCCAAATTCGACTGAATGGGAAAGAGTACACGAGCACAGACCTGAAGAAGATGTCAGGCTACGTGATGCAAGACGACTTGCTGAATGCCCACTTGACGGTGGAGGAGACACTTCTGTACACTGTGAAATTGAAACTGGAACCGACTTATACCGAGGCGCAACTGCTGGAGAGGGTCAGTGAAGTAATCAAGCAGGTGAGCATCATCATAAGTGGAAAATAATAGGTAGTGAAAAGTCAGAGGAACAAAGTACTTTACACCATGAAGAATAGCCCCGAAATCCGGCCAATTTGCAGTAGATGACACATGATTGTTCTGCCACAGATTTTTCTTCAGTTGCTGGTTGCTTTCTTGCTCGATCGGGGAGGGAAGTAAACTCACTTAAGCGGAGCCGGAGGTCTGAGTCATTGTGTGTGGAATATAGATGGGCCTGGAGCATTGTAAGAAGACTGTGATTGGAAGCGCATTGAGGAGGGGGATCAGTGGGGGTGAAAGAAAGCGAGTTGCTGTTGGCATGGAGCTTCTCACGAGACCTCAACTCCTGTTTTTGGATGAACCCACGTCAGGTGAATCTGCATTTACAGCCCTCCCGTCCACAAGCAAATCACTGTACGTCAGGGAGAGTTACTACACGAGTTACCAATAATGTGGTGTTTCCTCTGAGTACTTCTCGAGTCTTACGATCAACACCTCTTCTCTTGCAGGACTGGATAGTGTTACAGCATTGTCTCTTTGCTCGTTACTCAGGAAAATCGCCGAGGAACGACAATGCACTGTTGTTTGCACTATCCATCAGCCCCAAGCCAAAATCTTCAACCTCTTTCAGTCTTTGATCATTCTTAAAGCGGGAAAGGTAGACCTGTTTACCATTCAAGGCTAACTGTCCGTGAAGCTATCCGGAAGAACAATGTTCATAGTTTCTGAATGTAGCCATATATGCATGGAGAAAAGCATATGCATTTGATGCTACAAGCATTTGGGTTGGCTTATTTGAGATAATGACGATCACAAGATAAGACAGTCAGTCGCTTTTGCTGCCAAAAGGCGAGGCTGATCCTGTAAAAAGTTCCATGCACCATGATCAGGAGAGTGAGGTCGTCTGAATTGAGGTGAAGCAAACTCGACCACCTCCACCACAGACAGCTGATACCAACTGATGGTGTATGGTTTTGTTGGTCAGCTGATTTATCAAGGTTCTGCGTCAGGAGTACTCAAGTTCTTTGAGGATTCAGGGTTTCCTTGCCCAGAATTCACAAATCCTGCTGATCATCTGCTCGATGTGATAACACCAGCCCTGAGTTCTGACAAGCCCATGATGCAAGCTAATGAGGATAAGCTTCGGTCACACTTTGTTGCAAGTCCTGTATGTTTCATACCTTCTTTCGCTTTCTCTAGGAATGTAACAACCACACATGATCCATATCTAGATGTAGCAGAATGAGGTTGAGGCAACAGTGTTTGGATATCAAATATCAGTGACTGGCCACTGTGAAATACAATTTTTTAAATATTTCTGCAACATTTTCTTGCAGACAGTTATGAAGGCATTAAATACACTTAAGTCAAAAACTTCCATTTAAGCTGGCCAGAACGAGATCGTCTTCTTACATGTTTCACAAGAGGATTGAGGGACACTAATTGAGGAGCGATGTATTGTAAAACTGACACAAGTGTGATTAAAAATAGGTGGATCTAGACGAAGGAGCTGAATATCCGCTGCAGCTGAATCGAGAACGGATGCCATGGCACCGACAATACTTGGTGCTTTTGAATCGTGGCCTAAAGGAGCAGGTTCGTAGAAAGAATGTAGTTATCACCCAGGTGGTTCAGAGTATAGTAACAGCAATATTGATCGGTGGGGTGTTTTTCCAAATTGGAGATGGCCAGAAATCCACGGTGCGTCGCCAACCTGTGCTATTTTTCTGCGTCATCAACCAAGGAGTTTTCGGTGCTCTCACAGTCATCAATTCGTTCCCGAGCGAGAGGGTCCTCATTCTCCGAGAAAGAGCTGCCGGCATGTACTACTCTTCAGCATACTACGTTGCTAAGGTGAATCCCCTCCTTTGATAATTTAACAATACACGAACACAAGCTTTTATATTACATAAGGTCCCGATAATCATCAGACTTTATATTCTAAAATGGCCTTAACGATGGACTACCAAAGACCTTATGACTTTTTCACGAATGCGATATTGATCTACATTGAATGACTACAACAGAGTTTCTGTGTCAGTTGTGCCTACGAATAGAATCACACAGGACTGCAGAAATAAAGGAAATCAAAGGCTAGAGAAAGCTATGATTCTGCATTCTGTCCAGAACTAACAACATAAAACAAGAAGTCTCAAAAGCAAATATATATCTTACGAAGTTGAATATTTTGGCTGCATTACATAAACCTCAGGCTATGGTCAAAATGAAGTGCTGAAAAGGCCATCTGAGTAGAATTCTGATGTTGTGTTGTTTCTGTGAGTGTAGATTACGGCCGAGCTGACGTTTCAGGTGTTGTCTCCGATTGTTTTCTCGTGCGTAGTGTACTGGATGGTGGGTTTCCAAAACAAGGCCCGCAAGTTTTTCCTCTTCATGTTTTTCATGATCCTGTGTCAATTATCTGCAACATCCCTCGCGCTCATGACTTCTGCGATTTGTCGCACCACGGACCTCTCGGTCACCGTGCTGCCAATGTTGCTGGAGATAAACCGTTTGTTCGGGGGCTTCTTCCTGGCTCCTGCCAGCCTTCCCAAGTACTTTGTTTGGCTGGATGCTCTGAGCTACGTCAAGTATTGTTATATTGCCATCTCGCAGAATGAACTGCACGATCTGAAACTCACTTGCAAGACTTCTGAGCTTGACTCCAAAGGCAAATGCCCGATTCAGTCCGGTTCGCAGACGATTAAGACCCTGGGGCTGGACTATATTACCATCGCTGAGTGTGCTGCCATACTCATCCTGTACATTATTGCCACACGATTCTTCGCTTACCTCGGGATCCGTTACATCAAACATTAGACCCTCGACCGAAAATCTCCATAATTGTATATAATTGGCTTACAATCACTTCAACACGAAAGCATGATATCATGTTCAGCATTTTTCTCCAAATATGTGGATGTCGAATGCAATTTAACTCTCTTCATCCTGCTGCACTCATTTTCGTACTTGGATACTCAGATCTCTTTAGTCCACATCGTCGTAACAGGTCTATACATTTTCACCCTTCTTCTGGATATGCTGTGCTGGAGCAAGCATCAACAATTAACGTATGTAGGACTCCTTGGGTTTGTAGAGCTTCATTTGAAGGTTCAGAGATGCTTTAAAATATGTTATTGCTTTGCTCGCTCGAATGGGGATTTTACCTGTGGAGATTATGATATATATAAATATAAATAAATAAATAAATAAATAAATAAATAATGATGATGATGTAGAAGTTGAACGCTTGATCAAAAGCAAGAGTTCAATTATCGGAAGCAACTCTTGCTTTAGATCGAGAAGATAATATGAACAACGAAACTTGAAAATGTTTCTAAACTTACATCTTCAAGAGGATACGAGATGGATCTGGTTGCTTAGAATGGCCCAGGTACTTACTTATCACTTAGCCAAAGTGCAGAATTTACTTGCGCATATTTTGAGACACTTCAGTTGCATTATTTGTTTTCAGTCGCTCCAAGCAGGATCTTCTGAGGCGTTAAAGAAAATGGTTCTATGTCATTTATGTCTTCCAATAACTGAGTTCTGGATAAATGAGTGTTCCTCCGTGAGAAGAATTGTTGTCCAACTATGACAAATATCGATCGGACTTTTCGAAAAAGGCAAAAAACAAATGGGATATAAGTTTGACTAGAATCCGTATACCATCATGGAGAAAATTATTTCCTATATCGCTGCCAATATTTAATTTACGAATATCAAAGTAATAAATCCAACAAAGAGAGAATGTCGACAAACCTTGTGTGACTATTGTTAGGTGTACTAGAAAGTGACATCTTTTACGCTCCTTCGCAAACATAGGAATATGAGAGTTATGTTCTATAGTGGTTATAACATACAATCAATGCAAATATGCAGATGTCGGATGATCTAATTGGATTAGTTTACTATGCAAAACGTTGGCTAGTGCTCTCCATGGAGAAATCTAAACAAGCTATTGAGATGAGCTAAATAAATGATACAGCGTGTTGTTCTCTATGATAGTATCTTGCTAACTTTCTAGGGAACATATCAAAATCTGCATCCAAAATTGCATGTAAATTCAATTTCAAAGGAACAAAGATGTAAAATTTCATACTTTGACCTGACCTACTTGACCTTAATGCTAAATCACAGTGCTGTGATTATTGGTACTGGCCTTTACGCAAGTATAGAAAGCTTCTATACTTGCCTCAAAATTTCATCTTTCATAAAAAAATTAGATTATAATGTAATTATACTTCATTTATGTCCTCCCATGTCTACACCATTTAGTAAACTCTTCATTGTTAACAAGATGAATTGTTGTTTGTCGTGCAACTGAGATACAATGTGGATATCTGATATTGCAATTGACCTTGTTTTTGAGGTAGGAATTTTTCCTCTTAACTTCAACTCTTTATAAGAGCGGTCTTTGTTGCGAATTTTTGTCACTAAAATGAACTGGATAGTAAGGACATCTTAGTTCTGTTGATTTTGGGAGGGACTTGAATATCGTTCCCGTGAACTTGGACAATTAAAAGCAAAAGCCCAATCTCGTCAAAACGAGAAGGATCGAGCTGAAAGCATTTTAAAGTCCAAGTACTGTACGTGGGTACCGCGTGATTCCCGATATCCCGAATATTGCCCGAAATCTGACACACGCATGAGAGAGTGGAAAGAGAGCGACGGGCACTCCCGGTACTGCTCGTAGTTTGACCGGAAGATGCACTGGCTCCCAGAACTGGCTCCGAGAACGACCGATTCAAGCACACGATCGTCGTCGTCGGCCGATTCCGCATTTCGATTTCCAGAAATTGGAGTGCAGCACGAAACATCTCGTCTAGATTGTTTGATCGATGCCGCTCTGGGAGTATGGTGATGCCGAGTGGATGATCGAATAGGCAGAAGTGATCCAGAGGAGGAGGAGGAGGTGGTGGTGGAAGACAATCTGGAGCTGTTGGCGGATGAGTTTCCGGAAGTGAGGAGGAGTGGAATTCCGGATTTGGGCACAACGCTGTTGGAGCAGAGCGAGTTTGTCGGGGTTTTGGTTGAGGTCGCAGCAGCATGGTGGCGGCATGGCCTCTCTGTGTGGTGCTGTTCGTTCGATGGATCTCGACGACATCGGCTGAGCAGGGCTTTCCGTCTAGCGCAGGTGAGTCTTACTCTTGGCCAGCTCGAAATTGCGGCGTTTGGGAATGGTGTGCCGGCTCGTTGTTCATCCTCTATTCTTGGAGCAAGGAACCGATGTGGCCATTTATAAGGTGGATTTGGGTTAATTAGGTGCCTTGGAAGTACTAGCGTTTAATGAGTTTCACTTCCTCCGATTCATGTTCCAATTGTTTCATCTCAATGTGGAAAAGGATGAGAAGATGTGTTTGTTCCTTCACGGGATGTTTATGACTCGACTGGCCGTCGCCCAAAATTGAGATTTGCGTGAAGCAATTCTGGTTCTCCAACCAGCTCAGCTTGCATAACAATCTCCGTAGAAGCCTTGCCCTAGCTCAATGCATTACAGACCTGGATTCTCCTGGGGTGTGTATGCACTCCACGCACATCCACCACTCTTGGGTTAGGTAATTGTTTTCATGATTCTGTCTCATTGTCAGACAAATTTTCTCTCCTCAAATGAGGTTGAGCGATTTTCACAAAATGGCGACAGCTGTGAAGTGTATAGATGGTTCAGTGTTATTTGGAAAGTCTTCCCTGCGTCATACAGAAACTAACTGAAAACTTCAAGCACAATCGCAGATGGTGTTTGATGTGCCACTTATGAGTGTATGATTACTAGATCATTCCTTGCTACTGAACTGTTTTGATTGCATATCACCAATATAATATGTTACCTACCTGTTCCGTTGACAGGAGGAGAGATGCCCTTCGTTCAAAGCTTTCAAGAACCTAAGTACAAGATTGAGCTACACCCGGTTGATTCCCCTCACCCTACAGTGAGAACTCTACACCAATACCTGTATTGCTGATCTGCAATGTACTCTATATAAGCTAATAAATAGACGAATGCATATGTGGAAAGTTGGAGAATTTGTATTCACGATTCTCTATGACGCAGAATATTCATCGGAATTATTGTAGGGTAAAAACCTGAAGTGTTTCTCATGCTTTGAAAATAGCTTCATACTACCATCTTATCTTCTTCACCTCTTGCAAAATCGAGGGCATTCTTCTTTTCCGTCTCTTTGGGTACCGGGGAACAATCTTATCTAAATACGGCGTTTTTACAGGCACCAGACCAAGAAGTTGTACCAATGACCGACAGGGATGGACGGAGGTACATGTGTGCCCTTTCAGATCCTCATGTGACCCAAAATGCCAAGAAAGATGAAGGTCAACAAAATGGGAGCAGTATTGGCTTGGTCACCGATGCAAGGAGTACAAGAAAAACTCCTGATGAGTTACTGTTAGCATTGAAGGACAAATGTTCTCGTAGGGTAAGGTCTTTTCCTTTCTTTATATTGTTACAGTTTCTCTCGTAGAGTGTGAAGAATAGTTCCAAGTAGTACGTTATTGAAATAATGAGCTCGGTCACGGAAGTTTTTTCACAAAGGTTGCAAGATTATATATGATCACCTATGTTTGATATAGAAATTTTTGTACTAAGGCAAGCCTTAATACACTAAGAAGGTGATACTTGTTATCTGATGCTCGAAGGTGTCCGATATTTTGCAGCTTGAGGGATGGTGGAGGTATGAGCTTTGTTACAAAGAAGATATCAGACAGTTTCATGTCGACACCACTGGCAAGAAGGTCGAACTGCTGTGCATTTTGTCAGAGCATAGTTGTGGATACCTAGAGTGAACTTGGTTTGAATTCTGACAAACTAAGGACATGTGTGTTAGGTTAGTTAGTTACTGGATATATCTTTATAAAACTTGCGACGTACACCACAAGTAGTAGGAGACCTTACGCCATTTATGGATTGAAGTCTTCAGCATCGGGTGAACGTAAATATTCTCTGACCTGACGTGCCTTCACCTCTCATCCCAGGACGTCGTTACTCAAGAGTTCACTCTTGGAAAATATGACGAGGAAGCAACTGCAGCTTTGCATCGGGACAAAAATGACGCATTTCTGCAGAAAGACCCTCGCTCTCAAAGTGCTGCCCAAAGGTAGGGTCTGCAAATGGATATGAAAGTCGTGTCTATTTGAGATATAGCTTGATTTCTCTCGGGCTATGACAGGCAGTTACCGATGATGACAGTTCATATAAAATTCATATATTGAGTTATGATCGCATGTGAAGTCACGAGTTATATACACAAGCAAGCTAATTGTATCCTTGATGTTCGGGTGTTGATGCCCTTGTTATTCCACACTGACCATGTAGATACCACGCACATTTGTACACAAACGGGACACGATGTGATCTTACGAATGAGCCAAGGCAAACTGAGGTAGGCCGATGGTTTCATTAGCAATCTTTGACAGGAAAGTACGTGTTGTAAATAACAACACATTGCACATTTAATTTGATTTTCAATCATATGCTCATTACTCGACCTAATAGTACGAGTTTTACGACTGTCTGATGAGTATGATTCACGGCACTAACTTGTGCAGGTGAGGTTTGTCTGCTCAACAGAGCCGGGGAAGGCATTTATAAATTCCATCAAAGAAGCTCCGAGCTGTAAATACACCGTTATATTCCACGTGCCTATGCTTTGTGACCACCCGTAAGTTCATACACTCTATCCACTTCAGCTCTTTCTTGCTTTATAATTCAAACAAGAATGTTGATGTGTCGGTAGACATCGCCATATGTATATTTGGACATCTTTATCAGTCTGGACTACACGGGAGTACATGAATAACCTACAAAAGTTTGTCTGATGATTGTTCGCAGTTATATCTTAGTAACAACGACATGGATAATAATCAAAACTTCCAGAGAAAGGTGGATTGACTTGTAAACAGCAGGCAAGCACTTTTTTCCTTTATGTTCAATCGCTGAATAACAAGGTGCAATTGGTTTGATGCAGACTATTTCATGAAGAGCAGCCACCATGGGTGATGATCCACTGCAATGAAGTTGCATACGCCGACAATGTACCAGAAGAAGAAGTGGAGACTCTACCCAGTGACTTACTTTCTTTGACGGAGGATGCCGAGATAAAAGAAGTCGTTGAGACGAGCTAGTTCTGAAAATCTTAGAAGATGATGATCATGCAGGAGAAGCAGTCAGTGTCCTGACAATATTTTTGCAAGTACGAAATAAAATCTTTTAGAGATGCTTGTAATCCCACAACGCTTAATTCTCAAAGACTAGTGTGTCCTCTCTTAGTACAGACAACCAATCTTTGGTTCTCAGCTCCCAATTGTACCTTTGATTGTCCATACAGTATTTCAATCTAGAGATTGAGTTGAGAGTGTATATTTATGGTGCGGGATGATCAAATAACAATTATCACCAATAAATCAGTTGCCTCATATTTTTGCCACGTAATCTTTCTGGAGATGGCTGGCTAGGTTAAGGGGCATGTCATTTTGAAGAGCAAGGTGTTGTATATGGATATTAAAATACGAATGGATATTCACGTTACCTCGGGGAAACTGTCGCAGAATCATGGGATCCTTCTCTTCGTTCTCCAATATGTGTTACGTGAAGATCGTCCTGAACCACTGCCAGGCAGTGTTTGCTACCCCTGTTACCACTGCCAGACTTCTGGAGGAGTTTCAAATGACACGGTGCATTTCGCTCGGTGTGGTATTCCTTCAAACTGCCGATTCTGCGTCACTGGCAATTCTCACACCCAGACTACAAGTTGTAAGGTTCTCTCAGTTACCTAAGCGGACCATTAACCATCCTCTGGAAACTGAGTTTATGAAGCGGAGATGTCTGAGATATTTGGCCGGATGTACGTGTAGAGACACGATGCACGATGCAGAAACTAACGAGGCTGAAATACTTCGGAACGTGTCGACCAGAAGTGGGCATGGAAGGTCAAACTCCTGTGCACCATGTGGGACCAAAACATGAAGCCCCTTTATTCCAAATACACAACATATCTTCCTCTCAGTATGCAAAAGTGATTAGTGATGGGTACTGGTGTGTCCTTTAACCCCAGCAACAGTATCACCTTGCATTTCGGGCATAGCAATGGGTCCTGAAATTCCAGCCCACTGGCTGTTACAGCTCTAGCTGATATGGAGAGATGCCAATTAGCTCTAACGAGCTGAGTTGCATAATCTCTGTTCGACTGATAGCGTTTCTTTAATTGCTGATACGTTTTGAGATATGGCATGGTTGAGTCATACTTTGGAATATGCAAATCTTCTCAAAATAATTGTACAATTGAACATCATAACTTCTGACTTTCACATCCCGTTTAAACGACTGCGAAGTCACACGCATAGTCCTCACATATAAAATCTTAAATTTAGAGAAGTTTTCAAAAAGTTGTCATTCAGTTGCCCAAAACTCATCTAGGCAACTGCATGACAAAAGCTTATGATTCAGTCTGAATCATAAGCTCTTGATTTTTGCGTTGTTTATGAGTGTGTTCTGAATCATTCAGAACGCACTCATGAACAACGCTCTGAAAAGTCATCTGAGTTCATCGGAAATCTAAGGCAGTCATTGTCGAACCATGAATGCTAAAGAAAGATGTACGGAATTTACACATACAGGGTGAGCAGTCAAAAGGCCTAGTGAGCCAAGGTTGAAGGAGACCACAGGTGGCACAGCGCTTCGAAACAAAATTTAAAGCGTGCAAGATTTCTCCATCCTCCCAGGCACACGACGAAATCCACTTCTCATGAAGTTCACTACAGCCATACAAGTTCCGTCAATGAAGTTGACTCTGGAAGAAATTCAAGAGTAATCCCAAGAAAGTGTTTGTTTTGTTCACAATGAGTAATGAGAACTTCAAATAACTGTGTAGAATAGACAAAGTGGTATGAATTCTTCCTATTGTAGACATTCTTATGAAGATAATACCCTAGGTATTCTGTAAACGTGAAGGAAATTTGACTACAGGCTTACAGAATACTCTAAATTAGTGCCTAAGGCCCATGTATGCAGGATGCGAGCCAGGTTTAACACTCAGAAAGTGTATATAACATTAAGACACAGCCTATTCTCTTTTATCACACACCATGCATACAACCAGTATCATATCTCCCATATCACTTTGTGTATACAAGGTGAGTTTAGGGTTTAGGGTGGACTGTAGAAGGTTTGCACGAAACCATAACCAGGGTAGAATCATAGAAGGTAACCTAGCGAGACGATCGTGAACTTCAGGTTCCACGATCGGATGACATTCATGCCTTCTTGATGATGGAGAAAAGTTGTCACCTGCACTCGAGCACATCAGAACGTAAGGAATCTTCGGGACAGCATAATACGAGGTAAAACAAGCAGTTTCCATCAAGTAGATGCTCCTCAAAGATCTGAAGCAAGCTAACTATTTGATAGTTGCTGTACATATCTCCAAAGACCGACGCTGAAAGCTTTAACTGAGGATTGATAATGGTCGGATAGTTGGGAAAAAACCAGTGCACATGTTTCAGAACAAAACAAAGAGTTGTCAATACATGCAAACGAAGTAAAGTGCGAAAAATGTAGAGGTGATTAGGATGATATAGGCCTCATCAATGCGTGTAGCCCAATTAAAGCCATGCACTATAAGTTGACTTGAAGAGGCTTGAAAGTTGTTGTTTGGACCTTACCGCATCTGAGAAGTCATACGTTGGTAAGCTGGAGGCTCTGAAGAATTTCTACTGGTTTACTCCTACGATATCTCTGTCAGGAAGTAAAGGTAAACCTCGAGAGCATTACGCACCTGCCGAAAAGCTGGTAAAAGCTCGTACCCCAGGTTTTTCAGAATTAGGCCGATCCTCGGAGGAGTTTTCCACATGAGCATTTGTTGCTCGGTGATAGGGTGAGTGGAGGCCAATGTCAATTTCTTGCCACGTGCACGAGTATTCATCCGTGCGGACAAAAAACATCTCAGCCCTTTTCCTTGATTGCAGCCGTACGACCCCAGTTGTTGACGCAGACATATCACCTTCCACCCCTTCTTTTGGCGCTTTGAATGTGGTAACGATTTGTGGGGTTGTACTTATAACCTTGCGACGTGTACAGGAAAATATATTTTACATTCGAGAACGAGAGATTGAAGAACAAATAACCTCATCCTGCATACAACCGGGCCTCGACTTAGAATAAAGTCCATCGCTGCAGGAAAACGAAGTTCCAACATCTAGGGAGCAGAAAACGCACCGCATTCTTGTCACTTTTGAACTATTGGTTTATTATTGATTCTATCATTAATTGTCTGACTACTTACTTCTATTTTTAAACATTTTACATCGCCACTTTTTGTTGACTTTTGAAATCAATCTATGTTGTGATGCACAATGTTCACAACAATTGTAAATATCTTAGGTCAACACTCAAGTGCAATTCAGATACAAAATTTGGAGACAATTGTCAGTTAGTGTCATTGCAATATATATGTTGTTAGAACCAGTAATTTTATAAGAGGATCTAGAAAAAATAATAAAGAATTCAAATCAGGTCTTTTAAAAGTTCAGTTTTAAAATGAAGCCTTTTTTTTATACAACACATTTGACATCAATCTTTTGCGTGTTATGGTCAAAATTCATGTTTTCACTTCCTCAGTATTGATCTTATAACTATCTCAAAAATTAAACAATTTGTCACTTAGGCATCATTTGTGTATAATTAGTTCAAGATCTTGCCACTTTGCAGAGTTGAATGTGAAGTCAAAAATTTGTTGAACAAATTTGTTAAAGCAATCTTTTGTCACTCTATAGTATGCGGTGAAATCTCAAATTACTCAAATTAAAAGTCAAATGTGTTTGAATAAAAAAAAGGCTTCATTTTAAAACTGAACTTTTAAAAGACCTGATTTGAATTCTATATTATTTTTTCTAGATCCTCTTATAAAATTATTGGTTCTAACAACATATATATTGCAATGACACTAACTGACAATTGTCTCCAAATTTTGTATCTGAATTGCACTTGAGTGTTGACCTAAGATATTTACAATTGTTGTGAACATTGTGCATCACAACATAGATTGATTTCACATTCAACATCACAAGATTATCATACAACAATGCAAATGAATCACAATCATTCTTCTTCATATATATGTTGCATGATAACATGTATTGCCATCACATCATCAAACACATATCCTCATAAATTAATACAAGTGAATTACAATAATCTTTGTTAATGGCTAATAAAGAACTAAAACACCAAGTAGCCATTTAACCATAACATGATATGGTTTTTATTAAGCTAAACTATAAATCTTGGCTCTACCTATGCCATAATTTTTCATCGTGAATAATCTATATGCATTCCATATTAAATGACAGTGAAATCAACATGCTTGCTAATTGCATTCAAAATTAATCATTTGTAAATTTGCCAGCTAATTCATACAACATACATTTGAGACCAATTTTAATCACTACTTGGTTTGATTTATGATATTATTAAAGTTAGACTCATGATATGGTACATAAATATGCATAATGTTTTTTTAAAAAATCACATCATCATGTACTTCAAATATCAAAATTTCTAGAGTTAAAATTAAACATATTTGTTGAAGTAAGCTAGATTGTTGATTGCATAAGACTACTCTGAGGTTAAATCTATGGATATGAAATCCAAATCGACAGGCCTCTGTGCATTTGTGGATGATCAAATTCAAAAAAACTGTTCTTGGTAAAGATAGCGTGAATGGATTGTGATCTGAGGTTCTTTGTCTTCTTGAAAAAATTTGGCAGCCTTTGCAAAATCTGGACGTCCATACCTATAGGCAAAAGCTAGATTACCTGGATAGATCCTAGAAATGGTGGCATACGTACTTGATCAAGAGTTCACGCTCTCAAATTTAAGTGTCTTGACTTTTGATATAGAGAAAATCCAATATATCGAATTTCTTCATTGGATGGAAGAGATCCCCAGGCTCCTTATAAGGTGTAGTATTTTAGAAAGTTTATTTTCTGAATTTTCATGGTTAGAAATCTGTAAAACCAGTTTCAGTTTAAAGCTTATAATGATGTTAATTCTAAAAATGATAATATAACAGACCTTCAAAAGGATTTTAGAGTCAATCTTCGAAGGTTATGTTGTCGGGGTTACAGTCTCTTAAGCTTGCCATATAACTCTTTTATCTAAAAATCCATCGCTCACAAGAAGGCGAACCCATGCTCGATGAAAGCTCAAAAGCTCTATTGAGGAAGAAAAAACCTCACGGAACTTTTAGTGTTGGGCTATACGAGCTTTTTTCACGTATAATAGAGAACATCGAACGTAAGTAGCTTGCCGACGAGTGTCCTTTATTCGTTAATATGACAATATGTGAACATTTATGTGATTGTTCCCTAACCACTAGGTCCACTTATCTAAAGGATCTGTTCGTGTTTTAGCATATACGCACACCGTTGGCCAGGCTCGTTGTGATGTAGTGATTCCTGCTTTATAGTATTCTTTTGCTTTCATCGAGCATGGGTTCCATTCGAGGGAAGTTGCGTGCGTTGCCTGCAAGTTCCAGAGACGTAAGAAGAATTCATATATGAAGATGCCAAATATATTAAAACTTATATATTGTTGAATTAAGTGTTTGCTTGATTAACTCTTGTTAATCAAAAATTATATATCAGATATAACGATACACAAAATATCCATTCAAGCCATTCAATATTTACAACAATCTATCTCTGAAATAGTTACAAATAATTTTGAATGCCCAAAAAAAACTCTACACACGGAATTTCTAAATACGATACCTGTATAATCTATGTTAATACATGAGACATGGCATTGAGCTAAAAGTGCCAAAAAACCCAAAGAGTAAAAGTGCAAAAAAGCCATAATACAAAAATTCCGAAATACAGAAGTTCCGGAGGCGTAAATGCAGTATGATCTGCCTTCTGGCTCCGTGGTTCTCCCCACCAACCAAGGCGCTCTGCAGTTGCAAACACACTTCAATTTAATATAAGAGAATCGGAGTTCAGCTGAGTATGTAATAAAGAGTGTCTGGTTCGAGTCCAGACCGCTCGGGAACGAATTATTCTGAATTGATTGAATTGATTGTACGGGACATTGAGGCATCTTCAGCGCCACGCCGCGTTGTTGGAGAAGCCCAGAAGCTAAGGATGCAGTTGGTGGATGATGCTGCGAATAATGCACCGACTCAAGCAGATGACTTCGCACAACGCGGGTACTGCAACGCCATCATCGCTGTAGGACAACGACATATGCAGCAGCAACAGCATTACATGATGCAGCATCAGATGCCGCAACGGGAACTTTTGTAAATCTCAACGCCGGTGGTGGAGCCTTTACTCCGGTGCAAGGAACGGGACTACCTCCCATACTAAGAGCAACTTCAGCAGTCTCATGCACCTCACAACTAGAAATTCAGAAGAGTCTCTTCCGTGCTCTAATCGGAGTCCATGTTGAAAAGAAGAATTCTGGTTTGCATGCTCTGATGGGAGTGGAGAATTATGTTGATATCGAAGAAAGTTCCATGTCTAATCGAAGAAAGATTCACGCGCACAAGACTCGAGTATCATAAGCAATGGGAAAAGAATGGATCATTCAAAATCGAAAGTCAGAAGAGTCTCTTCATCGCACCACTCCTACTGCAGGTTACACGGGAGCAGCTGCGAGAGCCTTTCGCTCCCTGACAAACAACTGTTCTACAAACTCTCGAATCTTTTTACCTGCGTTTATGCATATTGTAGATTTAAATCCCTTTAGCTGTAAATATAGAGCTCTCGTTCTCAGTTTTGCTCAGGAAGTTTCTTCTGGATATCTTATGTCTAGAGAATGTTTGCTGTATAACACGCATAAGGAAAAAAAATGATAAAATGTGCTTTTTTTCCAAGCTTTACCTTCTTCAATGGAATACATGCAAGTAGGAGGATGGATCATCGAAGGTCATAGATCTGTACGCGTATCTCGTGGGGCAGCTTGTGTGATCTCCTATGTAACTTGTCTTGTGCAACGTCTTAGCATATTGCTCAAGCATCATGGCTTTATATCCGTCATCTCTGTCGAGTAAAGAAGGCCAGAACTGAGCACATTGCAATCATGTCTTAGATACATCAATTCTGAAAATTTCTCTCGGTGTCTACAATAGTGTATGAGGTGTGATCCTCCGTGGAGTTTGAGTGTCGCTTAAAATCTATTGTGACCCACTTGACCGTCTATCCCTCCGAGCATTCGAGCGCTTCTTCTTTTCCATTGAAAACTCCCCAATACGAGGGACTTCTGAAATCCTTCACGAAGGATACCGAGAAGACGAGCAAAAGTTGTTGGTATGTTACCATTTACACCCTTCACATCCCGGAACGACAGATATCCCAACACCATATCCCACTATCCTTCCGGGTATATTCGATGCCCCCTCTCAATCTGCCCGTTTCTATAAGACTCAAGCACGTGTCTTAGATGATGGATCCAACATTCTCATTCGAGAAAGATCCCAGAATCCAAATAGCTGCCCGCATTTGATTACTTCATGTCGATTTGGCCCAACTGAGGCTCAAGGATCTCCTCGTGACTTGGGAATTTAAGAACGGCTAGAAATTCCCTTTCCTGCATCTCACTTGATTTGGTCACTTACATTTTACTCAGAAATTTTTGAGCAAAATATTCAAGCTTGCCTCGAAGATTCTAAATTCCAGTGTCCAAAAGCTGAAGCCAAGCCATTGTGGCAAATTTGTTCAGTTCACATCTATTGCCACTGCACGATAGTGCAGTGGCAATATTTCTTGCACAAAATTTTACGGCAGATGTGATCATGATCTACCAAAGTCGGCCAATGGTCACTTCGCTGCTCAATTGCTCTGATACTCTTGGCTTCTTCATCAACAATCTTGAACTTTTTTCATCATTCAATCATCAACAACTTGATCACTATGAAGTTGGAAGTTGGAAGAGTGTACTGTTACGACCTTTCGTTTCACTAGAAGGCTGTTCAGCCTCCTGGACGTCTCTTTCTTCTTAGTCATTTTTGGCGCCCCTTCTATTCTCACGTTCATAGGCATTGTCGGCTTTGGGCGTAGCCAATCCGCTTTTCTCCGCCAACGACAGCTGAGTTTCGTGTGTCATTCTCAATGATTCTCAACCCCAGATTTTAACCCAGAATCAACGTACTTTCGGCCTTTGGGTTCACTTTCTCTAACCGAATTCTACTCCCTGATATAATAGCTCTTGGGCCGCTCGCTGCTTCACTAAAACTCTATGTGACATGCAGCATTCAGATTCAGATGACTCTATTCTCTTACAGCGTACCATCGTAAGTCAAGCTTGTAATTATTGTTTCTTGTGTGGAAGATGCCCAGTTTATTCTCCGAGCCGAGGTCAGTGGTCCTGCAAGTTCACGATCGTAAAATTCGTGAGAAATCGACTAAACTGAAACTTGTGTAAGAGCCTCACGCACCGTGGCTTCTCTGCTGGTGCTGCGGATGAATAGGTAATAAAACGGATCATGGGATCTACTGCCCCAAAATGTCCATATGGCATCGGCCAGTTTTCTCAGTCACAAGACTCCATTGCTATCGCAGTAACCAAAACTAATTGCTGATCGCTTTTAGCTTCCCTCGCTTTTTTATGAGAGGTGGGGTTCAATGTCCAGTTTGATATTCAACCAATTTAACAATCCAAGCAACTGACCTTGTTGACGGTCTGAAATTCAACGTGGAATTGCGTGAGCCGATCGTCAACAAAGCCAGGCGAACAATTCCTGTGATTTATGTCCATCGGTCCAGCGCAGTGCTCGGAAGCGGGAGAAGTATGGAACAATATTCGAGTGGATGACTGTAATCTTCTGTTCAACAGAATACACGATGTATATTTTTCAACCGCACCTTGCGCCAAAATTCTTTCGATATTCTGACAGAGAAATTCTCTGTAGTGATTCTCTGTTTTCTGCCTGCATTGATTCTCTCAGAGAATCAATGCAGGTAGAATACACCACCACAGCAGTCCTGACTTTCTAGTCGTGTGTATCGTCGTTTCTCCTGGATTTTTATTCATCTCTCCAAGGTTCGAGGTTTTACTCGACCGAAGACAGAAGACTCTCCGATAAAACTTCAATACTTTGCCTGGAGAAATTTTAATATTCCAATGATATATCCATCCACAATTCTTGTATCACCGGAACTACATTTTTTTTACTGCATGCCAAGTAGACAATCTTTGCGTACTTGGCAATCTATACTCAAAGAAAAGGTTGGATTCCTGAGCTTTAGATTTATCCAAAGTAACAAACAGCGTTCAGTTTAGAGGGCAAGATATCAAAGAAATTCAGCGTTTTATTTCCAAGCAATAAACTTAATACACTTATCTTCATTCAAAATGTAGAAACTTTAATATTTTGAGGAAAATAATAACTGAGAAACTTACTTGAAATGAATATAACCTCGTATTTAGCTTATTGATATTCTCCAAAAAGGACATTTTCAATTTTCATTCGATATCCATTCCATCCGGTTATTTAGTTTTAAATTTTGTTATGTATCATTATAAGCCTAGTTTCTGCTATAATTGCAAATTTTGAAAGACATTAAGCACTGTATTTGTGAATTATTCTAATCTTAGATTTGAATTTGTAAATTGATATTCTCAAAATTGAATTTTTTTCATTTATAAACAAAAGTGGGCTGAAGTAAATGAGATAATCAACAGAAGACATCTTTTCAATATCTAAAACTAGTCATGACCTGCAATATTTAACACTTCTAATCTTAAAGACAAATAATAAGATAATCTAATAAATATATAATAAGATACATCTTGTAGAACATCAGATAATGCTCTCTCTATATCTCATCTTTACACAATGATATATCTCGATCTTGACACAATGATATCCCTTGCCACTTAGTACGATACGCTTCATTTGTTCTTTTGTCATGAAATACTGAACTTAGATAATAAAAGCTATATATTTTCCAAAATGAAAAATATTAATAATAAATTATCTGGGATTTCACTCTTCACAATATTTGCGACATTCTGCTATAATAATGATACCAAGGAGATAATCATGTGTATACAAGTTCTCCTAGCAATCATTATCACGACGATGTTTTGAACATCTTCAATGAATGTTATTTCTAGCGCATTCGGCGGACCCAGTTTTGCTTCAAAACTCACCAGGACGAGTTTTTGCAAAAAGTTAGATAGTATAGATATCGCAATACAATGAAACCCATTTCTTGAACTTTGGCTATTCAGCACACTCGTTATTGTGGACTGGAGTCTAATATAGATGGGGATCGTAGATGCAGAGTATATGGCACACTGCCCCGGCTGGCTGATCATACATGCCACGTCAAACGTTCGTCGAGCGATTTGTGCCCTGGCTGGCTGATCATTACGTGCCACGTCAAACGTTCGTCGAGCCATTTGTGCTCCAGCTGGCTGATCACACGTGCCACGTCAAACATTCGTCGAGATATTTGTGCAGCAGTGTGGTTTGAGTACATCCAAATGTTTGCCGGAGTGTGGGCATTAATATAGGACAGGCGAGCAGGACACGCATCCCAGAGCAGAGCCCCAGCTGTCGGAGGCATCGAGAGTTTCATCAGCTCAGGCATATCTTGCTTAGGCCGCTATCAACTTACAGGGATTTCAGATTAGCCTGGAAAGTGAGCTGTCCTGCTGCGCATCAAGCACGAGAATTTATATTCTGCTGACGAGAACCCCGGACGTACCTTTCCCCGCATCTGTGAGCTTGTGCTTTGTCGGGGTGGAAGTTGCCATCTTTCTGGAATGAACGTACAACTCGCGAATTGGAGACTAGATTGAAGTCAGTGCGTATAATATATTAGCAGCTAAAACCAAATCACTACGAGTTGTATGTCGTTGAGCGAGCATGAGGTTTACTATTCAACTCAAAGACGCGTACTCATCTTCTTCGTTTGCAAGGTAGATCTCACCACCTCACAACATATTGAAGTCCTAATCTATTACACATCGCAAGTCCCAGCCAGGCCAAGGACGAGAGCGACTCTTGAAGCAAATTGAAAGCTAGTGCATGGATAGTCACTGCGGCACGACTGAGGTCGTCACATCTAGAAGAGAATATTTGGACGAGCACGCATGCGTTGGAAGTCAAATACCTCCCGAGCTGACCGGCTGAACACTTGAACATCTAATTCAAACAACATCAGCTCGAACTGAAAGTCAAACAGTTTACGAATCAAATCCTGTCATGAGGCTTCGATTGATTGGGGACTTTGGTTCATTTTTAGTAGACTTACATCACGAGCTGGGCCAGAGGAAGGAAAGTTTGGTCAAGTATGGATTCCGGTGCAATATTCTGTAGCACATTTACTCTAAAAGGACGATGACGCATCGCAGCATGGACCCATGGGCATCTCTGTTGCGCGACACCGCCGGCGGGCACCGGGCATGTTCATTAGGCTTTGCACTGTGCTCTGGCTCCAGCAGAAGTATTTTGATTGAGCCGAGCACAGTGTCCGCCTCCGCTCGGGATCAAGTTGCAATGTCCAAGCCTGAAGAACGTGCATATATCAATTCACTATCAATATTCATGACGAGGAAGCTCTGACTCCTGCGAGCTCAGTCGATCACGGAAACATAAACTTCAACCAGCTCGCAGGACGTTTTTCTCGATGACAGTATAATTGAGCCTTTGGTTTGGAACCTCAGTGCAAAGAGCTCCGGTCACAGATTGTAAAGTTGTAAAATTTGTCGAGCTTTTTTTTTCTGCACCTCTGCATGTTTCCACTTTCACAGCAGTCGTCAAGACACCTTGGCACTCGGTTTTGAGTTGAAGCTGGAAGTCGTTTAGACTCTGGGCTCTTATCCATCTGGGAACTGTAGTGGCCTGGACCATCTTATGTGCAAATGTAAATATCAGGAGTCGTAAGCAAGCGGCTATCTTATCTGTCGAGAGCAGCGATCTTACTCTTTGAATTGATAGTCTGGTGAAAAAAGATTGCAGGATTGACGGTCAGTTTCCCGGCTGCTGCTAGTCATCGTGCCAAACTGGTCCTCGGTTGCTTTCCTTCGGCTTCTTTATATTATATAGGTATTATAAGAAACTGCAAGGCGAGAAACCTTGTGATAGAGAAGTAGAAAAGCAGGAAAACGGCATAAGTCAAGAGTCTGATGGAACCAGGTTTAGGACTGGTGATCGGCGAGTTGGCGAAGATACATACACTGATCGACGGATGCTCCCGAATTCTTCCACTAATTTTGCGACACAAGTCTGCTTGCACGGATTTCGCTTATTTTCTCAAAGACATCGGTGAGCTCAGATTCCATCGTGTTAGCCCCTCATCAGCTACTGATGCATGATCCATTCGTCACTGTGATTTCCAACTTGACATCTAAGATGGAACACGCAATCAGACGTTGGTCTAATTGTGAGTTCCATCTTAGATGTGAGGACAAGGGGACAAGTTGCAAGCTGGCATTTGTAAGAAAGAATTTACCGGAACCACTTCACGGAGTCATTATCTGCCCACTTGACTATCTGCAAGAAGGATGTGACATGCAGTGTCGCATGTGCTAGTCATTCACTTCATTGCGATTTTTTCCAAATGATTTTCATCTGGTGGCCAAAGTGGCTACCTCTTCTCATGCCTGTGTATTAGATTGGAGTGCTGTATTGTGGTTTGAAAGAAGCATGAAACTCGTTCTCATTCCATCACTGGAATATTTTTCTCTCGATCGATATTTATCTCCTGCAAATATTTGCTTCAATCTTTGTTGAGGAAGAAATCTTTGCACTGTGACTACATCAGCCCAGAGTAGGCCACGAATAAAGTAAACTTAAACAGGGTTCTTGATTGAAATTGACCCTTGCTCTGACAGATCAGAGAGATTCGGAGATGTGACTGTGAAATTTGCTGCTTTCTAAGCAGGAAACAGATTGCGATGTAAGGTGTCAAGTACACTTTCTCAGAACAGGCAAAAGGATCTTCTGGGGCAACTGCTATTGATGTCAGATAAGCTCCGAGATGCACAGGTTCTACTTTTAAGCCTAACAAGTCCCAAGTTTTGTTCGGAAACCACCACAGACCGGATCATACATCTGCGAATCGAAATTCTCATGACCCTGTCTATCATCACGCTGTTTATGAGACGAGATGAATACGATCCAGATGCTACTCTCGACGACCTGGAAGATGTATCGGGTCCATCCCTATCACTCCTGCGCAGAATACAGGTAGATTAGGGATTGCTCTACAGCAGAGTCTGGCTAGGTCCCAATTGAATTGACAATCTTGAAATCCAACTGCGACAGCAGTTTCTTTCTCAGAACTTGCATCCAGAGCTATTATGAGTTCAAAGATCCTTCCATGGATTTCTGCAGGGATCAAGAAAGACTTTGGCAAAATTTCCTCCGAACTGGAAACCGATTCATCTGAAAGATAGCTTTGAGCGCACCGCTCTCAGCCCTCGCCAGTGTCGTCATCGGGCCAATCATCAAGCCACATCAACTGCACCTCTTCCAGATGGTTCCACAATTGAGAGATTTAGCTATCCAGGTAGCTTCGAAATTATCATTTATTCATTCTCCGGCTTGAAACATGCTCTAAACTATCAGTCGATTGTCACTTCTTTTCTTACAAGTGGTATGGAAAATTCAGCAGTCATTCTGTAGGTTGAAATATGCTCTAAACCCTCAAGAGAATATCACTTATTTTCCTACAAGTGTTGTGGACAATCCAGCAATTAAAGTGCAGAATGGCACTCTGAAGTTCAAATCTTCCCTCTATGCATGCAGCGGAGATACAGAAGGTGACCGAATCTATTAACCCACCTTGGAAACATGTGAAAGAGCTCGGGCGAGGAGGCTATGGAATTGTTTGGTTGGCCAAAGACAGGTAATGACTCTTCGCTACGATAGTGTTTCCTCACCTGAATGTTTATCTTTTCGTGGAGTAATTAGCAAGGCTGGATAGGCTAGCTTTGGATTGCCAAATGGACATAAACTAACACATTTTTATTCTTCTATGGAAGCTCTGACAAATTCTTTGCGCTGAAAGAACTTCATCATGATCTTCCCACGAATGTAAACGGGATTTCTTTCGAAAGGGTACTCACTTTCCTTGAAGTTAAATTTCATGCATGTCTGTCAAGTACCAGTTTACCGTCAGGCATTCATCTTCGTAGGTAGCTAGAGCACTTACTTAGCTGGCTCATGTTGCGAAAATCACGACAGAAATTTCAGCATATCGTATACTTGTGTTTATTTTCTCGACCAATATCGACATACTTCATCCATCCATGATACTATCAATATTCATACCCTCTTTGCCGAGAAGAATCAGTCGATTGGATCGTGAAAGAATTCCTTTTTATCAATGACAACCGCAACTTCCTCTGTTTATCAGGACAACATCAACAGACTTCAGGAGCTTAATCACAAGCACATTGTGCGGTATCTTGGGGTGGAAAGGGTGAGTGACACCTTGAGCCATGATTTCATCCTCCAAGATAGCAAATCTGATTCCGATTGAGATGTTTTGATGTTTGCAAGACTTATCCAGTAATGAAAAATTTTGCTCACTCATGTTTCTGGTATGCCTGTAGAGTGGTGGCAAATTGCGTATATTCATGGAGCTTGCAGGTAAACGGTCACTGAGAGCCTTCTACTTAGCTCAACGGTTGAAGATTTCCGAGGTTAGAGAATTCACAAGGCAGATACTCGAAGCCCTCGCATATGTTCATTCAAAGCGCATTGTACACAGGTAATGAACTGTTTACAAGTTTAGCTGCACATCTACATAAGTTTTGTTGAGCCTATGTTGTCTTTCGTCGCCATTGAACTCGATTTCTCAATCAGAACTAAAGAGAGGTTATGATTTGATTGATACTGATTATCTTCCTCTAGGGGCATGTCCGAACACTAGAGATGTGAAATGTGACAACGTCATACTCGATGACTCTGGGACCTGCAAGCTTTGTGATTTTGGAGTCGCAAGACAAGTAAGAACTTCAGTGTGTCTCGCTTGACTTAATCACCTGATGCAAAACAGTTTCGAACGAATCCGTTTGCTATGTTCAGTTCAGCTGTTCAAGTAGTATCATCCCATTAAAATCAGAAGGTTTTGTTGCGAACTTCCGGGGTCATGAGAACATAGAAGGGTCTGCTAAAGTACCGTCTTCGTTTGTCAGCTGCTTTCCAGCCAGGATCAAGCCAAGACGCAGATAGGAAGTGCTCGTTGGATGGCTCCCGAGGTTGGTTCCCGACTCTCACGTTCCACATCCAAAACATGAACCCTCGGGCTTCTGAAGGCGGTCGGTGCCTTTTTGGAATGTGCACGTTTTGGATACAGCAGCTCAACCTCAATTCTTCAACCCTGACTCGTTTTGGCGCTCTGCTGATGATGTCGTATCTGTAGATCATTCGTCCGTATCGACGTCCCGATGGCACATGTTTACTCGGTTACAGCAAACCAGCCGATATTTGGAGTCTCGGGTGCACGGTGTTGGAGATGATTACCGGCGACGTCCCGTTCCCAGAAGTGACCAACAATGTGAGCTCGATGACACATCGTCTCATGTCCTTTGCCTGCCAGTCTACGTTTATATTCCAAGTGGCTCAATTTGATTTGTTGTTGTTATTGTGTTAGTTCCAGATTTTGGGGGTAATTGAGGCGTTCAAGGATTTATTTACACTGACCCAAACTTCAAACGTGATGCTGATGATGAGTCCACACGGTGGGAAGCTTGTGTAGATTGCCGTGTTGTACAAGGTCGGAAAAGGGTCTCCAGAAGTACCCACGAACCTACCCGAAGACATGAAGGACTTTTTGGCCAGATGTCTAAGAACAGATCCAGCAGGCCGGGACACGGCACAAGAGCTTCTGCAACACCCTTTCATCGTCGGTCTCCCGGACCTCGGCGATTTGTGGGAAGCAGAGTACGCAAGGTACTCTGCGCCCTCCTGTGCTCTTATGAAATTATTTTCTTGATTGATTGTAATTTCTGCATTTGGTGTTATCCCTCCTCTTTCCCTCTCAATAACTCTTGTAACATGACGTGATTTGAAATTGGCCACCTCGAACCTATGTATGGTTCCTTCTCTGTACAGAAATCTTGCCCATCCATTAAACCTCTGTACCCAAGCACACTATGCAATCCGTCATCAAATTTGACGAGTAAAATTGACTGACTGGCCCAGTCAGTCGAATTCCAGTCAGTCAGACCAACCTAACCGAACAAGTTATTGGCAGAGTTTCGTGTGCTCAGTACAAGACACTCGCACTTACTGAGTCGGCCGACTTCTAGGCTCAAAAGAAGGACACTGAGCACTGATGAACATACACTGCAATTGATGTGATGCAGAATACAAGAATTGAGTCATCCTCGACTGAAGGGACATGCAGAGGCTGTTATCACAAAAAATAAACTGCAGTTCTCCCGCCTACAAAGCTTGGCTCTTAGTTTATGAACATACGACTCCTTTGTAAAAATTTCCAGACCTAGGTTTTGACGTAACGCTGTTAGAACGTTGTTAGAGCAAGTTAAGGTTGAGGTCCAGTATTATGGATCCTAAGCAGCTTTCCTTCCTAAACAGCTCGTTGAATGATAGTTTCTGTGCTAGAACGAAGATATACATCAGATCTGTCTTCATCGACGCATGCGCCGCCGAGGGAAAAGAGCAAGAACGTGAGCAGGAGTAGCAGGGAGATACGGCTGTCAAATGGCTCGGCAGCTCATACCATACATAAGCCATCCTGTGCAGTGCAGCTGCGGATCTGACAACTGGATACGAGTCCAGGACTGAGCTCTAGACTGATCGTTGTTGGTAGCATCGTCCGCACACGTACCCGATCCTAAGGCACTGCTGCTGTAGCCAGTAATTGTGTCCGAAATCTTTGTATATGAGTATTAATATTGTACAGTGGCAAGATGCTCTGGTGCTTCTGCGCATGAAGAATGTTCCACTCCCTCGGTTCGCTCCTTGTCAGAGATCAGAGTCTTACTTCGGGTGTCATGAAATCACGGCGTCTCGCTGTCGCATTCGGCAGCTCAATCGAAGAAAGGGTAGCTTTAGGCTTGGTACTTGGAAATGGCGAGAGACAAGGAAGTCCATTAGATGCAAAGGTCGACGAGTTCATAAATGTGTACAAATTGCCCACGGAGCCAGGGATACTTACTGGATACATGAACGCGTATGGGTATCACCGTGAGGTTGGGAGTGCATTCCATGTCGATTGAAGTTAATATCTGTGGAAGTCAAGCTAAGAATATGACTAAAGCTCTGTAAGAGTACAACATTTCGAGAGTCGAAACATGACAGAGGATGACCAGCAAGTGATCCCTCGCTTCGATGCTCAGGGCGAGATAGGCCGTGATCAACTCGTACCGGCAGCATATGGGTGACTATGAAAGAGGAAGTGGACAAAGAGATGATCAATTGGACGGCGGAAAAAATAATCTAAAGATTCGGTGTACTATCGTTGCCATCCGATCGACTGCGTCAAAACTTTCCTTGTACGTATACGATCCGTCTCCTGTCCCCACCGTGGACGATGAGGACACGTACCTTTTTAAACCGAATAAGCTCCTCTGGAATTGGTTATTAAAAGGACCTGTTTGTCCACTTCAATAGAACAAGTAATTGCATTACTAACTTTACGACCATATCCATCAGTGCGCACACAAATTTATTCCACGGAATGACGATTTCTCCGATGCTAGTGGACTGATCATCGTCAAAACGGGCTCGATGACATTGCTAACCAGGTCAGGTTACATATGAATGAAGTAACAAATAGTTTATATGAAGAAAGTTGACAATCTGGAAACTCCCTTTGACAGCTTGGCTTTAGGAAATTCTGAGGATAGATGCCTGTCTCCAACCTGAGAGGAAATTGCCTTCACAAAGGTGGGGATCCACTGAAGGGAGGATGGTCGCTACGATGGAGTACTCATGAAGAGCCTGTAACGGCGATATAGTTATCATCGAGTGGAGAATGCGGATAATCCACGTCCGTGCGCTGCTGCAATTTTATTTAATTACATTATGGGAACGGCATCGCTCACAGATCACAGGATCAGATGCTTCTCTCTTGCAAAATCTACGCTGATGCGTTCCGAGTGCTTTCAGCTGAAGCTGATGTTTCCCGAGCTTGCACGTCATGCACATGAAATAAAACAAGGACGAATTCTCACACTCTCTTATGAAGAATCGATAGCTGAATGCTAAGCAAGCGATTCTTCCTGACAATCAATTCAATCCATCGTCATTACACCGTGCAGACATGGCTCAAATGGATATGTCGCCTTCCGTAGAAGGGAGGCTCTCAGTAGAAAGAATCTGCAGCTGAAAATGCAAGTTCACATAGCACAGGTACACCGAACAATACAGGAGTCTGTTTGGAGCGAAGAACGCACCGTGATCTATGGAGGACGATTTGTCCTGCACGTGCATCTCTTGTTACATGTTTCGAATTCAGCGTCAGCATATACGACCAAGACTTATCGATCTAGAGCCATCGGACCAAAGATGGAGCAACCGGTGCGACAAAACGATATACATCTACTAGCTCACGAGCTCAAAGCGTTCCCGATTCCTCGACTCTTCCCTCTTACTCCCGAAGTCCTTTATTTATACCACATAGAATGAATGGGCCCTGATCTGCAGCTCCTCCTCCTCCTCCTCCTCCTCCTCCTACTGCTGCTGCACCAGGCTAGCTTGCTGGCTGATTGGCAAGTTCAAAGCTCGATGGAAGAGATAAAATGCTCCGACAGACCGCCTGCACAGGCTGCTGCTTCTAATTACAGTGGCTCCGCCAGCTCGCTTGTACAAGTGTGTATATTTCATATTTATAACTCACAACGAAGCATCTCCAACCGACTTGCTCTGAATGGAAATGTGTAATTATACCACCGATGGTGCTAGCCTACTAATCCTCGACATCGACCAATTTTTCGTATGGAGCCTCGTCGCATCTGCTGCTGCTGCTGCTGCAACTACTGCTATTATGCTATGCTATGCTCTTCTCTTCCCTTCCCTTCCCTTATCTTCCCGCACACAATACGACCGAGACAGAATCGTCAATTCGTCGTATCTCTATAATTTCAACTTACACAGCATGCTAATTTACAACTCTAGTTCCAGTCCGAGGGCAGGCAGGCGAAAGCATGCGGAACTGCACTCGAACTAGCCATGATTTACAGAATCTAACAAGCTCGATCTAAACCTTCAGGATGTAGCTAATTTCACACATGAGGGAAAACGAGTGTTCACCGAACGAACGAAAGAAATTACGGGAAGCCCGTCGATCACACCATCATCACGAGGGAGATTCCTTGCCGTCGTAGTCGCTCATGAGATTGACGCCCGATGAGTTGGAAACGAGAGTCGAGGCATGGCGAATCGTGGGCCACGACTGAGTGCTGGTGTCAGGAGTGTCGGACGTCGTCGAGCTCATGGTCATGCCCGTGGACGACTGAGTGGTGCTATCGGTCTCGGACCGGAACATGTTGCACTCCTTGCTCATCGCATCGAGCTCGCGCACGACGTCGGACATGCTGGGGCGGTCGGTGGGATCCTGCTCGCAGCACCGCAGCGCCAGCTTCGCCCAGGCCTCGGCCGTCTCCACGGGGCACTGCCCTGCGATGGACGAGTCGACGATGAGCCATAGATTGTCCTTGGCCAAAACCCCGACGCGGACGATATTCTGGCCCTGCGAGATTGCTCGCCTTCCCGTCAGCAGCACCAGCAGCAGCACCCCGAAGCTGTACACATCGCTCTTGTCCGTCAGAGTGTGCGTGAGGCAATACTCCGGGTCGAGGTATCCAGGAGTGCCTTTCACGAGAGTGTCGACACCCCCTCCCACGCCGCCCTCCTCGTCCGGCTGCTCGGCATTCCTCGACACTCCAAAATCCGCCACCTTGGCGTTGAATTTCGCATCGAGCAGGATGTTGCTGGGCTTAATGTCACGATGGAAGATCGGGGGATTGGCCTCGGTGTGAAGGTAATTGAGTCCCCGGGCCGCTCCCAGCGCGACTCGCAGCCTCGTGGGGAAATCGAACATGGCCGTGGAGTTGGGTGGCAGATGGTCCTCGACCGTGCGGTTCACCATGAACTCGTACACGAGGAAATGGTCGCCCGACACCTCGTCGCTGCAGAAGCCCTTGAGCTCGACGAGATTGCGGTGGTGCACGCGCGACAGCAGCTCGATCTCCGTCTCGAATTGCTCGACTGACCCGGCAGCCATCCCTGCACGCTTGATTGCAACCTTGGATCCATCAGGCAGCACTCCGAGGTACACTCGCCCGAATCCCCCGACGCCAAGCACATTCGCATCGCTGAATCCGCTCGTGTAGCGCTCCATCTCCGACCATGTCCATTCCTTGAGCCCTGTGGCCTTCACCCTCGAGAACGTCGGCTTGAGGTGCATCCCCTTCCTTGCTTTCGGCGCCCGCCTGCGACTCACCACCAGCAACCCAGCGATCAGCAGCAGCAGCGACACCGCCATCACGCCCAGCACAATCCCAGCCACCTCGCCCTTCGATAGCCCTGAGGACGAGCCTGGCGGCAGAACCACCGTCAGGCGCAAGAGCTCGTAAGGTCCGAAGACGGAGTTGTCAGGAACTTCCCAATCCGAGAACATGTCGATGATGCGCTCGATTTCGGAGGAATTGAAGTAAGTGTCCGAGAGCGGGAAGAGGCCGAGGTGCATGGAGATGCGGTTGCTCGACTCGGTGGTGTAGTCGAAGAGATCGACCTGCTCCAGCGCAAGTCCCAGCCCCGACGAGATGTAGATGAGGAAGCTCTGCTCGTAGATGTCGAACACATTGAACCCGGGGCTCTTGAGTCTGTACCAGACGATGATGGGCACGGCGCATCGGCAGAACTCGTTGCCTGCTCGGTTCTGCGCATTGGGCACGAGGAAGAAGGTGGCAGGGCAGCCGCCGCAGGTCGAGCCCATGTTGGACGAGGCATTGACGGCGCTCCCGATCTGCAGCACCACGTTCACGCTGCTGGGCAAGCACACCGCCGCCAGCGTGTTGCCGCTGCACAGCGGGTTGCCTGCAAACCATATCGATTGTTGCGAGCGGATCAGGGTCTCGTTGTTGGGCCAGCTCGAGATGTTGTTGTTCTGGAAGTCCCAGATGAATTTTGCGGACGAGTCGTTGTTGGGCGGGATGGAGCCGAGGTTCGTGGGAATGGTGCCCGAGATGTCGTTATTGCCCAGCAGCAGGAACGACAAATTGCCCAAATTGCCCAATTCCGTCGGAACGTCGCCCGAGATTTGATTGTTCGAGAGGTCGATGGCTGTCATGCGAGGAGGGAACGCCGGGATCGATCCGTTCAGCTTGTTGGAGCCCAGATCCAGCACGCCCAGGGCTGTGGACTGGCTCATGTCCGGGACAACCCCCTCGAGGTTGCAGTTCCTCAGGCTGAGCTTGAGCAGCGTGGGAATGGTGCCATACTCGGCTGGGATGGTGGCGCCGTCGTCGAAGTGGTTGTTATCCAGCTGCAAGATCAAGAGAGTGGAAATGTTGGACAGCTCCGGAGGCAGCAGGCCCGACACATTGTTGCTGTCGAGGAGCAGATGGACGAGCTGCGGAAGCTGGCCCAGTTCTTTGGGGATGCTGCCACTGATCGAGTTATTGTTCATGTGCAAATGCTGCATGCTCAGCAGGTTCTTGAAGGTGCTAGGCACGGGGCCAGTGATATCATTCTCGTCAATCTGAATCCTATTCAGCCCGCTGAGATTCCCGATCGAGTCCGGGATGTTCCCCGAGAAGTGGTTCCCGTTCAGCAGCAGCAGCAGGAGGTTGTCCAAATTCCCGATGGTGTCCGGGATGGTGCCACTCATGTTGTTCCACATCACGTCGAGGTATTTCATCGCCTTGAGGTTCCCCAGCTCCGGGGCCAGCGTGCCCTCGAGGTTGAGATTCAGCAGCCGGAGCTCGGTGACATGCGAATAGTTGGTATTCTTCAAACTGTCAGGATAATCCGCCACCAGGCAGAACACTCCGACCCAATTCGCGCACGGGTCGCCACCGAGGTACCAGCTCGGAAGCATCTGCTGGCTGTTGCTCAGCGTGGCTTTGAACGCTTCGAGGGCGCTAATATCTCCAGGGTCAGTCGGGAGGAGGCTCTGCGAAAAACTAGTCGACACACAAAATCCGAAAACCACAACAACAAAAACTAGAGCTCTGCTAATCCCACTACAAAGCGATACTACTGCTTCCGATCCCGTGGCTGCCGGCCTCGACGGGCCGCACCAGATTAACATCGTCATATTATCCTGTTAGTAGCATGAAGATGACGGTCTGTGCTTCCGTGAGGAAGAAATCCCACCCGCTGGGTGATGCGCTTTATTTTTTCTTGGAGTTCAATTCTTCGGTCTCGAATTGGTAGAGCGAGCGAGTGAGGCCGCTTGCTTGCTGGCTACCTAGACCGTGGGGCGCCTCCTCATGGCCGCCGGTGGTGATGCCCTCGCATGAAACAAAGGCCACCGTCCCTCACCACTCGTGATTCACATCTCCTTGCTTTATGCACCATCTCTGCCCATGCTCGAGCTCCCTCTCCTTCCTTCCCTCTCACTCGGCACGGCCCCTTCGGATCGGCACCGCTGAATCTGCACACCTTGTACGCTTACGTACTCTCTCTCTCTCTCCTGTTCGCTGCACTAGATCCGGCCGGGCTGGTCGGTCCTCACAATTGGCTCGACAGGCCGTGCTTCACGCCATCTCGCGCTCCGTCTGGCTCAGACTCCTCCCTTAGACCTTGGCGCCGAGCAGCGCCGGGGGCCTCGTAATGGATTCGGAGCAGCTCAGACCCTGTATTGTATATGACGAGACGATGTGGAGCCCCCGTGTCCAGCTGGACTTGGGGCTGTCCGAGTTGGACAGAGCATCGATGTGTCCGACGTGGCGATGATTCGGTCGGAGATCCCGGAATCAGTCGGGCAGGCAGGCAACTTGGGGGCCGGGCCGGGACGAGACCAGACCAGACAGACAGCATGAATTCGTCAAGGCCCACGGGTCTTTCGATTGTGCTGATGACGACCTCGTGCCCTTTCCGGATCTTGTCCTGGACGAATCAATCGGCCTTATGAGACTGATTTCCATATAAGCCTCGATCATCTGTTCTGATTGAGAATTCTGTTCAGTTCTGCGGCAACTGGGGTTACATTTGTGCCTTCTTGTTCAACTGCTGCGGTTGTTCCACCAGAGTAGAGGCATTCGGATCTGTCATGATCTCTGCCGAATGGATCGGGAACCGCACCGGGTCCGGTCAACGAACGAATGATGAGCGTCGTTCTCTGGTCCCGGACCTGGATGGATCTCATTGACTTTCGAGGTTTTCCTGAGTAGATTTTGTCCTGCTTTTTGGGGTCCTGACAAGCATTTCGGGTCAGCCATCTGCCTTTCCTAAAGACCGTGAGCCGGTTGGAGCTTTACTGAAATGTTCCACGTTATAAGATTACGAGATTACTACAAAAAAGTCTTTCATGGCCTGATCCCTCATTCGCATTTTTCCCGAGGCATTCCATTGACAGTTTCTCCGGCGGCGTTTGATTATCCACCCTTGCTTGCTATGGAGTACAGTACAAGCCGTTGCCAGAATCTAAGGTTGCATGTTAGAGTGTGTGTGCACGATGGTAAACGGCTGCAGTAGTTCCATGCAGTTTCGCAAAATCGAGCAGATTATATTCTTCACAAGAGTACACTCGAATAGAACTTGTAGAGGGCCGACAATCTCGAGCGAAGACCTGCTTTTCCACATGAGACTTCGTTACCGTCAGTTCCAGCACACAGCAACTAAATCAGCACGAAATATATCAACGGGTCTGACTGTGGCGAACTTGCTTATGAATATTGCAACTGATCAGAAGAGATCAATTCCTAAAGGGAATCTCAACAATACCAGTTGGTGAATATCCCGGTCAATGGAGATAGCAATATCCAGCACGATTAATAAACTGTGAACCGATCGAGTGAATTGTGACGTCGACTGTGCAAGTCGATAATTAGGCTGCTTTCAAGTGCAAATACAAGGACTCGGATCATTTTTGTTTACTCCAAGAGGGTGGATCTGGAATCTGAAGGTCTTCACAATGTTATGAAGCGTCTTGCGACTTCAGTGGATGTATTGTGAAGTAGACCACAGTGGCCGAAATATCGAACGAGTTCGCAACGACGGGAACAAACGCGGTTGGTGGGCACGGTAATTGTTATGTCAGCAGTAATCGCAGTAGGTACGGCGATTACGCCGCGAATGTCGATTGAGGCCACTACTGTACCACGTAGAGAGTCCACGGTTTTGGTTTTCGTTGTGAGTCCATGAGACCGAATTCCACCACCGTCAATAAAACATTCGATGCCGGGTACTTTCAGGAAAAGAATAGTTGCATCCGGGGTCTACATGAATTTAAACTAGTGCAGAATCTCAACACGAGTCAACGAGAAATATCTACAAAGTAAAATAGCAAAAAATACCCAAAAGCTATAAATGGGGCTAGCCCAGAACTCATTAAAAGTGGCATTTGCCACTTTTGCCACCTTTTCGTTTAATGTGTCACCAACATTTCTGGAAAAGTGCCATTTGTATTGAAAACCTTTGATGATAGTACTGAAACCATAAGAGAGATTCAGCTTTTTTCAAGAGAGAGTCATGCAGGGTTGTTTCTTCGTTGTGGCTAAGTAAGGTCCGCGCTCATGTAATGTTCATTGGACACCTAATGCCATCTATTTTTAAAGAGAATTTTGAAGAGTCCATGAACAGGTCGCATGATTAATCACTGTAAGGATACTCAAGGCCTAGAGCTAGTATCCAGAGAAAATGAGTTTGAGGTTGCTCATCTGCACGATGAAGATATTACACTTCAACTGAATAGTGACAACTTCCAAGATACACATACCCCTCCTTTAAATTTCAGCCCAAGGTAAGTGACGTCACCCATCTTCAATCCTATTGAATAGTGACAACTTCCACAATCCACAAGAAGCGAACTGTATTCCCACTCAAAACCTCGGACAAAGTTGAGTGACATCACCTGTCTTCAATCCTAGGACTCGAGAGAAACTTGATTTCATAACCAAATTATTATGGCATTAGAGTTTTAGAATACTTTCGCGATATATGTAATTTCTCTTTTCTTCCAAAAATTACATCCGTCAATGATCATGCTTTACTTTGAATTCTATCCACAATCAACTCAAAAACACAAATCCAATGATTTTATTTCCGGTCACTTACTACATATTAACGGTAATGCGGTCTAATGTTTGCTTGGTTGGGATAATTACATTCTTCTGTAGTGGAAGACATCGGCATTGCTCATAACTACTAGAAATTATTTCTAAAGATTCACGCTATAAAGTCAAAATTGCAATTGTGGATGACACTAGAATTACTCACAACTCCTAGAAATTACTATTAAAGATTTACGCTGTAAAGTCAAAATTGCAGTCAAAGAAGCACCGTTAAAAAAAACTTAATTGTGTCATCAACCCAATTTTCATCGTGGCAAAGTTGACATCTATTAATAAAACGTCACTTTTAATCAGGCCTAGGCTAGCCCTTATTGCATTGCAATGTGATACTTATGTTAGTCCACTCGAGTATTTAATTATTTTGAGAATAACAAAACATATACACGGCCTATTAAGATTGTTATTTTGTTCATTGGCAAGCTAGTGAATTTTAAGAAGGAATGCATAGACATTCACTCAAATATGCAGTACAATATACTAAAGAGAGTTACACCGGACACTCAAAAGTTGATACAATTCATACCAAATTAAATATGAAGCAGTAATAAATTAACTAAATATCTATGATACCAAACTCTGAAACCAATAGGTCAAATTTATTTAATTGATTCATATTATAAAAATTTCAAAGAATTATTGAGAATCTTCATCAAGGCATACAAAAACAAGGAATTTTATTCTTTCTTTTTTATACTTGTATTATAAAAAAAGCATCATTCTTCTTGAACTGAAGCAATCTATTGAGTAAAATGTATTATGAATAGCTATGTATTGTTCTTTCAATGGAAGTAAAGTTTTGTAAATTTTTGTTGTATAGCTGTTCATGTGAGTAAATGTAATGGTAGATAGTTGATTGAAATCTATACTAAACTTTATTGTTATAAAACAGAAGCTAATGAGAGTAACAAAAATCATCAATGAATTAGTATTTATTGATGTTTTTTATATACATCTCAAGAATGAATCTATGGATCATAAAGAAATGTAAGTGATATCAATATATTAGCCAAAAAAAATTTATAGACGTCTTACATTTCATCACTAGTGATATTAACTATTCATACAAGATTAATGAAGATCTTTATGCACATTTTAAATCTGTTGTAACTTTTGCAAGGAAAAATACGATAATCAAAATATAAAAAATAAAAAATATTTTGTGCACAAGCTAACGTGACAGTTAACGTGGTTTAATTTACGGAAACACATCAAATTATAAAACTAAAATTGGTTAATGTTCATAAGTGCAAGCTAGATCTTGGTGTCTTTAGTTCTTAGAATCAAATTATATTTGAACCCTAAAGTGTTTCTCGGGTTCATGGCAGACAATTGGCACGAGTTTATTTTAACAATCTCCCCTTTAACTCATATAGAAAGAAAACTAATCTCCATACCCTAGTGGAGCCGTCACATAATTGGTTTATGATTATTTTGAAATTTATTTCACTTTGAGTAGTCTAAATTGGATTTTGTGAAGTTATAGCTTGGATCTAATCACCAGCTAGAAGGGAGATTGGACGTTCATTTGAATATGCATAAATCTTTATACTTGTTGTGCTTGGATCATGTCTGAAATGACAATGAGAGCTATGTATGTTGGTAGATGATGTGTATCCGCACAACAGTCATTATGTGATTCCAAACTAGAGTTGTGATTATCTTGACCATGTAAAATATCATGTACTACAAACGGTTTCTATATCTAGATTTGTCACGGTCATTGATTGAGATTATAATCGTCACCGTCAAATCCAACCGTCTATATTAGTCGCTGGTTGGATAAAAAACTAGGATTGTATAGTTTTTGTGACTAGGATGCAGTTCACGGAAGTATACCTTAACTATCACATCAAAATAGACTCATTTTGTGAAGTTGAGACTTCCTAATTGCATATATCGGAGCATGTTTATGCTTTAATATGTGAGAATGATTCCAAGTTCTTATGTACCTAGTACTTATTGAGTTATATTGAGTTAGAGTTTGGCTTGGCTTGACTATATGTAACATTGGAGTTTTTAGTAAAGTTGAACCCTAGAGATTAAGAAGACCCTACGCAATTAAGAAGTCCATTGGCCACTAATGAATGTCATTTATGTGTCATACATACAATAGTAGAATAGCATAAGTTGAATTCCTATAAGTAAACTTACACTCATGATTATTGCATGGTGTTTATGAAGTTAAATCAAAATTTTGATGATGAAATAACTTAAATAATCCTGTCTTCAACGTTTACATATTGAAGTCAAGCTTACAATATATACTTCAATAGTAATATATGAAATGTCTACGTAATTTTATGTACATGTCACAATGTGTTTCATCCATTAAAAATGTGAACTCACAATCCCTAATGGCCTGATTAGTAGACTAAATAGCTTTATAAAGTATTATGCGAAATGAAATTTCAAGTACATATGACATGATCTTCCAAGGTAATGCATCATTTATAGTTCTTTCTTCAAATATCTTGACCACTTTTGGTTATTAATTGAAATCCTCTCCACGTGATACAAACATTCTAGGTCTAAAAAGATCTCATTGTGCATGATCATTGACTACTCAGTTTTATCTTTATCTTATATCCTTTCACTTTTAGGTTTCCCTATCAAGGTGTCAAAGTCTATTGCAATATCAATCTTTTGAGTTCATCATGACATATCCTATTTTTTTGAATTTATGGTATTGAAATAAAAATTATGCTTGATATTCTCTCCCTTATATTTGTTCTTCAACCAAACTAACTACTTTTTACAATTACTCTCGTACACTTGCATTTTTTAAACGCATGACACTTTTAATAGCAAAATCATGTACGGGACATTATGACATCAAGAATCTTGAAAAGCAGTATTGGATATGTATATAAAGTAATTTTTCAAAGATTGGAGTTGTGTCTCACTCAGAAATGGAGAAATTCTCAAAAGGAAGAGTGATATTTGAAATACTTCAAAGACTTCCCCGTCTATTGATGGGGTCTTCTCATATATTTTTGTATCCTCTTGGGTTCCTTTTCCTTTATCTCCTTCTGTCAAAGCTTTCTATTTACAGTCTTCGGACTCCAAGAGGGAACGGTGTCACGAAGAGTAAGAAGAGCCTCACCAATGACGCAGAACCTTCCTGCATTCCGAGGGCCACCGCTTGATCCGGTCACCGAACAACGTCGCGCTCTGAAGCTCAAGGAAGCAGAGGGCTGTGCCTTGACCTTCGTTGACCTTCTCGAGCGAGATCTCGCCCACGGAACGAAGGCCAATTCCCAAGGTCCCATGAGATTAGAAGTCTCGAGATTGTTGGATAGATGAGCCCAGGTCCGAGCTGAGCTAGGGTCTGGAAGGCTACGTGAGACGGTAACACTGTCTGGTCTGGTCTGCTGTAGGATTATTCAGCTGAACGCAAATTTCCAACGACCGGTTCAAAGATGGCGTGAAACTGCCCAATCCATAGTTGCTGTAGCATTAGATTATCCCGTTTATTGCATCTACGTGGGGATTGGAGGCCAAAAATGTCAATACCGGCTCATGACGTCTGCTTCATCTGCTTGAACTCGGGCTTCTGATTCCTGGCTTTCTTCTCACCCTTCGAACCATGTGAGAGAACATTCCGAGACGGCACAGACAGATGCAACTTCCCATATGTATGCTCCCCCACGCAACACTTAGTAACTGCATTAGACAGTACTCGAAATGGTGAGAGTCTGGCCCCAAGTTTCATGGTCGTTTGAGTCATTTAGAACTCAGGCCTCCACCCGATTGGCTTGGTCGAGGTGCTGAATAGATCTGATCACTTTCGAACTGTTGTTGCAGGGGAAGGGTGTCAATGAAGACTAGAGGAGAGGATTATGAGACAGTGAAGGACGAAACTGTGACCATCAAGCTTTTACATTGTTCGTTCTTTGAAAGTTTCACTGTTCCGTCTTAATATTATTTTTTCAGATATGGATTCTGGCTTAAGTTTCAAGCTTCGCTTCTCTCTGGTGATGCTTCTCTGCGGCAGGAAACATACATCTGGGACCGAAAGAGCGTTCATGAGCTGGAATGGTGCGGAATAAGAGCTTTGGCAAGATATTGAGTATTCCATCCCTTTCGTCAGGGGCGGAGCCAAAGGGGACGGGGGGGGGGCATGCCCCCACCAAGCCCAGGAAGGGTCTACACAGATTGTGAGTTACAGAATGTGAAAACGAGGTCGAGAAAAAATTTTAATTGGAAATTGGCGGGTAGCCCCCCCCCCCCCCCCCCCCCCCCACCTGAAATATCCTGGCTCCGCCCCTGCCTTTCGTGCCATCGAAAAGAAGGGATCGGGGCCTAATCCCATCTTATTCCTGTGTAGGATATTCCATTGGAGTTTCCCGGATATTCACCGTCGATTAGTCCTTTATGATCTCTCCAGTTAGTCCAAAGATTAATGTGATAAGTCTTCGATACACCCTTGTGCTCTGATACAAGTTTTGCATTGCAGCCCTCTAAGTATTCGTAAATGAAGGCACTGAAGAACTTTTGTTTCTCCCGGCAAGACGAGAATCATGACCTGGACGTGACACCACATTTAGCTTTAATGAGACATGGAGGACTTTTTGGCAAGCTTGAGGGTAAAGTTTTTTTGTTCCTTAACCTCCGTCATTCCATGTGATTTTGATGGTCGCTGACCGTAATGGATCTCTTCATACCGCCTTATCTTAGACACGAAGGCGTCTTGGAATGAGCTCCAGGAGGAGATTTCCAAAATTCCATCCTTGTTGAAGAAGGTGATCGAGACATGCAGTTGACCTGATTACTCAGAGTCAATCCTCTCTGATTCACAAAAGTCAGCCAGTGACATCCGAGTGACCAGAGCATAGTTCGCAGCTTGGAGATAGGATTTCCTCCATCAAGAAGACTGAAGTGCTCGCTAGGAGGCCCTTCGAGAATCAATCTGAAAAGTACATTGATGACTTCAACATATCAGCCATAAGGTTATCAGGACAGAAAACGAGAGAACATGGTGATGGAAGCGACCCAGTTCAGGCGCATGGGGCCTTTCCCTGGAAAGAAAATGAGTCTGGCCCTGACGGGGCCGATTGAAAAAACATCCTGCATTAATTCCGATTCTATCTTCGGACATTGAAAAAGTGCTTTACATGTGACGGACCCGATTCATTGAAGCAATCCTTCTCCAGTGGTTCAAAAAAGTCCGCAATCGACACCTGGTTCACCAAGCAGAAACGACGAAGAGCGGAAGGAAATGGAATCGGCCTGTTCAGGACAAAAATCAAGAGCCTTGATACATTTCTCTTGGTACAAGCCGTAACAAATGGCGTTACATTGAATGCTCTAATAAGAGCTTCTGCTTCGGTTCGATTATATGTGGACACTGAAGACCCAGCCAGACTGAAGGGCTCACTAACCTCAGCTCTCGTTATACTAGCAAAGGGTAACAGGAGATGTTACAATCATGACAGGTATTTTACACCATCTCCAAACAGCGATTCCTGTAGTATATATGCCATAATTTATGGCCTTCACAAAAGAATGAGATGCTTTGCAAGGCCGTCGAGGCGATGCATTCAATTAATAGATGATATAACACTAAAAGGCTCCAGATAGTATACACGCGACTGAACTGTCGTAGTCCAACTGTAGCGTAAAGCCGTCGGTGGAGACTCGGTTGCAAAACTCTCATCTCACTGCAAATTTACGCCTCTACTCGTCACTAATAACATAGACTGAAAATACTGCTGTTATACACCGTGCCTCAAATTGTGACCATATAAATTCGAATGCATCTTCCGAGGAGAATATTTTTCTTACAAAGGGTGTGTGATCAAGACGGTGTATTCAGCGGTCTTTGCTCCAACCGCTCGTTCCAGTTGAGACACCGTACAAGGCTCTGGAACCAGTCATCGGTCTGATCGTTTTTGTTGACAGTCGGAAGAGGATGCTCGCTCATGCAAATTCGAACAGAATCACCTTTGGACAATTGTTGCCGTTTCTTCCCATCGAAACAAACCCAAGCATTATTTCGAGCATCTCTGGGCACCTGGCGTGCAAACAGTTTCAAAAGGATCAACACCATTCATATTATTACTGGACTATTCATAGAATTGAGGATATGTCAAGATAGTAAAACGTCGCTGGATTGCCATACTCACGAACGGAGGTATGAGTCGGCTCGACAAGGAGGAAAAGACAAAGAGTACAGAATTTACAGAGTACAGTATATAGTAAAACAAAACCGTATGTCTTACCTTCAATTCTAGCAGAGCCGAGTCTGGCAAAATAACCGGGCGGAAGGATAGTGAATGTGGACAAATCGGAGTGAAGAGCATACACGGAACATTCGGGTGCACCTGGAGGACACCAGTCCAAGAACTCAGAATATAACCGGTGGGCTGTATTCGCGACTTACAATCACTTGATATAGATAAGGAGTATGATAGGAGAGGAATCAGCGCTAATTTTCAATAGAGCTCTAAATAGAGGAGAAAGTCAATTGGCACCCCGCAAGTACAGCTTCAACCTCTTACCATGGATCCTCCTGCAGCTGTCGAATAGGCCGTGCTTCCAGTCGGTGTGGCTACAATGACTCCATCTGCTTGTACCTGTTCAAGAAATTGAGGTTTTAGTGATCACTTAAAATAACTTCCGATCATGAACCATTCATTTGACTCTTTGAATTGTGGCAAGGATGGTTCGATAGATCACCTTCGTTATGAGGCGGTTCCGCTCGTAGCACTCAATTTTACTAAGATAAGGGTTGGATCCCCTATCAACGACAACCTCGTTTAGCACATCAAAGACTTTTCCTGGGATTGCCTTCCCGTTTCGGTAAAGTTCACAACGCAAACGCATCCTTAACGTGATATATACTCCAGTCATCATTTCACTGTGGCCATGGATGATGGCTCGTAAGTCTTCTTTAAATTCCTTGAACTGCATAATCAAAAACGTTATTACACAAGGGTTATGACTTTCACATACCGTTCAAAAGAAAGCGAATGCACACACATGGTCCTTATATATAAAATCTTAAATATAGAGACGTTTTCATCAAATCACTTAAAGACGACCTCACCTGGGCAACTGCATGACAAAAACTTAAAATTCAGAACGCACTCATGAAAAACGCACAGAAAAGCCATCTGAGTTCATCGGAAATCTAAGGCAGTCACTGTCGAACCATGAATGCTAAAGAAAGATGGACGGAATATACACATACAGGGTGAGCAGTCAAAAAGCCTAGTGAACCAAGGTTGAAGGAGACCACAGGTGGCACAGCGCTTCGAAACAAATTTGAAGCGTGCAAGATTACACCATCTCCTCCCAGGCACACGACGAAATCCACCCTCTCATGAAGTTCACTACAGCCATACATGTTCCGTCAATCAAGTTGACTCTGAAAAAAAATTCAAGAGTGACCCCCAAAAAAGTGTTTGTTTTGGTCACAATGAGTAATGAAAAATTCAAATAACTGTGTAGAATAGACAGAGTGGTATGGATTCTTCCTCCTGTGGACGTGTTCATGAAGATAATACACTAGGTATTCTGTGCACGTGAAGAAAATTTGACTACGGGTTTACAGAATAATATGATCTAGTACCTAAGGCCCATGTATGCAAGATGAGAGCCAGGTGTAACACTCATAAAATGTACATAATATTAAGACACAGCCTGTTCTCTCTTGATCACACACCAAGTATTAACCAGACTATCATCTCACCTTGTATCGCGACTGTAGAAGGTTTGCACGAAACCATAGCCAGGTAACCTCGCGAGACGATCGTGAACTTCAGGTTCCACGACGACATTCATGCCTTCTTGATGATGAAGAAACGATGCCACCTGCACTCGAGCACATCAGAACGTAAGGAATCTTCGGGACAGCATAATACGAGTAAATCAAGCAGTGTCCATCAAGTCGAAGCTCCTTCAAATATCTGAAGCAAGCTAACTATGTGATAGTTGTTGTACATATGCATACTAATAGATTTACAAGATGTGAAAAATGACGATATCTCCAAAGACCGCCGCTGAAAGCTTTAACTGAGGATTGATAATGGGCGGATATATAGGAGAAAACCAGTACACATTGTTTCAAAACAAATCAAAGTTTCTTGAATACAGGCAAAGGAAGTAAACAGCGAAAAATGTGAAGGTGATTGAGGATGTTATAGGCCTCATCAATGTATATGGCCCAACCTAAGCTATGCACTGTAAGTTGACTTCAAGCTGTAGTTTGTACTTCAATCCTAGAAACCACATGTGAAAATTCATACGTTGGTAAGCTGGAAACCCTGGAAATATTTACTGGTTTACTCCTACGATATCTCTCTGTCAGGAAGTAACGGTAAGCCGCGAGAGCATCACGCACCTGCTGAAAAGCTGGTAAAAGCTCGTCACCCAGCTTTTTCAAGATTAGGCAGGTCCTCGGAGGAGTTTTCCACATAAGCATTTGTTGCTGGGTGCTAGGGTGAGTGAAGGCCAATGTCGATTCCTTCACACGTTCTCGCGTGCACGAGTATCCATCCGTGCGGACTAAAAACATCTCAGCCTTTTTCCTTGATTGCAGCCGTACCACCCCAGTTGTTGACGCACACATATCACCTTCCACGACAACCGGTTCCTCCCCTTCTTCGGGAATAACTTGATCACTATGAAGTTGGAAGAGTGCACCGTTACGACCTTTCGTTTCAGTAGAAGGCTGTTCAGTCTCCTCGTCATTTTGCTCTTGATCATTTTTGGCATCCCTTCCATCCTCACGTTCATACACCTTGTCGGCTTTGGCGTAGCCATTCTGCTTTTCTCCGCCAACGACAGCTGTTTCATCTCTGGTGCTAGTACCAAGCGCAGACTTCTCTTCGGCTTCTTTGGCTTCTTTTGCTTCTGCGAATGCCTTATTTTCAGCTCTTGGAATACCCGGACTCGCAAGACCCCACCTCCCAGCAGGTCCGGCAAGATTTCCAAACATGTCTAAGGTCTCCCGACCGTCTGCGTATGAGCTCTTGGAAGCTGCCTTTTCTCTACCAGACAGAAACATTGATGTGTTCTTCTTCTGCTTCATAAACCGTGACAAGGCTGGTCTTGACAACGCACTTGGTGGTCTTTGAGCTTCAAACGCGTTCTTGAGCACAAAAGCTGGCATTTCCTCGACCTGAGCATCTCGGGGAGTAGTTGCAGCTTTGCCATTTACTGATCTTACTTCGCTGCTAGACGAGTCTTTGACAACAATTTGATTCGACGCCGAAACCTCTGGCACGTCTTTGACCTGGGATCCCAGCATGGCGTTGACTTGTCCGTTCATGTTCGTGCCCGTGCTTGACTCGACCGCATCTCTCTCCTTCGCGCGGACCTCAAATGTTAAATCGACCGCCTTCTCTTTCTCCAGCTCATTCTCTTTCACTGTCTCGGCTCTGTTCACCGCGGTACCATTTGTAAGGACCTTCTTTTCCCTACGTTCCCTTGCCTTTTCCCGAAGAACATGCTCCCGCCAACACGAAACCATGGCAGAAGCTCGTCCTACTCCAGCCCGTGTATGCAAATAGAGAGGTTTGTTCTTGGCATCAGCGACCAACCCAGCAAATTCCTCTACTTGCTCTTTGGTTGGGTGTTCTCCCCTCTCTACGGGTAGCCTCATTACACTTATTTTACCTGAAGCGACTGCATTTTCTATTGCACTCTGAGCAATGGGTTGGGCTGATTCTTCTCTCATATCAACGATCGTCTTAAAGCCCTTGGTTAAAAGCCACTCTAAACCCTCCTCCGTAACTTGACCACCGCGCCAAAAAGCCACATCTTCATCCTTGTGCAACGCTCTCGCATTCTTTGACGGTCTTAATCTCACTACAGCGAGATTCGGAATGTCCGCGTGCTTGGGAAGCCCGTCCGGTCTCATAAACCCAGAGTCTAAGCAGGCGTTTTTAAGCTTCAACATGCTTCTTCTAACAGCCAGACGCTGTACGCTGTCAGCTGGCAACAAGCTTTCTAAGGCTGTTTCTAATGGTCTGCAGCATTCTCTCACCTCTGATCTAAACTTTGCGAATGGAGGCGGTTCATCTAATGGAGCCTCCTCTTGCGGCCTGCCCACACTCGTCGAGCATAATAGGTCTGTCTTGCGTATATGAAGCAGAGACATTATGTGCGCTAGACCTGCTGCGACGTTTTCTTCGACTAGAGACACATCCCCTCTATCAGGACCTGCCCCAACGTCAGAGCTTGCTATGGCGCTGTAGCTACGAAGAGCATCCATCACGGTTGTGTGCAGACTTTCGGCATGCCTATGAAGCCGACAAAAGGCTTCGATTTCCGCCAGATCGCCCGTGGGTGGTCCAAACCAGAACAGCCGACTCTCTTCCCTTGCCTAGAGAAGATAAAGGTTGTCAGAAAAAACAGTTTGAAGCGTTGGGCACTGTCTTCTGCTTTTCGTGCGATTGAAAATTCGACAGCCCTATCGGAAAATTCGGATCATGAACTACAACAGACGGGCGTCAAGCATTCACTTATGTTACTGAGGTACAGTCGCAAGGATGAGTCTTTACTATAAAATAATTCCCCTGAACATTTCATAATACCCTGGAGGAATGCAAGACAGACCATTTTCATCTATATGCTGTGGACTTAAATCCCTCAATGCTTCATGGTTATTCAACTTGGCTGCAGTAGGTTCACTACAACTTCTGGAGACCAGATCGGTCCGACCTAGGGCACCAAATGACATAAAAAAAGTGGCAGGATACCATGGCCCCTAGCCGTTATTTCGCATTTAAGGAAAAGAAAACACAAGACCCAGAAAGTTTCGGATTTCTTTTTGATAGACTCGTTCGAGGCAAGTTCATAATATAAAAAACCCGGGAGCGAGTGAATAAGTTTATGACTCCACAACTGTGGACGCAAGACCCTATTATAATTCCATGGCCTGCTCTTATAATTGGCGATCAATGATCTCCCAGGAAAAGCATGTAGTGGAAATAACACACCAGTACTATAATGTAGTGAAAGCTGAATGGAAGCATCCTATTGAGTTGCTTTCGTCTGTCAATCATCCAGCGAGAAAATCGGACAGAACAAAGGCAAGGACAAATGTCTTTGAGGCAAAACAATACAACCAAGACACTGAGTATTGGTAAGTGTAAGGAAGGGATCATCTCAAGGTTGTAGGCTTCAAACTCTTTCTCGTTTGACAAGGGCCACCCTTAGTACATGCATACGGGCAATCAGTTGGTGCTATTCCAAGGCCCTACTCTTGCACCGTGACATTATGTGCAATGATTGGGAGGCAAGTATTGTCGACACAATTGAGTTCCAAGACCGCACCTTGATGAGGATGACAATGATGTCGTTGTACACCTTACAGACCGGACATAATGGCATTTTCAAAGTACAACTTGGGACGTGACATAATGAGCTGACAGAAATTACTATATTTTAATGAGCACAACCAACAAATGCTACCAATTTCGTGGTACAGAATCAACCCAAAATTTCAAGAACAAGATTAGAGAAAAAGAATCCACACTTTACCTGAAATTGAATTGCTTGCTCGATCGAAGCTAAAGCCGTCCAGTCCACAGACGGAGGCTCCCCTGAATCTCCGTCATAGGCTAAGCACCTCAATTTCTTTCTAGAAGAAGAAGCCCGATTCATCCGGGGTCGACCACTGAAGATTTCATCCTCATTGTCACCACGGAGCCAGTGACATCCAGAGCAAAATGCTCTTCTATAACCTCTTCTGTACACGACCTGTATCTCATGACTTTTAATGCTACCCTGTTGCACTCTACTAATTGCTCGCCACCGAGACGAAGATATGATCGAAGACGAGCAACTCTTAAATTTAATAACGGAGTCTTGACGGCGAGACCAATTTGAAGCAGACGATAAATCACACTGGTTTCTCTTGATTGCCGTACCGGGGACGCGCTGAGCTTTCCAAGACGCAGGCTTTCCTACAAGAAACCCCTTAGTGCCTCCACGGATGACAGAGGATTCCTGCGAGCACAAAAAGGTCGAAGACGGACCCATTTCCGCTCGAATCTACAAGCTGTGACCTCGCGGCATCAATCAGGATTGGAGTGGGGACGCCCGCCGACTACCGAATGGCCGGAGGAGTGGAGGTCGAATCTGAAGATTTGGAAAAAGTACATGGCAAGAACAAACCGTCTCTCTGCTTCATCGACAATTTCGATTCAGATTGTCCGACCATGTATTCCTCCCAACACGTCTTCCGTCCAATCATGCGTGCGCCACCCACGAGCTCGCTCGCTGAACCTCCCGGTCCCTCTCCTCTCCTCTCCAAAGGCTCCGTTCCCTTCCCTTCTCTTTCCCTCCCTTCCCCAGCTCGAAACTCGAAGCGAATCCCCACTTCCCTTCCCGACCACTCCGCAAATGTTCTGTATCGCGAGTATTCCGCTCGACAATCGCAGCCCTCGTCGCTAGCTGCGCTCCGTGATTCCTCGGCTTGCGCTACTGCTACACCGTCGTCGCCACGGTCCCGGTCCTACTCGTCGCAGCGCGGGACTACGGACCAACGACGATCCACCAACCACCACCTGCTCCGATTACACAGCTTCCGCTGCAGCTGCTGCTGCTTCTTCTCGTCCTCGTCGTCCTTCGCTCCGCAGCCCCCCATCGTCAAAGGACGAGACGAGGCGAGGCGGACGACCATCGACGAACGCACGCTCCGCGCTGAACGAGACGATCCGCCCGATCGGTTCACAGCGCGGGGTCCAAACCTCATCCGGTGTCCGCAGCATCGATCAGCCGGTGCGCTCGCCCGCCGGTCACCGGGTAACTGACGCGCGCACTGAGCTCAGGAGAACAACAAAAGACGACGCCGACATGGGAACGGATGACAAACGTATGGAGCGTACGAATTCGTCCCGTGCCCGACGAGCCTCGCCAGGCCACCACGCCACTCGCTGTCTCTCGTGGCTGGCTTTCCCTTCCGCCATCGCCCGCGTTCCCGTGCGCGCCTTCGGATGCACGCGATCGACGGACAAGCTCGCCCTCGGGTGCGAGGCTGCCAGTAGTGCCCTTGTGGGCCATCATCACCTTCTTCCTCTTCCTCTTCCTCGTCCTCGTCCTCGTGCTGCAGCCCGGAGACTGTATGGAAAACGGAGGTGCTTTTCATCGCTATCCGCCCGTCCCTGCGAGCGTCGCGTGAAGAGTGGACGAGAGTTCAGTTCATGGCCGACGATCGCCTCGGATCTCATGCTGCTGTGCCTAATTTCAGCCCCGCCTCTCCCACTCCTCGTGGCACGGTGCGCCAGGGACCGGGCAGCCACAGGCCCCGACCTCGACGAATCGAGTGGGTGCCCTTCCATCGGCCTTGACTGATTGTTTGCTTCCCGTGCGAATCAATGTTCGTACTCCAACCCCGGTTTCCAGCACGAGCTACGGTGCGCACGTGCGCATTCGCTATCCCAGATGAGCCTAACATTCAGCCGTGGCTCACGCTGCGGCAGCCGCAATCGTCTACTCGGTTGGATCGAAACGCCATCCGCATATCAACCACGTAAGAGGACTCACCTTTCATTAGGCGTGGTCACGTAGCCAGCTAGGGCATCAAATTTGGCCAGCTAGCCGTGGGCTAATCGGCTATCGGCCGAAATATTCGGCCAAAAAATAATAAGTGTTTATTGGATAATTTTGGCACAACTGGACGAAATAATCGGCCGAAACTCAGACTCGATCCGAGTTTTCGGCTCGTTTTCGGACGGATTGCGGTGGCAATATTTATCTGTGACCCGGCTAGACGATAGCCGAGCCGTGAGCATCCCTACCTTTCATTCACAGTCTTCATGCTTGTGACAGGAAAAGGCAAAAGAGCGATCTTCAAGCGATCGGCAGTCTGAGCTCAATGTACCGACAGTTATAAGCCATATATCCAATGGACTAAAGATATAGGGACAGAAACTCTCGCTTGTGGGGATATAAGGGATTGTGCTGAACTGACGCCGCAAGTGCTCTCGCTCAGGTTGGAGTTCCTTCTTTCGTTCCGTGGCCTTCGTGGGGACAGCCGTTGGAAGGACCCATAGAAGGGAATCCGGGGGATGAGAAAATAGGGCTTCACGTTATGGGGCTCGAGGAGTGCACATGGTGCGTCGCTTCGTTTTGTTGCTTGCTTGTGCTACTCGTGTGTGTCTGAGATGATGTTCCCCGTGTGCACTGGAGTCGCTTACGAGGTCTGGATGGCGGACTGTCATCTGTGCCCACTGGACAAGAACGCCTCGACTTTGAGCTCCCATGGAAAGCGAACTGTCGTTAGGTTTTTCTCCGCAGTCGCATTCATTGTTTCTCACTTTAGTCCACTTCATCCTTCTCCCAACGGAGTCACTTTCTACCTAGTTAACGATTTTCGATGGAAAACAAGAAGCGATCTTCAAATTCTCCTGCACACTTACTTCCTGAGCCAACCGGGAAAGAACGCGTGACACACCAGTGTGTAACCAGTCAAACTTTTTCCCGTAAATGGGGCCTGATTGTTTACACAAATTGATTTGGGTGAAATCAGTGTGGAAAACTTTGATAAAGAACAACTGACTATGAAGTCAAATAATTCGATTACAACAGTGAAAACCACCTCAGGCTATCCAAAATGACTTTTAAACCATCGAGGATCCAATTCCAAATTATGTCTTCTCATTTCTCCAACCCAAATTTAGTATAAAAGCATGTCTGCTGTTCGATACTTTTGGGAACTCATTATTCCCAATAATCCAATCCTCAATGATTAAAAAATTGCGTACTAATACACAATCTTTTCATATAAGTATCACCTATATTGATCTTGTACACACATTTACTTGAGAAATATAAATATGCTTAATGAGTCCATGGATATGAATGATGTAGTTAAAATATTCATCTCTCTTACTCATGAATCCTAACCTGCACTAAGGAATAATTAAAAATCAGGGTTTAGAGAATTTCTCACTGACAAAAACTTCTCAGTTTTTGAATTTATGTTTATTCTGAATTTTTTTTTTATTTTGCATATGGATGATCTATGCTTGAATGTAGGCTACAAAAAAATTTTTTAGAACTTAATCATTCTAAATATTATTTTTCAATATAAATAATAAAATTAAAAGTTGTTATCCAATGTTTAAAAAGGAAAATTCCCATTATTATTACTTACGAAATCTCAAAACATTGATATACAATTTAATTATACTAGCATCGATCATGATCAATTACATTCAATTCTATCATCATAATCAACCTACCAAACAGGTAAGCACATTTAACATTTTATATTCATATTGTTTAAATTTCTTATTTTTAAGAATGATATGGAAATTAATATATGGTTAAAAATTATTATCGAAATCTTGACTATGCTGATAGATTAAAAAAATTCGATTATCAATTTTACTCTAAATAATAAGTCATAAAATGTTTTTGTAAGCATGGAAAGTAAATGTAAAGAAACATAAGACTTTACTATGTCTATTCATAATTCTTGAGAGATAAATTTAAAAATTCAGAAAACAAATTACTGAATAATAAACTACAGTAAAACAAAAGTAATTTTATTTTATAATGAAAAATGCTCAAACAGTCATTTAAAGCCAAATGGTTAAGTTATTATTCTTCTATGTATATAATAGAAATTTCTTTTGAAAATGGTGAACTTTTTCAAAAGTTCACAATTTTCAAAAGAAATTCTATAAGTCTTAAAGTACAGAAATCAGAATAGACGCTTAAATCATTCTAACTTCTTCAATTTTTGCCAGTATTCTATCAAATTAAATAATAATAGGAAAAAAAGAATAACTACATTATGAAAAAATTCATAATTAATCCAGCAAGATCCTTTGAATTCCATATTGAAATGATCATAAAAATATTTTTTTAGAATTATACTGATACATAATTCTATTTATAATTTTGATCACATTAATAATTGAAATGAGTATAATTAAATTATAATATGCATGTGAAATAATCAATGCATCAAAATACATCTGTCAAACAGTCAGATAGACATCAGTTTTATAATAATAAGTTTTACTAACTTTTTCCGTTATAGTGTTTTGTGTGCATAAACTTGCTCTTAAGTACAATCAAATTAACAAATAACACTCAGGATGATATCTTTACAGCAACACAGTGATTCAAAATTTTATGATTGTGATTTTATCAATAAAATTATTAATATAATAATTTATTATCAATCATACACTAATACACTATATTTTATTTTTTTGAATTTCATATACATATATGAGCAGACTTTGTGTAACATATAATTTTAATTTTTGTTTACTTGACCCACCATCTATACATACCAATATTATGTTTCATCAAGAAATAATTTTGACTATAAGTTATAAATGACTTATTTTTACAATTAGCACACAGTTCTGAATTAAATTTCTATTTTATTTCGAATTATTACTTTGTATATACTCAATAAACATAAACCTACATTAATATTTAGCTTATCCTATTACCTTGTGAATTTTTGAAATATTTTCAATTGATTTATTTAAATTAACTGATTTGAAATAAAATTTGTTTAAAACAACAATGATTTCAATTACTCATCTGTTTCAGAATCTGATATCACTCAGTTCAAGAAGTTGGATCTTTGAATATAAATATAAACCAAAGCTACAACTAATGCATTTTATAATTTAAATATTATTACCAAAATTCATAAAAATAGATTTTGAATACCTGAATATAGATCATGCAATTTGTGCACTCAGTTCGCAGGGTCGCCCTTACTCCGCTCGCCACTCGACTGCACTGCATTTTGCTGCGTTTTTTTGGCTGATTTGAGGTACGATCTGGGCCTTCTTTTGGCACTTTGAGCTGTGTCTTGCATGAAACTCTTCAGGTTTTGCTCGCAGGGTTCTGCTGGCTGCATTACTGTGAAGCTTTTCTTCTTGAGGTGCCCGGCCGTAATTTGTGCATTCAGTTTGCAGGGTCGCCGTTACTCTGCTCACCACTGGACCGGGCTGCTTTTTGCTGCTTTTTTCGGCTGATTTGAGGTACGATCTGGGCCTTTTTTGGCACTTTGAGCTGTGTCTTGCGTGAAGCTCTTCAGTTTTTGCTCGCAGGGTTCTGCAGGCTGCATTACTGGGTTGTTAGCTTGGCGGAGTGCTTTGCACATGCTTTAGAGATTGTATTTGATGTATATTTAAGGAGGATCGGTGAGAATTAGAGCTGCAGAGTTTGGAAACAGGCAAGATGCTGGTTACGATAGGCGATCGTCTCTGTATGAGTAGAGACAGCAAGTGAAAACTAAAACTTCTTTTCTTCACAAAGAAAACTTTTAAATAACTTCACTCATTATTATATACATCTCCTCATTCCTTCATACGTTAATTATCGCTAGTTCTTGAACGGGATAAGTTAGTGTACATTGTCAAAAATCAGTTTATAATTTTAAAGATAATTGAAGGATGGATCAGGTGTTCAATTCAAAATTTATCTTGAATATTTTTCTCTTCTGTATTTCATGTACAGTATGTAAATTTAAGCAGAATAAGTTCTATGAAAAACATCAAATGATAAAGCTATATTGGATGTAAGAACACTGATCAGTTGGCATTTTTTCTCGTAGGGCTTGGATTGTGAAGGTTTTTTATCAAAAAAATTGTATGATTGATGATTTGCTTTTCATATGTTCTTCACTAAAATTTTCCTTTTTAATTATCATATTGTATCTACCCAAGTTGTTCTAAGCATATTTGTGAAAACATGTATGAGTTTGTTGTAACCTATATAAGAATTATCATGTGCAAATTGGTGACAATGTTAAGTTTTCATGTCATTGATGTATGTACTTTCAATGTATGAATAGTTTCACGCTAGTTAGATAGACTGATTTATACATTTGAAACATAAATCAAGTTTCTAGAATATAAAATTGAAAACTGTCAAAGCTGATCGTAAAGAAGTGTTTAGTAATTTACATATGCTACAATATAATTTTTCTTCCAACAGTGGTAGAGAACAACAAGATAGACATTGAAAAAACAACAACATTATTAACTTGAATTTCTTTTTTCCATAAATTAATTACATTTCAACACTACATAGATCTTTATTATGTTCTTCAATGTACGTTCTCACTAGTATATCCCCCACCAGGCCAATCTCACCAGCTAGTGAAACAGTCTACAAATATTGGGCTATAGACAATTTTATGTCCCTTTGTTTATTGAGGGAGTTATTAAAATATTACAAATGATGATGTTAAGGTCCCGTCAGAGGCACATACTGTACTAGAAGGATGTGGACACTGTACATACTGCAGTTGACAAGTGTTTCTCGTATAACAATACAGTACATGCACCGTACAGTATGCCTGGCCCTGCAGTTGGAATGTCGAAGTCGACGGAAAAGATTCTGCACGGTGGGGGGAGTGTGACATCGCCGTGACGGCGACCGCTGATTGCTAATATACTGAGTATCGAAGTCGATTACATGATACATTAGACACAGTATGGCCAAAGATTCCACGAGGAACGAGGGAGGGGAGGGTTTGTTGCGGAAGGATGAGGGAATTCGAGAAACAGATGAGTGCGGTCATGATCCCCGTCTCGCATGTTATCCTCATGTCGTCGTCGTGTTGTGATAATCGAATCAGACTGCGACCGTAGGCAGGCAGGCAAGCAGGCAGTCGGTAGATTGGGAGCAATGGTGCAGGGACAGTCGGGCACTGGGGATGGGAGCTAGCGATGGGAGCATGTTTAATCAATTAGCTGATGGTGAGCTTTTCACAATATCTTTTCCTACTCCGGGAGCTGCTGGCCAAATCTGATCTGGAGCCGTGTGCAGAAAGTCAACAGCGGCCACAGAAGCGCAAGTACAATCGAAGACCATAGGTCACTGAAATTGCCGCGTGTTCACTGTGGGCTGACGCCGGCCCCAGGGGCGGCCCAGTGCTACGGAGCTACATTAGTAGGCGACTGCGGACTTTCTCGTCGTAGCAACTATCCCTTGCAAAGGAGGCTTGTGTGCGTCTGCATCACCATATTCATCCCCTACGCACATTAGCGTACTGTTTTCGCAGACACCAGTCCATTCCAGTCCAGTCGCCAGTGGATCTGATCTAGATCCGATGCTCAGGCTGATATCGGCTGGTGGGCCTCGCTCAGCTTTTGCAGGACTGAGATGCCGAAAATCTATCTAGAATCGCAATGCAAGAGAGAGAGAGAGAGAGAGAGAGAGAGTCAGAGCAAGCGAGCTACTCCGTATTGTACACAAATGATGGCGTCGAGGATCTTAGGCAGGAGGGCGAGAAGAGGTAGTTACAGCGTACCTGTGGGCAGTCTGCTGAGTAAGCTCCGGGGTTGAGGTTTGTCAGTGGGATGGATGGTGGCGGGGCTGTTGGAGCGGCTTCTCTCAGACGAAGAAGAATTGGAGGTCGGCGAGCCGGAGGATCTGGAGTTGTCATCCGCCTCGCTGCTGAAAAGAGGGCTGCCTTTGGGCGAGAGTAGTTTCGTTTCGTTGGACTTTTTGGCTTTGCGTGCCGGAGGAGGAGGAGGAGGAGGAGCGGGACGGGACGCATCTGTACATTGTTCCTCCGTGATCCCGTAGTATTTTTTGGCCATTTTTAGAACCTCCGGATCTGAATACACCGTTCTCACTGGATCATAGACGGAGACATAAAGAAGACGAGGATGAGTACGCACCAGGATGAAGCGTCTGACAGACCCGACCTCTAACGGCTGATACTACTAAATATTGACAGAGTGGAGCCTGAGAGCACGAGCCCTTTCACCGAAAGCTACGATTGGTTGAGTGAGTACTCACTGCGATCAAATAGACCGAATCGGCCCAAGGGGCCTGCTCCTGTGGACAGGTTCAAAAGCATTTGGTGGTCACGGCTCGTGGAAGTCGACGACTTGCTCAAGTTGTCTGTATCCATCAGCAAACCTGACAGCTGTACATGCCAAACAAATCCACTGCGTCAGATTACTGCTGCTACTTGTGTGCTATGTGGACTCATTCATGCATATATATATCTATGTACTAGCGCTCGGCTGAAGTCCTATCGTCTTTATCGTCAGTCCTTCGTTCACGTCAGAAGAGCAGAGGATTTCAGACAACAAAATCTCTAACCTCGCCGGTCATGTACATACATGTCCCTCAACGGCCGTAGTCATATATGTTTCTGTGTCCTCAGAGTTCTGATCAGTGGAACTCTAATTCGTTCTAAATCCTATTATCTTCATCCTCTATGTAAATGAAACCAATGGAAAGTATATTTTACAGTGTGGCCAATTCGACTAACGTCATCTTTCACCTTTATGAGTGGCTCAAAGCCCAATTGCCTTGTAAAGTTCGCCAATTAGTTCATTTGTCTATATATCTAATCATTTACACTAGTACCAATTAGACCAGGTTACTGGTGCCGCAAAGCGAGCACCTTTTAACGTCATCAGCAGCAAATATGGATTCATCAACCTGTGAGTATTATATAATGTATCTGCATGTCCACCGACCGACAAGTGATCACATGTCAAAATATCCAGAAAGTTATAGAACGGAAGAGGTTTGGCCGACCTTCGCCCAAAGGCGAGGTCTAAGAAGTGGTCATGGATCAAAGACTCGCTGTGGAACTTACCAACAGTGTCTTGAGAAATGGGCTTGACCGTGACCAAAGAGGCTCAGCTTCTCGCACGATAGTCTCAGCCAGAAGAGTGCAGCATGATCCGACCTGAGATATGACATTCCGAATATTCACGTCGTTGAGTTATGACTGATAGAAGACAGCAGAGGAGGACTGCAGCAAACTTTCCTCCTGGTGAATCGAAGAATTGAATAAAATAAATTGAGCTCATCGCAGTTCACCTCATCGTTCTTCTTTAAGACATGTTCACCGACCAACATTGTCCTCGTTGTCGTGCCCACCTTCGATAACCCTTCAAAGTCCACCTGGTCGAAACCAACCATGACCGATTAATCAGGCACCACTGAACTCAGAATCGATGAATAAATTGGGTTGCAATGTATCTGGATTAAAGAGAAACAACACCGAACTACAGTCGGGAATTAAACGCCGGAAAGGTGATTATCTGCGGAGAATTTATACAAGATTTACGTTGGTTTTTGTCATCACGAAGCTCGTCGTCAGACTGACTTTCCAATGAAGCTCAGGACTGATTGCACAAGTGAAGCTTCATGACAATTTCATGGAATCCTGGCAAACATGAGATACACTTCCGGGAGCTTGATTACCTCGTCTGCAAAAAGAAGTGCCTTCACATCGAGGCCACTGACATTGAACAGCCATGCAGCGTCCAGATGATCCTTCATTTGCCAGCGGGGAAAGTTGATCAGAGGCACAACGTTCCATCTTCCGGGCCCATTAGGCCTCTTCTCCAGAAAGTACGAGTAGCATATCGCCGAAACCATGGAGCCAATATCTGATTTTCGAGAAAGTTGAGTTCGAATATGGATGATATTCGTCTTGTCGAGGATTTCTGCCCTTACAATACTATAAATCTCATCTGACAAAAATCAAAATGCCGAATGTCCTTCTAAGAACTCGGAGAATTGTCTCGAGAGAAAAACTTAATCCACCGCTGAAATTGCCAGCAAAAGATTCTCCTCGTGTGTGCACGTACCAGTGGGATGTTCAGTCGAGATGAATTTCAGATATCCTTTGCCGTTCGTCTGGCAAGACGAGTAGCACTCCCTCTTCGCTCTCAGGAACTCGTTCAGATCTGCTATCTCAGGACATTCGAGGAATTTCATCGTCCGCTTGGGTTGGCCATCAGTGTCTGTTTGGGCTTGGTCTGAATCTGCCTCGTGGGAAGAGATCGGAGGCTTTGGAGATGCTGCGTCTGTGGCAAAGAGGCTCTGGAGTCCCTGGAACTTCAGTGGACCAGAAGGGTTCGCAGGCGACCTCGTGCTACCACTCTGATCGTGAAGATGCCGATGCGAGCTCTTCTTCTCGTGACGGCGCGACGATCCGTCCTTGCCATTGCTCTCGATCGACTGCGCGCTGCTGGTACTGAGGCGCGACCTTTCGAGGCCGCCATTTTCAGCGCCCGAATCAGCAGCAGGAGGAGGCTTCGGAAGACGATGAGCAGCAGCTGGACTCGTATTCCTCGCCACATTTCCAAGCAGCTCCGCTGGTAGCTTCACGGTCCAAGGAGACGCCGAGGATCTTCCATCAGCTGCAGCCCTCTGAATCTGCTGCTGGGAATCGGGCGAGGTCAGAGGCGATAGCTTCTGAACTCCATCCTTGTTCTTCTTCCCCAGACCTCCGAAATGGAACTGGCTGGCCACCCACTTCTTGAAGCTCTTGGCAGGAGATGGAGGTCGCGCAGGGGCCTGCTTGGAATTCCTCAGCACCAATGCTTTTATGGACTGATCGCCTCCAGCAGCAGCACCACCACCAGGAGGAGGCCTGGGGACTCGATGACCCTGCTGCCCTTTCTCGTGGACACCTCTCGAGCTGCCCCTCTCGTCGGAGGAAGCCGATGCGCTTTGCTTCAATGGAGAAGGTCGGCACCCTCTGCTCGCAGTGGCGACGTGGGACGGATAGTAATGGGGAGAAGCTTCCCTCTCTTCGAAAACGTCGTCGGCTATGGAGGCCCTTCGGCACGAGAGCGACAGGCCCGAGGTTCTGGCCGTGGAGTCCAAAACCCTCCGCAGGCCGTGATGGGGTAAGCTCGAGTACGCCACAGCTTTGGCTGTCGAGCCTCTGGGAGGAGCTCTGGGGGATCCGTAATCAGAAGTTCTTTGGCCCGCCGCCGCCGGCGAAGCGTACCGAGCCGACTGCGATTGTGGCTCCCCTCGCCTGACGCTCGAGTGAACGCCCGCCGATGATTCACGAGCAGGAGGAGTGTGCAGGCTCATCGAGTCCGAGCGTCCATGGCCTCCTCCTCCTCCTCCTCCTCTCTCCCCGTGCAGTCTCTCCAAAAAAGCGTTCCGAGCTCGGATCTGAGGTGACGATAATTCCTTGTCTCTCGACCGAGGCGATGATGTCTCCCTGACTTGGAAGCCGCTGTCGCCCGTGGACAGCAGACCGCTGAACTCGATTCTTGGAGACGATCGCTGACATTTCGCTGCATCGCCAGCAGCTCCTCCTCCTCCTCCTCCGCCTTGTTGCTGCAGAATCTGATTCCTAAACTTGTCACTCCTCGGAGAGAAGTAGACATTTTCGTAGCCATTTCTCGGTGAGAGCATGGAGGAGGTGGTCGGTCTGAAGGATTTGGTGCTGGCATTGACCATCTCCTTGGCCATATCTGCGAGGTCTATGAACTCGCACGAGCTCGAGTCGTCAGCAGGAGCCGGCAATGTAGCGGAATCAGATTTCCGCAGCTGCTGCAGACGAATGTCGTGCTTATTATGACCGGATGAGGTCGTCGTCATCGTCTGGTCTCGGAAGGCATCTCCGGGCTCTGGCCTCCTGCTCCTCCTCGTGGCGTCAGCTTCTGCAGCAGCAGTATCATCATCCTGAGGGGCCTTGACGGCACTGGAACGAAACTCCAGCAACTTGCGCGCTTTCAAAATCTGAGACCTCTCCTCGGGCTTGATCAAGCTCTTCGACCCTTTTCTGCTCTTCCATTCTTCCGCAGCAGCAGCGCCAGTGCTGGAAATGCCTGCGACTCTCCTGGAGTCCTTCCCATCAGCAGCAGCAGCTGCAAATGCACCAGCGCTCCGTTTGGGGGACTGAGATTTCCTGTCTCTCGGAGCTGTAGCTGCAGCTGCAGCTGGAGGGTGGTTCAAAAGCTCGCGGAAGGAAGGGACAACGAGACTGGGATCGAACTGGCTCGTGTATTTCTCAGAAGACGACTCCAACGAGTCGAAGTCGATCGATGCTCTGCGGCGGACCGACTCGCCTCTCCTGGACGGTGATTCAGGACGAACATACGGGACTCCGGGCTTTCCATTTCTGGAAGGAGACCCACTTTGTCTCGGCCCAGCTTGCGACTGCCCTTGCTGCTGCTCCTGCTCCTGCTGCTGTTGATCATTATCATTGAACATTATCACGACTCCATTAGACTGAGCGAGCATACACGACGAGGCTGGCAGGCATCACAAAGCGAGCACATTCTACTTCATTTCATAAGACTATGAATGTATCAACCACGACCTCTAGCTCTAGAGACTCTTGAATCATATACGCTTCCCTTTCACCACCTGTTCTAACAGATCGCGCTGATTCCGAGTGTGAAACATCGTCGTATGAATTCAGGTCGAGACTGGCACAAGCACTGGAAATATTCATTCATGTGTGTCCGAGTACATGCACGGCTCGATCGGGAGTGATCTGAACCAGTGAAGCCATGCAGGAATGTGACCGATGAACAGGGTTACTAGAGCGCAGTACCGACATTATTAGATTCTCCAGCTGCTATTATGGAGCTACAGGACGTTGGATGTAAACGAGGGTTCTTTGTGTCCATCCATGAGCACAATTCTCCTGCTACTTAAAGGCAGCCTTAAGCTTGATAACGTACACGAAACTGAAGCTTTTAATGTGGATGAGTTCTTGTTGCGCACTGGATTCATCGAGCATGGAAGGTTCGATACTGTCGACACGTAATACAAGAAGGAGGAGAAGGTTAGAAGATGCTGCTAACCTGCGAGACGTTGCTGCGATCAGCATCTGATTCGGCACTCGCCTGCTCGAAGTTCAATTCCGTGAAGTTCTCTCTCGACTTCCATCTCAGCATTCGCTCGCTCCTTTGCGCCAAGGCAGGCCCGCCGTCCGGATCCGAGGTTTTTGAGTGCGGGATCATACTGTCTAGCAATGACGAGCTATCGGCCGCCACTCTCGTCTGAAACTGGACTTAATCTGTCTGAAATTATCGCCATTAACATCCAAAACTCCATGAACATGCATGCACAGCAGCTACCGGACTAATAGGCTGGCTACAAGAGCCTGTAGAACGATGCAGAACCTCATTATGGTCAAGCGCATTGACATCTGCTCTGACGAATGCGGGTCACACGACGACTACCACGACTAATCTGTCGGTTACTACCACTCGCTCGGCTAGAAGCAAGAATAGGAGACTCGGTGGTAGTGGACTGCTTCGAATTCATCGGTGGATTAGCTGTAAACAGCGTCATGGGTGCTGGGTTTGCTTGACAGATGGACAGATACAGATGACGGAGATTCCTTTGTCTGGGATTTTGCTCAGGAACCAGTACTCCCGACTGAACTCCTACTGCCTTCGTTCCTTCCCTAACCTCTCGTCTCGACCAGAGCGATGAAATTAAATAGCATAATAAAACGAGGCGGGAGGAATCCCCGAAAGCGTAAGTCACGAAGATCGTGAAGTTCTGCTGAGTCTCAGACACGCAAAGTGTGTCCCATACACAATCTCTCTCCCTCACTTGCCATCACGGCCGGACTTCGCCGGGTCGGCATGCACAGCAGTTCGAATGTACTCCCGGCCCATGCCTATATACTCTTCTTGAGCTCTCCATCAACTCCTGGCTCATTCATTCAGTGATTCATTCACTCACTCACTCACTCACTCGATCAGTGACACTACACCGATCCATCGACCAATCGAGTTACCACTCGATCCATCGAGGCTTCGCTCTGCCGATCTCTCTTTCTCTATCTCTCAATCACAATTAAGGGGCATGCCAAAAGCACAGTCGGCCTTCACCCGCAAGTGCACGGGGCACGATATTTTTATGCCGGCGGGCGACGAGATGTACACAACAACACCGAGAATGCATGTCTTGTGTGGGTTTCTGTTGCGCCCTCCCTTCCTGCCTCCCTTCCTCCTCCCCGTACAGCGTAACGTATGGACCCATGGCGACGCTTTTGTATGATTGTATGTGGGGGCCTCAGGGTGTCCCTGGAGGCCTCGGGACTACGCACATACAGCATACAAGGGGCTCGACGGCATGATGCAAAGTGCGAAGAGCGAGCCCTTTTTTTGTATTATTGGTCGATATTGTGGGGGCACGGAGAAAGCGCAGGTTTTGGTCTTTGGGGCTCTCTCTACCTTTTCCTCGTTCTTTGTCTCCCCGATCCGCCCACAATTCCGCTGCGTCCGCTGCTTACCACGCTGACGGCCACGCAGTACAGTCGGTACCTGTACCGAGTGGCGACCAACTGAGACAACTTTAAGGCGGGACGGGTTTCTGGTGTCCGTGGAAAGGTCGCTGAGCGACCCCGTATGCGTTTCGTATGTCGATATCCTACACGGGAATGTTTCCGTATGTGAGGCCGCGTATGCCAAGCCCTTGCTTCGTGCACCCCATGCATGTTACATATCTCTTTGCCGTGCGCTGCGTGTGCGTGCAGTCATGGTGGACGGCAGGCTTCCACTGCAGTCAGTAGCTACGTGTTTGTGTTTGGATGTTGTTCACCAACTCAATTCACTAGGTTGGAGGTAGGTCCGCACGCGTCCCTCTTCAACCATGTACGGTACACTTTGGTGCTTGGCGACTTCAATGGATTTTCTCGGAGACTATCGTTTCTTTTCCGAGTTTCTTAAGATTATTTTTACCATATTATTATCTGGTTATACATCATTCACGAGCATTCCGAAACCTGATACAGTTTATTTCTTCCCATTCTTTATATCTCTCGTACAATTTTTTTCTATCGTCCCTCACGTTTCGTGGCATTGTGCGGCGTACGGTACAGAAGATGATTTTTTTTTACAGTTTATTTTTCTTTAAATCCTGGTTTCGCACACAAATCTCTAAATAGCTCGAAAGCTAACAAGCTCTCCACTAAGTCTACGAGCATTGATTGTCTCAATTTATTTCATTTCCACTTCAGTAGCCTTGCATTTCCCATCGATATAATTGATCATGAAAGAATTTTTGGGAGAACGGAAAATTTGTGAGGAAACTCCAGATTGATTTATCTATTACGTTATTGCATAGTACCAATTTTATCTTACAGGTCTATCGAGTATATATGTATATATCATATAATTCGAGGAGATGATGGAGTGATTCTCTGATGCTTGATCTGACTATAATGAAAGTACACACGTGGATAAAAGAGAGGATAAGGAGAAGGATAACAGACACAAACTGTATAGGAGAGGAAATTGAAAAGTACATGGAAGGTGATAAAGCTCGAAAGAAGGGCCACAGATATACGGCGGTCATGTAAGAATGGCAAACTCGCATATCCCAAACATGAGAGATAAACGTAGAAACAATAAAATTTCAACAAACGAATGATATGGCATGCAAGTATGTAATGCGATGTGGGATAGTTTATAAACTTGTTAATTTACCATAAAAATACAAGTTAAAACAAAGTTCAAAGGGCACACAACATGTGACATTATACGTCCGAGTTCTATATCTGTTGGATGTAACGTACTATGGAATAACACATGAAGTCACTTCTTGATTGTAATTACTCAATCACTTTTCATTGTTATCGTCTGGTGGTTGATTTGTTACAGTCGGCCGGCCTACATTGTGTGGATTTTGTAGTAAGTGGACGATCCTTATCCATTAAGATATATTCACCCGCTTTCAAGCCACAAAAGAATGAGAACTATTTTTTTTAGAACTCTCTATCAACCTCTCGAAAGGGTTATAAAAGAGTAAATAGTCTGGAAAAGTTCATTTGGTTTGCTCTTTGCAAATCTTCCTAAATCTGACTTCCCTTATTCATTGTAGGTAACAAAATATGCATTAGCTTTAAACTGGATCCTTGAGTGAAAACCTCTGACCATATTTTTCCAGAAAACTGATCTATTGGCGCGCTATGTGATTTCAGAATGGACTTGTCCATTCTGATTCTTCTTCCTTTGTCCAATGGGATTCAAGGCAGCAGATGACAGAACCAGACCAGACCTTCTCCATCTTTTCAGATTTTGATGAAAGTGTTCTGAATCCTGCGTAGAAAAATGAAGGCAGACTAGCCCTGTCTCGCCCTTGCATGCAATATATAAAGTGTCAGAGAAATGTAGGAAACGAGACATTTTACCTCCTGCTTCCACAACTTTCACTCCAATAATAATCATTGTGCTGGACGTCCCTTGTATCGGGGACTCTCAGTCACAAACATACAAGAATACTATTAAAACGAATCTATTATACCTATACGAAATCCTCACGCGTTTGTCATGTATAGCCAACCAGCTAGCATCGCCATTTATCGAAGATCTCCTATAAGATCGCACACCATCGACACTAGCCTCGGAGACTCATTTCGATTTATGTCTCGAGCGGTGAAGATTATGGGTTTCGTTTGAAATTAAATCATCGATATATTTCAGAACACAAGGCTCACAATATCTAGGCTACGTTGGGTTTTTCCCACGGCTACCATCACCAACAGAGATCTCGCTCGGATCGGATCTGCTGTCTCACTAAAAATGACGTATGAAAGAAATCCTCTTCTGTTGAACCAAACGGGATGGGGATAAAAAAAAAGAAAAAAGTGGACGTAATCCATTGCATAGGATCGATCGGAAGCAGACAGAAGTCATACGTATGTGAGCCATTATGAAGCTATGGAAGACTCGGAAGGGGAAAATACACTGTTAAGGTCAGCTGGGCATCTTATCTGAGTGGGTACTTTTGGGAGGGGGGCGAGGGAGGGGACCATGTACAGCGACAGGTTGTATAGACCGGTTCAGAATCAGGAGGAACGAAGGATTTTCAGAAGCACGCAGGTCGAGGATTCCACACACTGAGTGATACTTCAGAGCAGTAAGTGCACTCATTCGCTCAGTTGCTCGCTTTGCAAAGCGATTGGCCCATCATCGTATGCGAATGAATGAGTGGCGTATGCAAGTATACGACACGTAGTCCGTGCTGCTTCTTTCTTTACGAAGTCGTATACGATCATTTGCAGTCTACGACTTACATAGACGAGCACATAAGAAACATGCTCATTGCCACTGTGCGTCAAAAAGCTTGGAACCACGACGCCCAAGGTATTCTCCAGCGCCTTCTCTCTTATTCCAATCTTGCTCTCAGACGCAAAAATAATGCCCACCGGCCCAAATGTGGCCGCCCCATTCATCACCACGGAGTATATTCTGCCCCAGGTGTTTCTTCCTCCCACTTGCTCCAGACTTGCAAAAAGTCTGGGGAAGCTCCGAGCTTTTAGTTCAACGAGTCGAGTCAGCCAGTGCAATCTTGGTTTCGAAAAAGCTAAGTTCAGCAAAATTTGAGTTCATTTGGTTCTCAACTATGGAACTTTCTGAGTTCTAGCTGAGCAGGTGCTCCTCTGGTGGGAGTTTGATGGGGAGGAGCACATGAGGGTGGAAAGTATATTTTCGCAGAGCTTGGTTGGTATAACATATATATAAAATATACATTTGACTCTCATCTCACTAGAACGTGGACCTGTGTTTCATGTGCGAGAGGGCATGAGGGCATGTGAACCCAATCGACTGTCGCAGAGAAAAAGTCCGAATGAAACTCTGGAATGTCTGCTCTAACTCTGTTCTGCATCCTCACACTCGTTCATTTGGAACAGAATGAATGTTGGACCCAGGCTTTTTTTGTGCGTCCATATTCAGACGACATTCCAACCAAATTTTGGGGTGAAAGGTTGTTCGTGCCACTTTCTCCTTCACTTTCTTCCTCCCTCCAGTCAGATTACCCTTCGTAGTTTCCATATAGAGCTGCACCACATTGCCTTTCCTGCACTAAATACGAAACCAGCAAATTTCCCAGGAGGGAAACACAGGGTTATCGACACTCTCATGCCAACCTTCAATTGGATCTTCAAACCAATTGCTCTGTCTGGATGAAAGAATCTCAATTATTCAGCTCTCCAGCAGCTATTAAAATAATCAGTCTCAAAGGATTGAGGACTCCTGGCTTTGTCCCCGATTCGGACTAGTATAGTGAAGCCTACTGCTTGAAATTTTTTGGTATCTCAGAATTTGGCAGTGGAATGCAGCAAATCTTTGTGAGTCCAGCTCGACTCAAAATAGAAGAAAATATTGCAATGAGAGAAAAAGGACTTCTTGTTTCAGTCAAAGCAGTCCTTTTCGGGAGACTCGCAAAGGCTTTCCGACTCGAGGACCATAGATAACTTCTGGGCATTCCCTGGCCGTCACTACTCCCTGGAGTGACGCCACCACGCTTTATTCTAAACATCTAGTTTCAATTATTTTTTCCGAGGAGAAGGAAACGAACAACTTGACCATGAAAGAGAGGAATGTCACTAGCTGAACTTTTGGCCTGTCAGTTCGTTCAGGTTCACGATCGTTTCACTCTAGCCAAAAGCAAAACTTTGTTCAGATGTTGGATCTCAACGACTACATTGAGCTGTACCACTGTATAGCATACTGAACAGGTCTCAAACCATTTTGCATGACACATTTCGTCATGGAGATGTCACCTCTCGTCTTTGGCACATCCCCAGATGGGAGAAAATCAACTCTATAGCCCTACATTATGGGGGCAGTTAATCTGAGCTACGTCACCTTACATCTTTCGTTCAAAGGCTAGAAGGCAGTCTTGGCACCATGCCTTAAAAGGAAGCTTAGCGGCCGGTCAATGTGCCCTGTGACTACCATTGAATACGTAGTCGTCACTCACTTTGGTAACTCACTTCAGTACATCCAACCTAAATGAGGTTCATCTGAGCTACATACAGTTACGAACACTTTTCTAAAATCAGTTGGGGAAAAAAATGGAGAATAGACATAGGGGAGAAAACATGAAATGCAAACAAACAAACTACAGTATTCTCCTTGCAAAAAATCTGATCGTACATGGCGGACGCAACTAGATTGCAAAGTGGTCAAGTCTGTAGAACGGTCAACGAGGTGATGCGTCGGATGCAATTTATCCAACAGTTGCACTTTATATTGCCCATGTAGTAAACTGGCCAAGTCAACCGAGGGAACTGAAACACAAAAGAAGAGAAAGTGGACGGGCATATTTCTTTACGCTGGGCGGGGTACCTGGTATTAATGCAAGTACAAGCTTCCCTTTTCGCTGGATGCTTGTGGAATCGGCTGTAAGTCATAATTATGCTGAACTGGAACCTTGTCAGCCAGGGAATCCAGGTCTCGACTCTCTAGGTCTTCAATCGAACTCTAGTTCCCACGTTTACCACCACCATCACCAACATCGTCGTAAAAGGTCAATCATGAATCGTTTACGAGCTGTGTCGTGTGAACCTTGGTCCCTCTGAGCTGCTGCTGGCTAGTATTTCCAATATAACGAGTATGTACATCGAGCCAAAGTACCTTGATTTTCTTCTCACCGGGATTTCAATTATGTTCTCCACGGTTTAAGAAGGTGACTGCGATCAAACTTTCTAAACCCACGAGCTTCTTTCTCTCGAGGGTTTTATGATGCCATAGATGTCCTTCCGAAAACCCTGCGAGTCCCAGAACTTCGGATTATTCGACATATTTGACTCCTCCTCCGTGAGTAGTACAATTGTTCAGGCAGGGAATGGGATCTATGGAATATATCCTTGATCACACGAAGGTACATCTCGTTCCTCTTCAATCATAGATGGGTGCAGTTTGCGCAATCATGTTTTAACAACAATTATGGTACTAAATTCCGAGCAGACGAGGTTAAGTTGTCGGACGCCATACTCAACCGTTACTTTAGGAGGCTACTTGTGATCAACAGGCGGATGGTGCCTGCTGCGGATATGGAGGTGCTAGATAGGAAGCTTGAGGTATGGAGAGAATATATTGTGAAATGCATGGGAAGTAAAGGAAGCTCGAAGTATCGAGAGAATATATTGTGAAATGAATGGGATATAAAGGAAGCTTGAGCTATCGAGAGAAGATCCTGTTTCACTTTCATTTTACACGAAAAGAGAGGGCACAAAAAGTCTCTAACTGTATGAGGTTCAACTGCAGTGGGCTGTATTATCTCCCACGTTCAGTCATGCGAAAGAGATGTTCATTCTTCTCCCTTCTTTTTACTGCAAATAATGAATTCCTATCCTCTCTTACTTTTTCCATAATCCCACAAGTGATAACAAGTCACGAGCAATTCAGATATTCTCAATGAATAACTGTACAGATTAGCTCTATGAAGACATACGAAGTGCACTAACACGCAGTGATAATTTGCCGTGATACATTTTGATTCAAATGCTAAATGCTTGTGTCATTTACGGACGGACTTTTCAGAACCAGAGGCAGTCAAGGATAAAGCCTGTGACCTGGATCTAATTATCAGGTTCTCAAACGAGGGTTGGTGATCTGTGGAAACAGTTATCCAAAAAAAATACTCGTGGTGTTGTGCTGTGGCTCGGTGCTTTCGTTGTGGAAAGCTGTATCTGAAGAGTCTTTACGTAAATTGGGAGTTTGATCTGCTTTTTCATGAACCGTTGTCGTACTGATGGAAGGATCTTCTTGACATGTGTTTATCTTCGACCAATATATTTGATGAGCATCATCATTGGAGGAAAAGCTGGGCCCTCTCATTACGCTAGAACAGTTCACAGGTGATGCATGCTAACTTCCGGAGGTTCTAATTTGCTACCTGCAAAGGCTGTTCTGGAAAGCTCTTTGGTTCGTATGTCATGCAGATTACATTGCATATTGCTCTCCAGACAAAGGTGCACCCACGAACGTATCGATGAAACTGAAGTTATTGACTTTAACAGGTCGACTTTACCGATCCATGCAACATCAGTTCAGTCGCCCTGCAGCCACAAACTTTACATTCGAGATTTTAATTCTATTCCTCATGCAACGACGACAGTTGATGCTTCAGTCTTGCGCTTGACGATCTCGTGACAGCCAGCGTACGAAAGAAAGTAACACGACGAGACCATCAAACGGAAGGATTGAGATTGGAAGAGCAAACGTCCAACTAACTGCTTGTCCTCTGGCAGTTATCGAGCACAAGAGCTCTCTCCTTAACTCTGTACAGCATTTCCGTGTGACGGATGATTCCTCATCTGCTCATCTCCTTCGCATCTCTCCTGAAAAGGCTGTCTGCCATGTTCAGACAATCCTCCCTCCTATCTTTGAGTTCCTTTCCTCCCCTGAGCATGGCAGCCTCTGAAAACCACCACTAATCACTGTCTATAAGGAAGCCCCAGAGCTGCTGTGGCTTTGAGGCCATAAAGTTGCCGCTCGTCTTCAGCAACCACATTGGCTACCTGACGAAGCTCATTCTCTCGTCGTCGTGTGAATTTCTGGGGACTCTGATGAATTTTCTGTGAAGGAGCTCAACAGAATTCTGCGTGTAACCAGTCTGTGCTTAACCAGCTTTGAGGGGCTGGGTTGCGCTGTTTACTTCGGCCATATTCCAAGCAGATGTTTTATTCATCAGTCCTTGGTATCTAATCATCTATACCTCGAGCCCTACTGTCTTCACGAAATACTCTTCAGACAAGACGGTTCCAGTACATCTACTTCGCTTGATTGCTTTGAGATTGTGGGTCCATTATGGTTCAGGTGACTAGGGGCCCTGAGACTCGTGCAGCCGACTCGCTCGGCTGGGCAGTGAGCTGCAATATGCAAGCATACAGATAGCCGCGAACGCTTAACCTGCTCGCAGGCCGCGGTAAACAAACGCACTAATCACTAATGAAATCTTGACTCTGTGCTCCGATCTCAGAATCCCAGAATTACATTTGAAGTATATCATTTGAAGTACTTATGGACCATATAACAAGCTCGAGTTCCGTACACCTTCACCAGTATTTGCCCCCCGTGCTCCTATGGCCGTAGATTCCGGAATGTAAGCAGTGCTGGTATTGACAGACGGGTGAAATGAAGACGTAAATACTGTATAGAAGATATGAGAACTACATTGTAGGCTCTTACTTCCGTAGATCGAAGTTATTCCCAATTCCAAACGTGTCAACCGAAATACTTCATACGAGCATCCACTCTCTCAGCTCGATGGCCCTCGAATATGTAAATCAAGCAGCCGCTGCTATCACCAGTAAATCTGAAATGGGACCGAAACAAGCTCAACCAGGTGGACGTTGGCCGAAAACACTTGAGAAACCTATGTCTGTTGACAGGCCCGTCATGTAAACATATTGAATAATCACAGCCAAGGATCATCTGCATTAAACCTGAAATTTTCCATGTCGAACAGTTCTGTGTTCACGGTTGAAGCTTCATGAAGGAGAAACTCACGATATTCTGTGACTGCTGAAACTACCCATCTCAAATTGGTCATAAGCAGGCCTCTTCTCCTTCGCCGTCCTGGTAAGTAGTTCGGTAGCAGCAAGAGATGCAGTTCATCCATGATCCTTCATGTTTTGTAGAACCTATGCAGCGCATTGTTACAAGCTGAATATTTGAAGGTAACGCAGACCTGCCAGTTCGCATCGCATGACTTTTTCTTCTATAAAAGGCTACTCCATGGCAGTTGCAGACCACGTAGTCTGCATCACTCAGTCTTATCCTCCTTTTTATACACTATTCCATGTAACTGACTCAAGAGAAAGGGTTGTTCCACAAAAAAGGCAGTTTTAATATGAAGAATTGCAGATTCTTTACCGTATTCATCATGCGACTGATGGATGCTAAAGAAAGAGGCAGTATGATAGATTTGGGAGTATGCAGAATTGGTGAAGGTAATGCATGAACGAAGCCGTTAGAATGACCAGGAACTAAACCTTGATATGCTCATGAACGCGTGGGTGATGCACAGAATTCACTCAATGTACACGTTCGGTGACTTCAGCAGGACCTGAAGGTCCTGCTGAAGTCAATCTCGCTCGGAACTATCTACAACAGAGCCAATCACAAAAACTGATGTCCACATGAAGTAGAACTGACTACTTCCTCATTGAGCAGTGTGGTCTAATCTACGAGATACTGGATAGCAGCTTGCGAAAATGACAGGTTGTGTAACATACACATTTCTTTACTTCAAATATTGCATCACATCACGTCCTATTTGATCCAAGAAAGAAACAAAGCCCATTCCCGTTCCCAATCCAGATCCATCGACATCTTGCTCCTCAATCAAGTATCGCTCAAATGGCTCAGTATTGTCATGCCCTCCCCTGATCATCAGCAACTTGGGAGTGATATTTCTCTCTTGTTTCAATTTGTTGATGAGTGCACGCAATTGACCTGCACCATCCAAATCAGACAAAACACCGTTGAGAATGCGAATCCCAAGACAAACATGTTACACATCACTTGAATTTTCCCACATACCATCGTCTCCGATACGAGATAAATATTTGTCTCAAAATACAAATAACATGGATGCAGAAATTTCTAGAATATAAGACCACACTAAACATTTGCTTATGCCTGACAATTTTGTTTCCTATCGGCAGGAAATGGCACATCTCTCGATCCGTCCGGCATTTGTTCAAAAGCACGCTGGCTTTTATCATAACTTACAATTTTGAGGAGGAGGAAAAGGCAGGGATGGGTCTGCCGTGGGTGAATAGTACACGATCAAAGTGGTGAACGCGTCCATAAAGAATATTGGACTCCCACTCGTGATGAGGGCTGCACGACTGAGAGAATGTCTGGGATATGCCTGCTTGTCTGGAGTCGTGTATGAAGATAATATAGGATACACCGATCGGAGAAGAAAAGACGGCTCCAAGGCACTGTTTCCACATTGAAAGTTCCAATCATGGTGGATTAGCGGCCGAATCTACTTGAACCAAACAAATACCTATCACACAATTTACATAGACTTGTTCTTCCATCTGAATTACCAGACCATCTCTAAGCTTTTTAAAATCTTTCGCACAGACTATATATATATTTGAAGATACTGCTTGATAAAAGTAGTATCTACAAAATAAAACTCATATCAGCATCAGGCGTTAGGGAAATTAATCGAAGCTATCACATACTCTCTTAAATCATATAATTTTCCTCTAAAATCCACTCCAGCTTCTGTGGATGAAGAAAATAGAGCTTTAGCAACAAACTATCCAAGCAGATAAAACAAGAGCGGGTTGACGGCTAACTCAGACGAACGTACCTGGAGAGGCACTGAAGATAAATTCGGAAGTCAGGATGGACACCTTCCTCGTGAAGGCGAAGCAGTGGACTCCTTAGTAAAGCAAAAACATGTCTAGGCAGTGGCTGCAATTGAGGACAACTTGAGAACGCAACATCGAGTCTGCTGAAAGTGTTAGGTTGGCTAAAGCGTGCCAACTTATAAAACTCGTTGTATTGGGCAGTAAGGATGACGAGCCAATCATGCAGCAATAAACGACCTTCCTTCACACCGTCATTTAAGGAGGCCTGAATAATCTGCGAACATTTTCGAATTGAACGACTTATGATACGTCAGAATTAAGGATTTTAACGTTCACAGTACGGCACTCAACAAACAAGCTTCAAAGGTTGAAGTAATATATCCGATTTTGAACAATTTCCATATCCGGAATTCAATCAGATGCGCCTCCTTAAACTATCAGTGCGTGTAACATATAATTTATGAAACAAAATTTACTCTCCTCGTTGTAACAGCAAAACCTCAGGAAATAATTGAGAAACTGTATGGGAAAGTACCTTATGAGTCAAAATGGTTAGAATTACTTCAGGATCCGCACTTTCATATAATTCATAGATGTTACGTGAGAGGCCGAGTTCCACTGTTCGCACTCTCAGTCGTCTCTTCAACACGTAACGTTGTCTGTTTTGAAAATACACGATTTGAAAGTAGGATATTTCAGTATTGAATAAATCCAAATGCTCGTCTATTATAGGAGATTTGGTACTAAAAAATTGCATTATAATCCATGCTTTTTACAAACACTTACATGAAATATCTGCGCTTCAGCGGTCTCAGAAAATTATATACACTAATCAACATTATTAAAAATATCCATACCCTTTCGATGCAGTCCCGTTTGCATTCCCATTGTTGGCATCGGTCTTGTAATACTTCTCATCGTCGTCCACAGGGAGCATCACTGTGTACTTGAATGCAACTTGCGCCACAGGAGGAGCTTCATTATTCCTACATGTGCCGAGAACATCGTTAAACTGATATGTAAGTCATATGCTTTAAAGACATATCGCGGAACGATTTTTAGCTGCATACGGGAATCTTCAAACCAATTTTGCTCTTACCGTCTCACACACAAAGGTATTCTGGATTAGATAGACAAATATATTAAACACACTCTGTCGTAATTTCAGATGTTACAGGCAGCACAAAGGGTGAGTAAATAACAATTCAATGGGAGGAAACAGCAAATTACAATGAGCATGCATCTCGAATAAATCACACTAGAAAGAAATAAGGGGTTAGGGGTTAAAGGTTTACGTTCAATGACCCCTTGTAGTTGAACGAATGCATTTGTCCAAAGATACTTCAAAGAGAACTACTTTGCAAAATGTACCAAAACAGTTGTGCATCCCATGGGCAAGATAACATCCTATGAACATGATGCACTACGGTATGCTATGCAGTTCTTGTCGTATAGTAACACTAATCTATCTTCGACACCTTCGTTCCCCCCGTACTATAATAGGCTTAAAACCAATTTACATAAAGTCATCATTGCTAGGATCTAACAAGTACACATAATAGTACCCATGATATTCCAATTGCATATGGATAACTTTTAAAAGTTTTAGTTTATAGGACAATCAATATGAAGACTATTTTGACCAATAAAACGGTCATAACTCTCCAGGGATTTTTCAAAAGCATACCTGCTAAATCCTTGAGGACCAGCAAATTCAAAGTCCAGTGCATACGTGGCGTATTGATCACAGCATATGATGTGCTGAAGGTTCTCGTATTGTGGATCTGGGAAGAAATGACCGTACTGCAACAGGATGCCCAAAACCAAGAGTTTAGGTTTACAGTAACCTTAAATGAACAACCTTGCCAATGCAACCAACAAGAGATCTTCTACAAAGTCAATAATCGTGAACTCATATGAGTCTATTTCCAATATTGCACATAGACTAAACTGGGCATACAGTATCCTACACTGTCACCATAAGATGGACTTACAACACGAGCAGCCTTGAACTCCGTAGATGTTCGGACACGCAACGCGCATTGAAAGGCGTAAGGTCGATTAAGCATCCGGTATCTGCAACGCAATATCAACCATTCAATGATAATCATGCTTCTCAGTAGGCAGAAACCTAATAATACACGCACAAATAGACTCTGAAATTACAAGTTCATCAAGGCAACTGGTAATTTAGATCTTGGGATATCTTACAGGTCCTGTGGTAGAGTTGCCTCATCCGTGTTGGAGTACAAGAATAATCCGCCTCCACTTTCGATACTCAGAAACTTCAGTGAGGCCAAATCCGTGTATTCATTCGTGATTGCGAAAAGATCCACGCAAACTCCAGCTGCTACTGCCAATGCAGCCTGATATCCGAGAAAAGTTTAACGAGTGGTGTATCAGTAGTCTGGAAAGAGGAAAAACTTTAAAGAGAAGGTTGTAACAAATCTTTCATAAACATCAACACTGAAACATAGGAGCGGACTTACAAGATCTTTATAGAAAGGAGTTTGCTCTGGAAGCAAAGCTTTATCGGCATCTTCTCCCTTGCTTGCATATTGTTCACCATAGCGTTGAGTGTCTAACTGTCCAGCCCCATGATCTGGAGGACCTGAAAGAAATGCAAAGACTCTGGCTGCAAAGTCCACCGTAGGTTTCAAGAATCAGTACTTGACTCAAGTACAAACGGCCACTAATCTCTGAATCATACAAGGAGTAATATACTGTTCAGTTCCAGAATGACAGAAAAGGGACTTTGTACGGACGGGGAGGAAACTCAATGCGACGGTTTGTCTGGTGGACTGCAAAAGCATTAATAGCAAACTTGAGTGTAATGGCATTTTTAGGTGACTCAATTCAAATGCCACCGAAACGAGAGTCGAACAGCGACCATACCAAGTGCAAAGGTGGCACCCCGCTCAGCTCCAAGATACTTGATGAGAGAGTCCATAGCCATACCAAACCCCCTGCCCCCCATAGTTACACCCTCTGTACTTTGTCCTGCAGCAGTTGCTCTCTCCCATGAGCTGGTGGGCTTCAGTGTTTCAAGTGCTGAAGCAATGTTCTCCTTGTTAGCCTCCACCTAGTGGAAATCAGGAATTGAAGTACTTTGCAGTCAGTTTTGCAGAGCAAAATTTAAGAATTAGACAAAATTTAACTTGGAACAGCTGCAACCTTAACTCATGGCATGCCAGAACACAAGGTATATACTTCAGCGATGCAAGAATAATTTTACAGAGACTTATCACCAGGAAGTGGCTTACAGGAGCTAAGAAAGATTGGAGCGGCATGATACTTTCAAGATCCACCGGAATTCGGGCCTCCAATTCTCCTGGAATGATGACCTGTTTTACGACAGGAACCGCTCCTTGTATATCATAAAGACCTATCTTATGGCTGAAAGTAACAAGGCCGAATAATGACCCAGGACTTATAGCTGTCAAAAAGAAGAAATCCGACGGACAACAGAACCACATATCAAAAATGGATTCATAACGTACAAAGAATCATAAATATGAGGTAAATCGAACTCCGGAACAAGAGTTGACATTCTCAAAGGTCACAAACAGTCATCCTTTCATAAACCAATGACACTCGATTGCAAGCTACAAACCTTCAAGAGCTGCTAGGAGGGCACTCTTGACGAGTTCCAGAAATTCTTCAGAAGCTGTTGAGTATCAACATGGCCAATACAGTTTGATCAGAAAAAGGTAGTGAAGACAAGGTTCAAAAGTATGAGCCCAAAATGATGGCTTTCTAGACTCGCACAAAAAAGGTTGACTTCATTTGGGAGAAAATTTATGGTATTACCTGACAGGTCGACAGCTGCAACAAAAACCGGTCGTCCTTGAAAATCTTGTCCCCGAACGACATCATCCTCATCTGTGAAGAGGATGAGAATTATCAATTTCACTGAATTACGTAAATTCAGCAGATAACATTATGTGTAATCTCAACGACTATGAAAAATGAGTGAGAAGTGTCTAAACGTTCTCGCGGCTTGGGATAGACCGTGGAAAAATTGATCTGGTTATGAAGCAAAACTTTCATTTGCAACTTCCATTTCATAATGCCAGGCACTGCAACACTCGGTTGTGATCAGGAAGATGAATAGAGCAACTAAAGTTATTCCACAGATACAGCTCCAAAATAATCCGTACTAAGGAAAGAAAGTAGAAAAAATTATATTGCACTGTTTTCGTATACGAGAAATGATTCTCAATACGTCTGAAGAATGTCGTTCCAGCATATTTCAGGGTTGAAAGATTGCAAATTTACAGGCCAAAAATTAATAACCATACGAATGATGGGACCTCTAAAACATCACGAGATTTACTGCTTCTGTGAACTTATTGTCGACCCCAAAAGAGAACTGATCACAGCAGACGGCTGAGCTACATGAGACTTGGTCTCAAAACATTTGCTGAAAACATTTGCATATTTGAAAATGATAGTAGGACGCCGGCGGCAATTGAGGAAATGTCGGCTATTCTGAAGGACGCAGGGCCTTACCATCAAGATCAAAGTCGACCAAGGAAGAAGAGAGCTCGGGGCAGGATGGAGTGTGAGCGTAACGATCAGCGACATCATTGGGAAGCCCATTCAAATTCCCACACAAGGAACAGGTCCAGGACCAGCGCTCCATCTCACAGAGCACATTGATGTAAGCATAGCAACTATCGCAGCGGGGCAGGTCCTGCGCGTGCAATCCGTGAGCAGGCTCCCTGCCCTGCTCGTCCACAGCAGCGAACGGGGTGATCGTCGCCCCCCAGGGCAACCCACAGCCCTCCTGCAACTCGGAGTCCGACGGACCCTGCCGCAGCGACAGTCTCACAGCCATCCTTCCCTGTCACGTCAATTCAACCTCTCCCTTTGACTCCAATCTTTCTCGTCCTTCTTCAAAACCCCTCCGCCAAATCCGTTCCTCAAATTCCCACTCTCCGCTACCGATCAGCTCTCAGATCAAATCACCACGGCAGGCAGCCAGGCTTGCTTATCTGCGATCGAATCCAAATCCTCGGATGCCAAGGCTACCGCTGCGAGAGCTCATTTGCTGCCGGCCTTGCTGCTGCAGGGGGAGCCCGGAGTTTGGACCGTACGGAGCACAGAACCTGCAGCAGCTGCAAATCTTGCGCACGAGCTTCTTCGGCTTTCATTTTCTCTCCCTCTCATCGAATCATTCCTGCCTCTTGCTCCTTTCCAGACGCGGTCTTCTCCTGCGTCTCTAATTCCGATCCCTGCGGGCCTCCTCCTCCTCCTCCTCCCTTCCTTCCTTCCTTCATTCATTCATTCATTCATTCGATGAAACCATCCCCTCGCTATTTCGCGACGTCGCCCCCGTCCCTTTCTCAGGGCCAATACTTTCGCTACCTTGCTTTAAGTTTTTTCGCGCCGTCGCCAAGTCGGGAAGTCAGTCCGGACTCTCGTGTTGACCGCTGGAGTGGCACATTTACGACGACGACCTCGAATCTGTCGGAGGCTTCGCAGAGCAGGAGACCTACTGCCGTCGTGAAAAGGGATGTTGAATATTGCTAACGACGGGAGGTGAACGGGACAGAGCCGGGAGTCGGGACGTGATGTCACTTGAACCTGAATGAGGATGGTCTCCTTGGGCCGGGAAGTCGGGAAATCCCGATGGTCGTCCCTTCCAATGTGTGTCCGAAGTACGACGTCCCGCGTCCTATGTCTGTTTGGCGTCGTCACCACATGTGATCGGCCTGCACCATCCGGGAGTCCGTGACCGAGATATGCACGGTCTTGGAATACATAAATCGCTTGGATAATTATTAATCTAAAACTGCAATTTATTAATGTTTATTTGTCACGAGTGATCATTTGCTCTGAGAATATCGCGCTATTTTCCTTCCCATCTCTTACTTCTTAAAGAAAGCTTTTATTACTGAAGAGACCAGATTTTGAGGCTTGGATATCATCTTTCTAGTTATATCCAACTTGTGACTAAAATCCTAGAAGTGATGGAATACATTTGGTATGCGTATGACAACAATGTGATTTCTTCAGAGATAAAAGTATAAAAAGATTGTACAAGTTATTTACCTTGATTACGTTCAACATAGTCATGGCGGTTTCAGGATTTAAAAAAGGATTAGCATTAAATTAGAAGAGAGACTTTTTATGTCATCTACATTATTCTTCAGGTGATACACTCAATCAAATCCCCCAAGAAACTCCACAATGTGATCAACACCCAGAATTTGCTTTACCATAACATTACACATTTAATTAACCATATGTAACTAGTTGTTCTGTACGAGGTTATGTAAACTTCAAATTTTTTGAAAATCTTTAGTTATTCTATTGTATCAATTATTTAGCCAAAATATGTTTAAAAAAATGTTAGAATACTATCATACTCCCTATTATTTCTTCTATTTGCAAAATAGTGCAATTAGAATCCTTATACTTAGGATTGATATGTAATGCTTATAGTTTACTAATAGTTCGGATTGTTATGTTCAGGGGATGCAAGCCATGGTAAGAGCGTGATTCACTGTGGATGTGTGTTCCTTTGATTCCAACGCATTGTTTGAACTCTCTAGGGTCGAGTATTTAAATTCAATCCAGGTACTTGTGTTTGTCAACATCTCTATCTATCGAATCTTTCTTCAATTTTTGTGTCGACTATCACCATTGAATTATTCTATTTCTCTAATATCAGAGCTGGTTCTACTCTTATTCATGGACGTTTGAATCAAGACAAGCACAAAGTACGCTTCTTGCTTCAAATCATCTTTGTGCTATCTTTAAGAGCAATTTTCCGAGATCCCAAAACTTGGCAAAGCTCCAAATTTTGACAATCAAATATCATCACCGTCCAAAGCAACTAACTCGTGCCTCTCTCCGAGGTTTTCTGTTTGGCGCTAGTCAGGCCAAATTTGTCAAAGAACTGTCAATGCTGATGATAACACTTGGGGAAACTGAATTGAAGAAATTTTTAAAATTTTGCTTGAAATTTCTAAGATTCTTGAAATTCAAACAAAATTTCACAAATTTGTGAAATTTTCCAAAAATTTTGTACCACACCGTAAGTGAGAACGTAAATCAAAGCTGACATTTTGAGTAAGATGAATTCTCCGAGCTTACATCCGAGTTGCATGAAAGGATCTACCCAAATTTAATAGAGAGCATTTTCATGCCTGGAAAGATCAGATAAATTGGATCCTTTGAGTTGAAGGATTGATGTGCGTCATCAAAGTTATCAAAATCCGGACGATCATTTCACCTGTATTTACAACCAGCACACTTGCGTCCGGCGTATGGAATAAGAAGTAATGGGATGATAGAAACCTCATCTTCTTGAAAATGTTGAATTATGTGTTGAAGTCTCATCAACAATGTAACCATCTTTAGTTAGTTAGAACTAAAGTAGAGGTTACTCAAAATATTGATGTAGATACTTTAGTATGCACTAGAGCTAGCTGCCACGTCAGCGATCCGCGCACTTGGTAGGTACACAGTGGATGTGTTAGTTGACAGTGCCATGTCAGCAATCCGTGTGCTTGTAGGTAAGGATTGAGTGTGTTAGTTAGTGTGTTAGTTGGGTGCGCCACGTCAACGATCCGTGTGCTTGTTAGAGTTATCCGCCACGTCATCCATCCACTAGGAGTGGGATGGATGGTGGGGATTAGATCTTATCTCCTTGTGCTTGTTGGTGAGAGCTATATAATAGAGAGGAGAACCATTGTTGGTATCTCTCATCTTCAGAGTTTACGTTTCTATCTTCGAGTGAGCTTCTATCTAAACCCTATTGTTACAAACAACTCCTAATCGTTCGCTATAGTATAGTAGCAGAAACTTGAACTGAGCTGACAAAAGTATTTGAATCGCGTCACGTATCGATGCAATTGCCTCTAAGAAAATCATTGCATTCTTAAAAAATAAAAACAATCGAGTCTATGGCGAAACACATCACAAAATTTTGTCTCCTTCTAGACTAGTTGACTGTTGTAGGATAGACTATTTCAGATGAAGAAGCTTATATGTGTTTCCTTCAAAGTCTTCCCATCGAATATCCAAACTTTGTGCGTTCAATGCGAACAAACAAAACGTTGTTTTGAAGAAGCACACCTCAAAAAGCAAGAGGGAACTGACGGAATAACAGCGTTGTACACCACAAAGAAAAGAGTGTGGACTCCCTTCAAGCAAAAGCTGCAGCCAAGAAAATCCAATGAGGCAATTTTTTCATCTTCATCACGACAAGAACCCACATAAAAATCATCTTCTCCTTGATAAAAAAAAGTGATTCTATTGCAATAAGTGAGGTCATCTAGCAAACGAGTGTCAAAAGAAGAAGAAAAAAAACCCTTGCACACATTCTAATGCAAACGTCGAGCAACGGTTGTATGTCAGCGCATTCTCCTCAATCAAGACGGATCCAGCTTGGTATGTGGATTCAGGTGCCAGCCAACATATGGCATATAATAGAAATGGCTTTGTAACATATACAGATTTTTCATCTAAAGAGTTCGTATATCTAGGCGACGACAGCCGTCAACCCATTTGAGGCAAAGAAAATGTTGTCATTTCCTTGAATGATGGACATGATAGAGTAATACCTGATGTACTACATGTTTCTGCTCTCCACAAGAACTTGTTCTCCACAAATCAGCTAGTTTTCCAATGTGAAAGTTTACTCATCAAACCTAATCAATGCATCTTGAAGTACAAGATGGGCAACATAATTGCTCGATGCATTGATGAAAATAAACTCTTTTGGCTAGGTTTGACTTCTAATTCTACTTTGACAATTTGTGCTAAAACTGGTCATTCAGCTATTAACACTGACGAGCTAAATACTTTCCAATGGCAACTAAAGCTTGGGCATATGAGTTTACCACAGATTCAACAAATGAAGCATCACCATATGGTACAAGGGTTTTTATTTTTTTGAAAATCCTTAGTTATTTTACTCTATCAATTATTTAGTCAACTTATATGTTCAAAAAATAATAATTATAAATATTAGAAAATATTATTAAATAATTCTTATGATATATTTAAATTATATTTATTTATAAAATAATTAATATTTAATGAATACCAATTTGATATATAATATATATTTACAAATTATATTAAATGATCAATTGCAAATTTAAAATCATCAAACAATTACATTGTTATACATAATGAATTTGAATTATTTTTCTGCAAGTATAACACAACTACAATTTGTATGTCTTGTATTAATTCATTCATCATCTTGTCAAGTAGTTAAAAAATTATTGCAAGTATACATGACCACAAAGAAAAAAAAAGGCTAATAATTGATAAAAAAAATGTTTTTTATTAAATAAAAATGTTGTTTTTTCAAAATTATACTCTTGCAAAATTTTTGCATAATTTATTGATGAACACATCATATCACTAATCTTAGATACATGTTTTGTTGTTAAACTTTTCTCATAGAGTAATTTGACTTCGTATGTTTTCATATAAAATATTAGAAATTCTAATTTTATCTGTTAAAGATAATTTTTGAAAGTAAGCTCAATTTCTTTGAAGATATTATTTATTTAAAATTTACATTGTTATGTGACAATAATTTTGCTTTTTATTCTTCTATAATCATATGATATATTTCTCATATCATTTTTTGAAATAATATGATGTTACATAAATAAACTCTAGAGAATGCAACAAACATCTCCCAGTAGTCTACTTATTATATAGTTGAAAAACTATCATTTGTATGTTGTGGGACACTGTAGGTGTCATAGCGAGTAAAACATTAGCAATATGATTTATGATGATACACCTAGATATCTCTTGTCGTTTGCGTTTGGTTTACGGTGTTTATCCAGTCGGTTCACTTTAGATGTCGGTTACATGTTGAATGCATTGATGCACTCAACATGTAACCGACAATAACTAATGAACGTTGGTAACCGTTTAGTAAAGTATTAAGTTTGTATCTTACAATATGGTATAAGAATCTCTTTTTGATACTCTAGTGGCTGATGATTTGTGTTATAAATCACAAATTTTCTTGTTATTCAACGAGAAGTTGTTCCTCAGTATTTCATTAGATAGTGAGTACCTTTCAACCGTCATGGAACAATCTCAATATAATTTTGCTTTCACGTTACACTTTAAGGAGAAGCTTACTGGCGACTCGTCTACACGAATTGGTCCATAAGTTTGAAGATGATGTTGAGGTACAAAGGAGTATATGAAGACATGATTCTCGATCTAGCTTTCCATGACTGTGTTGACGATGCTATTCTTCACCGCCGACGAATCGAGGCGATTGCAATCATCTATGCTAGTGTATCACTTAATATACTTTATTCTATTGTTGAATATGAGAATAATCTCTTTGAATAATAGACTTATTTGTGCACTCTCTATCGGTCTAATAATGTCCAGCGACACCTTATGCTAACCGAGAACTTGCTATCCGTAGATAAATTGATTGATTCATCATATTTTGTGGTTTTCACTATTGCTTGTTGCTTAGTACTCAAGTAAACAAATCTCAATAAGATCTACTTATATGGCCGATAGGATTTGCACACCAAATTGTACAAACTACTTCCCAAGCTTCAGAGTCAACATACATCCACTCAAGTCCGCACTTAAGCTTCTCTCTTTGTAGAAGTAGTCACCCGACCTACCTGCGGATCTCACCTTTATGGATCTAGCATAGGATCTTTCCGAATCAAAGATCACATCTTTTGATGCCACTGATTTGTGGCACAAGCGTTTGTGTCATATTTGACACCAGACGACCTACCACATGAACTCTAAGCCTTTTGTTCACAATCTCTCTCCTTTTGCCATCGGCAAAGATCGTCATTGCGAAGTCTGTGTGCTCGCAAAGCAACGTAATGCTCAAAAATCCTAACAAAGCAAGAAGAAAACTACACAAACTTTGAAACTTGTTCACATCAATTTGTGTAGTTTTGTCAAAGCAGAAACTGCTTTCATAGTAACTTTTAAACTTCATTGATAATTGCACTTGAATTTGATTTTTTTGACTAAAAAGTGAAACCTTACATCATTTTAAGCAATTTATCTTGCTTGCAAAAAATCTCTATCCGCATAAAGTTGTTGCGGTGTGGCACACCGAGCACGATTGGCTACCACAAATCTTGTTTATTTGAACTAACAAAGGAGTTGAATAGTTCTCTAAGAATTTTAAAAGCTATTGTTGACAAAAGAGTATTGTTTGACAACTAACTACAACGACACTCCATCAAAACAACATTTTTGAGCAAAAAATTAAATTCTATTTCAAGCAATTTGCTGTATTTTCAATTCTTAAAGTTTTTGACTCATCTCTGGATGGAGTCTTTGCAAGCAATTAATTATGTGCTAAATGGTTGTGCAATTTGTGCATTAAATCTGACTAGGCTTTATGAAAGATTATATGGCACTCCATCTCACTTAACACAACTCAAAGTAATCTGATGCATTACATATGTTGTGCACATGCTCTTTGATAAGCGGACAAACCTTCAGGCCAAGGCTATGTGTGCTAGTCGCCTACAATGACGAATTCAAAGCATATAGATGCTGGGATCCTTTAGCTCATCGCATTGTTACTACCAACGATATTACACTCCTTTGAGCACATACTTGGATTTTTGTTGATGTTTATTAATTTGTTTATCTCTTTAGCGGCTTTGATGTTCAAAAGATCTTTCAAACTCAACATTAGCATCACAAGTGGTTGTTAGTTCAGATGACAATTTTGGAATGTATGACAATCTCAAAATATTTGACGCATCACTACACACATCTTGGGCACATGTTGGTGCCTCTACAAGCTTACCCTAGCTCCCCTCATACTACTCTATTTCGAAGGCCTACTCAACCGGATATCAAGAGAAATCATCCATGAGCAGATTTTTAACTACCACAATTCCTCAGAGACCACCATCACATACGAGGATGTACATTCATCAATATAGTTAAGACTACGGGACTAATGAACAATCAAGCACTTCAAAATCCACTATGGAAGGAAGCGATGCGAAAGAAGTTTGATTTCCTATCGCCAACGTCATCTGAAAACTCGTGACAATCCCAAAATGTAAGCATGCTCTATCTTCAAAATGTATCTTTAAGACCAAACCTCAATTGGATCAAAGATTTGTGTTTGAAATCTCGTTTGGTTGCGCGTGACCTTGAATAAAAGTTTGTCATTGATTCTAACAAAATGCTTGCTCATGTTGTCTGTTGATCAATCTTGCGTGTGTTAATCTCTCCCTTAGTAGCACTGCGGTGGATATTACATCATATGGATGTAATTACCGCATTTTTTAATGGAAAATTGTGGGAGTTCATTTACATGAAGCAAGCTCTTGGTTTTGAGATCAAATGCATGAAAGATCTAGTCTGTCTTCATAACATATTAATTTATGTTCTCAAGTAGTCTTTGAGTCAATGGTATGAAGAAATCTACATCCATCTTCTTTTAATTGACTGGAGTTAGAAGTCAATTTGATTCCAACATGTTCTTCTTCAGAGAAGACAATATCATTACGGTGGTTCTAATGTATGTCGATGAGTGAATACTGCTCGGTATGAGTCTAGCCAAAATATACGAAATCAAAACTTAACTTCACTATCGGATCAAGATGAAAATTTTTGGCCCCGTCTCCGGTTATCTTGTTGTGGATTTTTATCGTGAAACTAAAGGTAATTTTGTTTCTTCATCAACTACAATATAATGCAAAGCTCTTTGAGGAATGCAAAGTTGATTCTACTATGATTTAATCAGTAACTCTTCCAATAGGTCACGTTCTTGAAGCTAACACTAGTATTTATTTCGTTAACGCCTTGGTTTATAGTCATATTATATGAATTATATTTTTTTTATGTCACATTAGGCCAAATTTATCCTATGGAGTTGGTGTGATCAATCATACAGTTGATGCATGCATTCAACTTTACATGCCCACTGAGACTCTGTTTATCATATTTTTTTATACATCAACTTCATTCGAGACTTTTGTATACTTTTAAAGCGCCAAAGTTCAATGACTCTTCACAGATTTTCATATGTTGAGTACTTGAGTTGCCTCAACATCCACAATATGTTGGTTCTTACTTATTCAAGCTGGCTAATGATACCATCTCTTGAAATCTCAAAGCAGCAAACTTCCGTATCAAATAATATAACATAAGGTTGAGTACAAAAATTTGTCCGAGGTAGCTAAAGAGTACATTTACATGCAACAATTGATGGCAAAGATCCAAATCAATCCTTTGGCTTCAAATCTCATTGCATGTCAAAACTCCGAAATACAAGCTGATCTATAGCACGCCAACACTCCAACACTCCAACCTTGGCCAATTTACATTTGTCTTCTGGCAATCAGGATGATTTAAAACTCCCTATCAATCGTATTTTTCATGCAAAGACAAAGCATATTGAGCCCAGACATCACTTTGTGAAAGAACAACTTTTAGAGTGGAAAAGTTGACTTGATTACATACATATAGATGACAATCCGATAGACCTTATCATAAAGCCTCTACTGCGCCATAAGTTTGAAAGCATAGAGATGTTATTGGAATACGTTCATTAGATGAAGTACAAGCAAGTGTTGCAGCTTAAGTTATGCTATTACATGTCATGAAAAGAATAATCAATTTGTACAATTTTCTTTTAGAGTAAGGACAGAGTAGATAAAAGAAACATGTGAAATACTTTTATCAAATTATAGAAGTTATGAAATTTAAAAAAATAGATAAGTTGTTCCAACATCTTATTATCAACATCCGCAAATCTATCAATAATACATTTATGCTTGAAATGATTTATTTATTTTCAATTCAGCATCACTCCTATGTGTAAGGCAATAAAATTAACTTCCTTACAACAGATATTATACACAATAAGCTGAAAAAAAATTCTATCAAAATATGATAAAGTTCAAAGTTTTTTCATATGAACATGTAAAGATTAACATTCATATTTCATATACCATATTTTATAGAAGAAAATTCAAAATAACTCTTCATATCCATATACTTGGAGAGCTTTACTTTTTTTTTCTACATTCGCACTTTATTGAGGAGTATAGATAATCACTTATTTAAAATCGTTATGTGTTACATATAATATTTGAGTATGAACAACAACATAGTTATTTTGAACCAAGTATATACATGCCATATTTCTAGTTAATTGTGTACAATATTTTAACAACAAAATATACATATATTCAACAACATACACAAAATATATACAACAAAATCTACGATTGAAACAACCCAATTAACAAAAACAAAAAAATTCAGTTTTTCATATCAACTTAATTGCATATCAAATCACTCAAGCTTTTTCATAAAGCAATATCGTCATAAGAATTTAATGCCAACGAGCTTTGTATCAAGAGCTTTTTTAAAGAGCAATAGCTTTTTTTAAGAACCATATTTTATCACGTTCGCTCTTAAAAAAATCGTGATAAAATCACGATTTGATCATATCCACAAACCTGCAGAGAGAAGAGAACGAAGGCCAAGAGACAAATCTTTAGGTGGAAGCCAAATTGGGCAATGAAAGGAAGTAGTGGTTTAGAGAACATGAAATAGCTTGTCTCTTTAGTGATCCTTTGTGCTCTTGTACTTGGCACCCATCATAAATTATACAAAATGTGTATAAACCTGATTAACGGTATATTTCACCACGACATGAGGAGCCTGCTTGAATTGATTCTCAACTTTGCTACTTTTCTGAGGGCGGCTGGTATTATTTTTCGGTTATTCGAACCAATAAATTTTAATGCTTCAGGTGCAAATATAATGATAGTATGCGAGCGCATAGTAGTGTTCGTTGATTAAAATAAATCTTTAAAATACAGATAATCTTGGAAGTAGATAACGTACAAAAGAAGTCATGTGTAGTATAAGAAAACACGAGGGAGGTACCAACTGCAGTATAGGCATGTGCCGCAGAAAACAGTCAATTTATGCAGACTCATACGGTACTGGTATCACCGTGGTGAACTTGTGTACAGTACAGCCGTAGAGTACGATGCCATCTTTCGTCGCGTCAGAGCCCACTGCGTTGGGTCTGCGCAGGCAGGCAGGCAGGCAGGCAGGCAGGCCGCAGCAGCTTCCCTCCATTTCTTTGTGGGTTTTGGTCGTTCGTTGCGGAGGCCGAGTCTCTTGTCATCTGCTGCCACTGCTGCTGCTGCCGCTGCACTCATTTCCCGCAGCTCTCGCGTCTCTCGCGTTCGCTCGCTCGCCCGCTCGCTCGCTAGCTTCCTGGATCCAATCTCTCTCGGCGCTCCGAGCACGCACCGCACGTGTTCTATCGAAGGCGAGCACCGCGCGCAGCCTGAGAGTTCCGTGCGCTGGCATTCGACCACGGGGGATTGCCGCGACGAGGTTGGGGGCAGGGTGTGCAGATTGTGGGTTTCAAAGCGTGTCTGGAGAGCCTCGGGGCCTGGGCTTGCCGTTGTAGGGTTTATTCTTTGTCATATTTTTTTTTCGAGTCCAGCGGACGGAGGCGCAGTGAAGAGCGCTGGAGGGCGTAGGGCAAGGAGAAACGGGAAGGGAGGGAGGGAGGAGGGAGGAGGGCGTGGAGATTGGGGTCGGAGGGTAATTTGGATCTTTTGGATGCCGGCGTCCGGGCTTTTTTCTTCATGGAGCGCTTGTCGGTTGGGGTGGAGCCATGGTTTGATTTCTCCGTGCGGTTGTAATTGATAAGAAGCATGGGGCGGTGTGAGCACTGAGATTCGAGCTTTTCGGTGGTTTTCGATTCGTTGAGTTTGTTGCGGATGGATTTCGCTAGGCTGTTATGGCGAGCATGCGTTTAGCTCTTCGTGTTGCAAATTCGGAAAGAGCCCTGTGCACTCCGGGGACAGGTCCGGAATAGGGTCTGCAGTGGCGGGTTCAGTCCCAGGTGACAGGGAGGGAGGGCGCATTCGGGTGGCCGCCGTGGTTTTCGACGTGAGGTGGACCCGTCGGGGCCAAGAAGCGGCAGCGGAGGGAGTTGCTGACGGAAGATGAGTTCCCGGACGCGCAGTGGTAAATGAAGTTTTTATTGTGGAGTCTGGAGTCTCGTTGGACAGCAGTGACGAAGAGGGCTGATCGGCGTGCCAGTTTCGAATAAAGGAAGCGAGGCAGCGCGGAAGGCAATGCCTCGATCAATCTCACGATCTCCTCCCCGGAAGGGGAGACGGCGATCACCCGTACGGACTCCATCTCCATCGAGCCATCGGCACAGCAGTAGGAGGAGCAGGCGAGATCATAGAAGCCGCTCCCCCGCTCATCCGCATTCTCATGGCAGGTGTGTTACAGTGAGCAAACAATGGCCCCATGCTTGGCGTCTTTTACATATATATCCACTATGAGCTGGCAGTAATTGTTGTTGCGGTAGAGGCCATGTGAGAGTTGAGAATGTGTCGAGAAAGAGTCAAGAAAATGATGAAAAAGAGGAAAGGAATGAGAATGAGATGGGAGCAGGCAGGCTCGGGATGGAAGGAGGGGGGTTTGATGAAGCTGCTGCTGGTTTGGAGAAAAGCACTTAGGCCTGGGGAAGGCCTCTTCAGGAACCTTGCATTCGCTTCTTCTTCTGCCTCTGCTGAACCCTGATGGCCGTGCTCTCCCCTCCGGTAATGGTACCATAGATGCGCTTCTCCTGTTGCTTTCAGCTCCGGCAGCCATTCAGTTTGCTGATACTTAGGGTTTCGATTTTGAGATTCTGATTGAGTTTCAGGAGATTATGGAGAGGGAAGGGCTTGGGCTGAAAAATTGATTTTCGGAATTTGAAAACGCAAGCCAATTTTTGGACTGCATACATCCGATGAATGACTGGGTGTTGGATGTAGACCTAACAGTTCGAAGGAGCTGGAGGCAGGGTATTGATGAAGAACCACCTGGTCCAAGAGCCTGTGAGAGCAATTCAGAACTGGAAATGTGCAGTCACAGTGTGTAGAGTTCCTGTGGTTTCGGTGTAGAAATTCAATCCAAATTTGAGTGAATCAAAAGGTAAAACTGCTGTGAGGGAAGTGGGCAGCAACAGCTGGTGTGTAAACTGTCAATACGAATATGTGCATGTTATGTCAATCTTGCCTTCTAATGTCTACGGGCTTCTGCTGACTGCTTGTCCACCTTGGCTTTATACAGACGCAAGAGTCGGTCACCTTCTCCCCGTCGGGGAAAGCAACGTCGTGAGCGACAAAGCCGAAGTCGCTCACGCTCTCCACCGTCACACAAGTCTCGGAGTCCAAGTCTTTTATCGTTGGAGAGGAGGAGGGCTGCTGAAAGGGCCCGTGAGGAAGAAGAGCTGGAGAAGAAGAGGTTAGTGGATATTCCATGGTCAGATACGCGTAGAATGTGACCTGTGGCGGTGTCGTACTGTCTGGCTTCTATTCAGTTGCTTCTTGTTGTATAGTTTCACAGAAGATGGTCATTATGACTTCTTGCACAAGGTTTAGCTTCTCTAGGTGTGGGCAGTCGAAGTAACCGATCTTACCCGCATCTAGAGGCCTGTTTTGGGGAGCTATAACGCAGTTCATGGGTCCCGGGTTTGAAGAGTAGTACTTCAGTTGTTTCGTTTATCGCGGAAATGATAGCTTCAAAGTTTGTCCTTGAGTCAAGCGTGTGTAGTCTGTCATCATCGTGCGCTGTCCCAACCTGAATGTAGCGTTGTTCATAACGTCACTACATTGTACATTTTTTTTCGATGGAAAGTTGCTGGGTCACTACGATTCTTAATAATAGCAGCAGTCGAAACTTTGAGCCCAACAGCGAGGTTTTTAAACTGAAGTTGTCTTCTGTCAAACTTACAAACTGCTTGTAATACATATCTCATACTCCATATGCTTGAGGTGTACTCAACTCTATGACCAACAGGAGACAGCAAGAAGCAGAGATGAAACTTGTTGAAGAAGAGACAGCGAGGAGAGTGGAAGAGGCAATAAGGAAGAAAGTTTCTGAAGCTTTGGCCTCGGAGGAAATGAAGAAAGAAGTCGAACTCAGAATCCTGGAAGGTCGAAAGAAGATATTTGAAGACATAGAGAACCAACTCCAGCAAGAAAAGGATGAGGCGCTTGCGGAAGCTAAGAGAAAAGAGGTAACTCCGCTCACTGCTTGTGGTATATTCAGTTCTTTGTCTTTTCTTCTCCTGGATTGGTCATACCAGTCTTAGGTTGGCCATCTCTTTTTACACTTCGGGTACTTACAGTTGTGAGTTCCCTCCACAATGGAGGCATTGATTCTAACCGTTCCGATTTTATCCATTTTCAGGAGCAAGTACGACGAGAGAAAGAGGAGTTGGAGAAGATGTTAGAGGACAACCGAAGGAAGATCGAAGAGTCACAAAGACGAGCGGCCGAAGAACAGGCACGGAAGGAAGAAGAGCGGTACAGGGAACTGGAAGCTCTACAGCGACAAAAAGAAGAACAATTGCGACGAAAGAAGTTGGAAGAGGAGCAGAATAGAACAGAGCAGATGAAGATTCTAGGAAAGAAAAACACAAGACCCAAGCTGTCATTTGCTCTAGGTTCGAAGTGAATAGAGTTTTCAAAAGTCTGCCGATTAAATCTCACCTTTGCATTTGCGATTACTGTGTTCTTAGACTTCCTCCAACTTGTTTAGCGGAAAGTTAGAGCGGAAGGCACGCTCGCTGTCCACCGAAGTTGTACATGTGTAAGTTTTCATGATACTCGTTTTCGAGTGTTATAATATAGAGGGCTTCCAGCCTGTGTTTCATGGAGCTTACGGGAAGAAGCTATACAGTTGTAGGCTGGTATTTCTTACTCTGCTTGGAAGCTCCACCGGTTCCGAATCACACCAATGCAGCTGGCATGTGAGACTGGTCCTTATTACTTGAAAGTAACAAGTGAGCTACCAAGTACTGTTTCAGAGGGGTAATTGCCATGTAGTGAAGGAAGTCTTGGCAGCATCGTCCGGAAACGGATGAGGAATGCTGTCGAGATCGTGATTTTTGATTTATCAATCAACGAGGCGAAAACCATGTGGAGAACACGAAACTCCCGGCGAATGGCTGGTGATGACAGAACCTACTCAAACATACGCTTCTGTATCCTTCGGTGCTGATACACTGCAAGCGAGCAATGTGATATTTAGGTTTCAAGATCAAGGTCTCAGACTCAGGGTTAGAAGGGACCTAGGGTCTTCTGCATGTTTGATATTATACACTTAAAGAGACGTTCGTACCGTGTCTGCACATCGTGCGCCGAGGCATGAACATCGCGCCACTAATACATCGATCATTCAGCCGAGTTTCACCCTCTAAAACACAAATGTCAGCTGTCGGAAAACCAAAGCACGAAAAAAGAAAAACGAACCAAAAGGATAATACTCAATATTAATTTCATCTTCAAGAGGAGGATTAATATATTCGACATACAATTAATCTTTGAAGAGGAGGATGACTATAACAAAGGAAATGCTCAGCCCTGCAGCTCTAAAGAAAGAAAAACGTCGACCTTCGCCTCAATAGTAACTGCCTAATCTATTGCAAATCAAGTATTCCATGGAAGGCAACCAAGAGAGCATAATTACTTACTCAGGGAGAGCAAGTATGTGTGCGACTCTAATGTTCCCCGTGGAGTAACTAAGGGCCTATATTCCAACCTGACACAAATAAGAAGACCCGTAAAACATATTTTGTCAAAGCATATTTCCGCTCAATTTGGAGGGCGATCCTATTCGATCCTATTCGGAAAGCGTTTGTACCTCAAGCTCTAATATACTGTACACAAATGACAAGAGTAAGTGGGCTTGATGCATACTATCTTGATGTAGACGACACACACGCGAATATGTTTCGGCTTTAGTGCGAGTCCTGGAAAATAGGGGTGATCCTGGATCCCTCCACACGACGCGAGCACTCTCTTCCGATGGCATGAACATCATCCATAATGATGATTAGGACCAGCTCTCCTGTACCCATCTATTAGGAGTTTGTTCTAAATATGAAGTTACAACTACCCTCGCAAGTTACAAACCTAATGTCGATGGTTGAACTTAACCGAATACAATTTACATCCTTGCGATGACTTGTGTGTAAGATGAGAATCGATGTACCAATCAATCTGAGCATTGCTCCTTACAAAAACAAGAGCAAATGTGTGTGCTGAAGCAAATGTGGAAATGGTGTTATTCAATATGATAAATACGTCTTATAGGTTATATCCACTAGAAAATTTTGTACATCTGATGCTCCCCTATGAGACAAACTCTCCAAAGAACCATTACATCATCTCTAGCTAGAACAAATACTATTTCAAGAATCACAAGTAAGAAAAAATAGTGCAAGTGGAAAATAGCGGATCTGATTACCTGCAAAGAACTAATGAATTTGAGTCCTATATTGAATAATACGTCTGGAGCACATAAGTAGAACTGCTATAGCCAAAATAGCCAAAATTGCTTAGGCGTTTCAGTCATGAATCATGGTACCAAATTTCCGTTCAATATATACATAAATATAGTTGGGAATTCCGGTACACGAATGTATCCTCCACCAGCTCACGAGTGTACACATGGCATAATGGCTTGCAATTCAACCCCTAAACTACTCGAGGTAAAGGCACCACCATAACATTTGTTGTACCCATATGTGTGTTATCTGCTTGATAAACACACCACTTGATTTTCAAGCCATGTTATCCGGACTTTACCATGTAGAAGGAGGTCCAATATTTTCTTTGTATCATTTAATATATCATTGGACCTCGGTTCATACCACCCAGTTGTACATTCTGAAATGATAATCATTACATCGAATGACTGAATTAGTATTATCAAATTGCGAGAATAAATTACAATGGTTTGGGTGTATGGAACTCGGTAACAACAGATAACATATATCAATATATTATATTTTCTTGGTTTTCTCATCTATCGATGTCCAATCGAAATATAGACATATAAGAGTTCTAGAGTCAAAAATTACATTCCCGCCAATATCATTCGTCACAACTGCAATCTGATGTGAACTTCATTTCTCTTCTCATTTTTGAAATAATATGAAGCGGCTCACAAGGGGCAATGATAAATCACCGATGTCCATATGTAAGTCAATTACTACATAATTTATCTTACTTTTTTTTTAAAAAAATTTTCTTTCGTGTACATTTGGTGGTTACATTTTTGTTGTTGGAACTCATCATTCACGCATGTAAGACTGTATAGAGTAATATAAGACACAATAACATTATGAAATGTGAAAAATAACATAAAATTCAAGAAGCGGGGCACAGAATGTAGATCTCTATCAGAAGCTTAATTACATATAAAACAATGATTACATACAAGGACAGTCTGACAATCATGGAAGTTTTTCCTGGAGACAGTGCGAATCCAAAGTCGATGAACAGATCTGATTTGCTGCCTTCAGCTGAAAGAGGAACAACTCTATCATAAGAATATTCTCAAATACTACAGCAACTATATTCGGTATCCAGTAACCCAAACCACAAGGTTAGTGAGTCACCGTCTGTGACCTTGGGATACAACAGCGTCCAAGAAAAATCTTAAGTTCTGACTCTTCATCTCCGAATGGAATAAAACCCATATTTTTACTGTTTGTACATTTATGGGTAGACGCAGCATTTCCACCATAACATTATGATCAATTAATTACAATTGGCTGGAAAGTCTTCTTCCTATAATCACTAGCATGGTTTTCACAACAATGTTGCTGGTGTTCTAGTAACCTTTGAGCGGCTTCCATAATCCATTTAGCAATTTCACGCCACAAATAAGAAATAAATAAATAATATTAGGGACGAAAGCACAAAGCAACTTTTTTTTTCTTTTTTCTCTCATTGAGCTATCTCCCGGCCCAAAGGCGGCAGGGAAATTGTAGGATCGATAGAAAATTTAATGAGAGGCTGCGCAACTTTTGTCTCAACCCCGAAGAGTAGCTGATCAGCTCTTCTAGAAGTTTCCAACAATTGCTCGTTATCTTGTCTAGCCCGCTAGCCCGCCAGCCATGGAGGGTATGAATCCACTACTTACTTTACTCGCCGAAGAAAGAAGGTGGAGAAAGAGATCCTTGGAGAAGATAGACGAGGATTATTTTTCCTCATCCCGAGAAAGCCGAGAAGTCGTTTCCTTTCCAGAACTTGGATGCCGTCGTCTCGGCGAAAGGACCCAACCTCCACCCAAAATTCCAAATCCAAATCCAAATAGAGCGTCCTCGAAGGGCCACATGATTGGCCATGCACTCGAAATCTGAAGCGACGATGGCGCAGCCTCCTTCTCCTTTATTCTTCTTCTTCTTCTTTCTTCTTCCACAAATCAAGAACTTTAGATTCCTCCATTACTTTGCAAATCTATTCCATCGTCCAGGGCCAATTTTGTAAATCACTTCGTTCGTGATCGTTTTACAAAATATCCCGATTTCTCTTTCTATGGCAAGAAACTTGCGAAAGGTCTCAGGCATACAGTGCCCTCCTCCTGTGGGTGGAGAGGACTTTCTTGAACTCTGGTTTGTTTGGATTTTGGATTGATCCAGATTCCAGATATGTTCCATGAGAATAGGTGTACAGTGCGGTAACGAGGTATGAAGAATCGGGTGGGCTCGCTTGCTGGAAGTCGCCACGCGCGGTTTGAACCACCGCTGTGCTCCCTGCGCCATACGCTACAGCACAAGGCTGCAGAAAGGTTAAAACAAAATCCCTTTATCCACTAGAATCTTCCGGTCAACCTGCACTGCAATTACCGTGTCGCCATTTCTGGTGGTCGTTTTGGCACTTTAGGCAGTTCAATACTGGGCTGATAAACCAACACCTGAAGCCTTCGTCGTCATCGTCGTCGTCCTCCTGCTGCTGTTGCTGCTTGTTGCCGGTGCGCTGGTGGGTGGCAGTGTGTCCATGTCCCCTTGTTTGTGAGAAAGAGAGATAGAGAGACGGGGAGCATGAGGATTGCAGGGTTTTAGGAACAGAGAGGATTTTGCTTCGAGCGGAAGTCATATTCAGTCTGTGACGATGATGATGATGGTGCGCAGTGGCATGGGTCTATGAGCATTTTCCTGTACGATATGGTCGATTGATGTCCTTTCAGTTGTGTTTGCGTGTGCGTGGTTGTGTTGCCGGCTCGTCGTCTTCGTCCTCCTCTCCGTGAATGAAATCTGCAAGGATGGAGTCATGCTACCGGAGATGCTGAAGTCTGTTGTCAGGACTGTTGTGGTGGTGCAGGTTGGGCTGGCCAGCCAGACCAGTGCACGCACGCTCTCTCGCTTACACGTACGAGCGAGCGAGGTCGCTGCGGAGTTTGATTCCTGAATTGGTGTGACTTCTTACGACAAAGGGAGCGACAAGAGTGCTGCGCATGATGGCCGTGTTGGTGTCCTTGTCTCCTTCCGGTGCTTCTCTCGGTACTCATGCCCATGCTCAATTATTCAACTCCAATGCTACTGCAGCCTGCCAGCCATCGAATTCCAGCTCTTCTTCTTTCTCCTCTTCTTGCTCCTCTTCCTCGAGTCCGATTTTTTCAGTTTCTTCGCGGCAAGGGCCCAGATTCTACTCGTTCTTGGGATGCTCGAATGACAGAGAGGTGCTGGGAGCTTGCAATTCGGGATTTAGAGTTAGGGTTAATCAGAAACGGAGACGAGAGGCGTGCAGTTGGGTGTGTTGTAGTTTGGCAGACGAGAGCGGTAGCGGTAGTGACAATGGAACTGGGCCAATTGGCGGGGACGGAGCTTCGTTCAGTTCTGCCAATAGGAATAAGCTGACGAGCCGTCGAGACATGCTGCTGGAGTACGTAAAAAATGTGCAACCCGAGTTCATGGAGAAGTTCGTGAAACGAGCTCCCGAGCAGGTGGTGGATGCAATGCGACAGACCGTGACCAACATGCTGGGCACTCTGCCACCACAATTCTTCGAAATTTCGGTCTCGACGGTGGCCGAGAATTTGGCGCAGCTCATGTACAGCGTGATGATGACGGGATACATGTTCAGGAATGCCCAATTCCGCCTCGAGCTACAGCAGAGCCTGTCGCAGGTCGCGCTTCCCGAACCCAAAGATAAGGACTCCATGTACGAGCCCGGAGTCAACAAATCCAAAGTGGCGGGAGAGGTCATGAGATGGCACCGGGAGGACGGGCCCGAGAAAATGCCGGCCGTGGAGTACATCAAGATGCTGGAGTCGGAGATCCAGGAGCTGCAGCTGCAATTGGACTCGAGCCGAAGAGCTTCTCGAGGTCGAAACGAGTTGCTGGAGTACCTCAAATCCCTGCAGCCCCAAAATCTCCAGGAGCTCACGACTACTGCAGGAGAGGATGCCCTCGAGGCCATGAACACTTTCGTCTCGCGTCTGCTGGGAGTGAACGATCCCGCGCAGCTGAAAAGAGCAGCCACTGAAACCTCTGCGGCCGAGCTCGCCAAGCTTTTGTACTGGTTGATGGTTGTAGGATACAGCATCCGAAATATAGAAGTGCGTTACGACATGGAGCGCGTTTTGGGCATGCCTGTTCATTCTCAGAAGCTGGCAGAACTCTCCCCTGGTGACAACAATCCATGAGACACTTCACAATTGGAATCCTTGTATGGCAATATCTCTGTAATCACCTCGCGGGATGCCCATTTCTGCATCCTGTTAAACTAGCAAATTATTCCTTCCCATTCCATTTAATTTTGGTCCATTTTCTCCTCTGCGCTTTCTTGTGAGCTGTGTTCCATACTTCCAGATTCTCCATAGTCAATGCCCTTGGACTTGGATGACCAAGTTATTATAGTTTTTGGGGTACAGGCATACCAACTACACACGTGAGCTGCATCATGTCAGTAATGTCTTAGTTCAAGTGGAGCTGGACCGAGACTGCCGAAGATGTGTCGTACATGGAAATTCTTGTCATGAGTTGTACTTTGAACGCGCATGTATTTGTAGTTTAATGCATGGTAGTTTGTGCCCTCGTTTTCACGTCACTCGAATAAATGATTGTCCTGTCAACCCCGATCTATAGAGTGATTTGGACAGCTTTGAAAATTCCGTAAAAGATACGTCTCCACCATATTCACGGGGTTTTAATCGAGAATACCATCGTCTTTTTGGGACGGGAATATGCAGAAGTCTTTGGAAGTTCGTCCAACATGCGAATGTATGTAAGAAGCCTTCTGCTGAGATACACTGTCTCCCTGACCATACAGTACGAAGTGAGGAAACCAGTTACTGACGTACAAAGCATAATTTGACAATTCTTTGCCTTACGTCGTCCCGTGAAAATGCTTTCTGAAGCCGAGGCACAGTTCATCAGGATTAGGTAGAAGTAATTTGGGAGCAATGATATCGAAAGTATAATACTTGGCTTCGTGTCTCCTAGCTTGGGAATCGGGATGGAAGGGTAGTTTGGCATGTAGGAACTTTGGAATTCTGATCAAACCTGTCCATTGGATTCGGATTCTACTGCGGGCAACAAAACACCACTGCCTTGTACGATTTTTGTGGCTTATATACTAACCGTAGCACGGAACAAATACTGGAGTCTCTGGAGCACGCAGGACTTAGTGAAAACTTCCAGCGTAGGGGCACTTTGGACTGCTTGTAGAGCCAAGTATCTAAACCTTTCAAAGGGACAATCCATGGCCCCAGCTATACCTATGGGTTCATTGTCATCAAGAGACTGATAATGTGAAAATCGTATCTCAAATTGACAAAATGTCCGTCAAAGCTCAAGCTTCTGGGTAAAATGGATAGCTCAGAGGTCAAGGAATGATCCTATGACAAGGCTAGTCTCTTAAATATGCAGAAAGTACATACAGCGTACAGCCTCTCCGTGTACGTTTCTTCTAGAGGTTCATATCCATCTTCCGGGAGTTAATTCATATCTTCTCTTCAATAGCCTTCGTTTCCTGCCTCCCAAAGCGCGACCACTTCCTGCGATTCTGGCCGGATGGCTCTCTATGACATCGCTGATAAGGATGGCATGCGGCTGATGTAACAGGGCACTCTCGGCTGCAGCCTTCCCCTTGAGGTCACGAATGGTGCAGTTGATGAAAAAGAGAGCAGTTCTAGCAGATGCCGAGGGAGCAGGAATGGCTCGATCCAGCTTCTTCCGGTTGACCTTGTCTCAAACATGTCAATCTCTGAACTCCTTCCAGCAACGCCTGTTACAGCAGAAGATTCTTTGCAATTTGGACGTCTTCGTGCGCAGTAAACTTGTGGTCAGCCAACGTGCATATCTGCCGGTGCTCCTTGGCATATGAGCTGAGCTACAACGGAATAGCCCTGCAGAGAGATATGCACGCTGGAGCTCACATGCATGTCGGAAATCATATGCAATATTTGCCGATTTTTACGTGCGTGCTCAGATGATTTTTATTGCAAATGAGTCAAATTAGTGGTACTGCAAAGACGCTCATTGGATCCGGTTCAGTAGTCAGGAGCAGCAAAGCTCGGTAATTCGTGACGGTCTTCCCCATACATGATCTGCGTTACAGAAGACACCCTCGATGAAGCACATGACCTTGTGTGAGCACCATCAGAAGAAAGAGACCTCGAAATGCTGAAAGATAGATTTACGATTGGCCTTTCCAGATTTAGTGCAAGCGAAGGCCGAGGTGCTAGGAGCTGATTGGTCCAGTGTCCTCGTCGAATGGCCGACTCCACATGGAAATTCCTCTGCTGGGACGCTGGGAGAAACTCCTCCTCCTAAGGCAGTTCTCACAAAGTGGCCAGACCAACACGGACGGGCGTGACTTCTACCCTGAGAGCGCTGGAAACGGTCAAAGTGGGATTTGTTCCAGCGCTGGCGACGAGGACGAGGACAGGTGTGCACTAACGTGTGCACCAAAGCACTCTCTAATTCACAAGTTTGCCGTACGCAACTCGAGAAGAAGTAGAGGTCGAAGATGAAGGACTTTTTGACCAGAGTGACGTATCAGTCTCTGTCGTTGAAATCCTTCATTCGGTCCCAGCTGAATGAACTGGGGAAGAGGAGCAGGCTATTCCTGCAGGTTTGAAGGTGTCCACACTTTCTGCCCCAGAGAGCAGGGAGGGCGCACATCCACCAGTTGCAGAGTCTCTTCCACGTCGGTCAGTCGGTCGCAACGAGGATCTGAGATTCGTTGCAGAGATCGACCATAGGTCGAGATGTGGATGCTATTTTTACAAGTTCGCAGCAAATAAAATTTCTAGGACTCCGCAACGACCCCAGAAGTTTCGCAGCGCTGTTGATTGGATCTCCGCAGGGGTCTTGCGACCTCGGGAAAAGCAGTGATGGCATCTCGACTATGGAATCTACTGATCGATTCATACTGCAAGGTTTTGTGACACCAGTGGTGGCAGCAGCAGCAGCGGACATGGTAGAATAAGAACCTCCACGGCAGATCGAGAAACATCTCGATCATGAAACTCCTCTCTATCACTCATTGTCACTGATCTGGCGTCCGAATCAGTTGAACTCGAGTGTGAGAGCAGTGGATTTGCCCGTTCCACTGCAGCATGTACGTACAGTACGAGTGCAGCCGATAAAAGATTTTCTCCCCGGCTAGTCACCACCTACAGAGCTCATCCCAAGAGTCACGAGGACATGGATGCAAATAAGCTATCAATCTGGATAGGATGTGCTCCCGCACCAGCCTCCGTCGTAACAGTGTTTGCGCATGGGAGGTGAGTCAAGGCTAGAAGTAAGGTAGATCCAGTAGGGCCGGACACCGGAAGCCCGAACCGTTCATTGTCTCCCCGGCTGATTGCAGACTAGAAGCTTTTTGGAGCATCCGAAGGCCCAGGTGGGAGATGGAGAATGTGCTAGGCAAGGAATGAAGAGAGGGAGCGAGGAGAGAGAAGGAGCGTGAGATCAGTCGATGTGCATACGGAAAGCCCATACTCTGCACTCGACGACGTCCTCTTAGCACCGTACGACCAGAGCACGATTTCCTCATGTGGCTCACGGGGCGTTCAGATCTCTCTCTCTCTCTCTATCTCCCATAAGAGAGGAGAGACACAGTTGATCAGTCGTTTTACCCTTTTCCTGTCTGTCCAACCTATTTATGGCTCAGTAATCAGCGGCTTTTTCGGTTCCGTCAATCGAATTCGCTTTCATTAATCAGTTGCAAAAGAGATGCGGTCCGCGAGGGAGAAATGATTGTACATGGATCCCCGGGGAGAGGGGGAGGGGATGGAGAGGGAAAGAGGGATCGAGTGATGGATCGACCGTCACTGGGTGGGGGAGGGGAGATCAGCGCCGACGAGACTGGCGTTCGTTGATGAGAGTCTGAGCAGTGGACGTCAGGGGACTCCGTGATGTGATTAAATGAATCATCATCCTCATCAACTTCTGACAGGTGTGAGGGCGGGGTGAGACCACCACAAGAGAAGCGACTGGGAAGCGAGCGAGCGCGGGGAACGAGTGCTGTGATGAGATGTGAGGATACGGTGAATAAAGAAATGATTTTGAGGATTCATGCACTCATTTGAAGCACGCAAAGTCCAGAGATAAGAATGAATGTTCTTCGGATCTCAGACAGAACAAAGGCCGCAGGCGAAAGGAAAGCCGAGTAAGGCAAAACTAAGCACAGCCGAGAAAAGCGATCCGATGGATCGAGCCGAGCCTGCCTAGCCCCGCCCAGCCAAGCCAAGCTGAGCTTAGCTGAAAACGAGAGGACGGAGCGGAGGTGTGCTGAGTTGAGCCGAGGCGAGGCGAGGGAGATCAGGGCGAGTGCCGATCGAGTCACGGAACGATGAGCCACCGGGAAACCATGACACAGCATGACAGAGATCACAACATGACAGAGAACAGAGCTTTACATGTGTCGACCATTGATGGGAGTCAGAATCTACACACGATGTGTCAAGATTCGAGTGTGTGGCCCCGCAAGAGGTCACGACCCAGTGCTCGGAACCTACATAAGTCTCGCACTATTGCCTTAAAATCACCCACAGAGAACTGATAGATAAGCAACAGGATTCGAGAATTTGCCGTGGGGCAGCTCGCCCAGGGATTTTCTTGACATCAATCATAGATTCTCTCTGATCTAATTTCTCCTGTATGTACGGATTGTCCTCATGGGCGCGTTTTATATTTTATTTCTTTTCTGTTTGGTAAAAGAACTATCGTGTGCACCTTGCAGGCTGAAAAAGCACAAAAGCACAAAAGCACCTTTGCTCCATCGGTGACGTGTCAGGTTCAGCTCACTTGGATCCTGAATCCGACGGCACCCCATTCCAACTAGCTGTGATTTTCTGATCGACCTGTCTGCTGGAATTGCTTGTTTGATAATCCACACTCAAGATAAGCTTGTACTTCCCCCCCTGCTAGAGATTTGGTCAACTTTCACGCGATCCAACTGTTGCAGGCACAGGCAGGAAGGAAGGAAGGCTGTAGTCAGCAAGGGCGAAGGAAGGAAGGCAGCAGGCAGCAGGAGGAAGAGGCAGGCCAGGCCAGCCCAGGCAACAAAGCGAAGTTGCTTCTCCTCCTAGCACCGAAGAAGATGATGGAGCCCTGTGCCCAAATTCTCCTGGTCCTTCTGCCCCTTCCTCCTCCTTTAAGAGCTCGGTCATTTTCATATGCGCTCTCCGCTCGCTTGAACGCAGAGGGCCGTGACCCAGAAGAGCAGCAGCAGCAGCGCCATCAGTCGAAGGACAGGACCCTACTCGTCCTTCTCCTCCTATTCCAGAATTTACCAATTCCCTCGGCGTCCTCTGCTCCTCCGTCCCCTTTCACCCTCGCCTCTGCTCCTCCTCGAGAGTTGTAGTACTCACAGCACTAGCACTAGCATTAGCAGCAGCAGCATCGACGACGACAGCGACGAGCGCACAGCGGGGGCAGTGGTCGATTGATTGTATGGATCAGCCGGCCGCAGCAGCGGGAGCGGGAGCGGCGCCGGAGATCGTCCTGTGAGGCGCAAGGAAGCGCGTGATCGCTCGCATCGAGAGGAGCGCATTCTCCCGGCTCGCTCCCGAGCCCGCCCCCGAGCATGGAGCGCCGAGCAGCAGTGACAGCAGCAGCAGCAGCAGCAGAGATGAGCGGCAGCGACGAGGGCTTCGAGATGGGGGGCAGGTACATTCCCAAGGAGGTGATGTGCACAATTCTGGCCCGGCTGCCGGTGCGCGCCTTCGCGGGGGTGTGCAAGCGGTGGTACTGGATCGTGAAGGACATCGAGTTCCAAATTATGAGGCAGCGCCTGGGCGCGCCCAAGGAGCAGCCGTTCCTGCTCTGGAACTCGAATCACGTCGAGCAGCCGTACGCCTACGACCTGCTGCTGCGCCATTGGCTGCCGTTCCCGCTCTCACCCTTCGCGCGGGTGGCCCAGAATTCGCCCTTCGAAGTGCACTCCAGTACCGGCGGGCTCTTCCTGCTCAAGATCGATGTCAACGGCATGCGGACTTACGCCACCGTGAACCCGCTGTCGGGATCGTACCGCCTGCTGCCGCCCATGCTCGAGCAGCCCAAGAATTTCAAAGTCATCCAGATGGTGATGGACGACGCGGTGGACGGCAAGTTCCTAATTCTGGCCGAGGGCTGCGACCCGTACGTGACGGACCCCAACACGCCCAAGATCCAAATCTACGACTCCATCCGCAATGCATGGCAAATGGCCGGCGGCCTGCGCCCGCCGCGCCCGCGCAACTATCTCACCGTGCTGGTCCCGGCCGAGGACCGCATGGTGTTCCGCAGCGCGGCCACGCTGCGCGGCAGCCTCTACTGCCTGGCCGTGACCTCGCGCACGGCGCAGGTGCTCAGGTTCGACGGCGCGGACCTGTGGCACGCAATTCAAGCGGAGCTGCCGTGGTGCATCGCGCCGCAGGCCATGGGCAGCACCGCGCCCATGAACGCCGCCATGTGGACGCCGCACCTGTTCGCCAACCGCGGGCGCCTGATGCTGGTGGGCGCGCAATTCCGCAAGTACCACACTCAGCGCCGCCCGCTCTACGGCGTGGACGAGCTGGTGAACCTCTGGCGCCACGACTCCTCGTCTTCGTCGACCACGGCCTCGGCCTCGTCGGCGGCCGGCGCCGCGGGCGCCAGCGACTGCGAGGTGGACGAGGGCGTGCACGTCTGGGCGCTGGACGACGAGCAGACGGAGTGGGTGCACGTGCACCGGATGCCCGCCGATCTCTTCGACGGCTCCGTCAAGTCCTACGAGTTCCGAACGGCCGGCGATTTCCTGCACGTGAGCCCGTGGCCGCGCAGCTCCGACTGCACCGCCATGCTCATGGCCAACCTCGCCACCGGCTGCTGGGAGGCCTTCTCCGAGCCCCCCTGCAACCGCGCCAATGTGGTCAAGAAGGACAGCCTCCTCTTCCAGCACACGCTCTACGAGCCCAGATTGACGGCCGTGGCCTAGACACCCGCCCGCCCGCCCGCTCCCGTCCCTGTCTGTCTGTCAGCCAGAGATAGAGAGAGAGAGAGCGCATCGAGAACGACGACGAAGAAGATCAAGATCAAGAACAAGAAGAAGAGGAGGACGAGGAGGAGGAGCAAGATGATACGCAATGAGATCTCTGCCGTGCGAGTGCAAGGCCGAACTTACGGATCGCTGGCAAGCAGCCAATCCCTGGCCCCCGCGCGCTTAGAGAAGATGAGCAGAGCTGAGGAGAGGAGAAGAGGAAAAGAGAGGAGGAAGGGCGGGAGGGAGTTGATCGAGGCTGGCAAGAGTCGGCTGGACGTTCCTAAGTGTGCAGTTCTAGTACAAACAGAATGGAAGATCTTCCACATGCACGTTTGTTTACCAGCTCAAGTATCTGATTGACATAGCCATGTCAGGTCCGAGTGTGATGAACTGTTGCCACAAAGGACTTGTTGTCGTTCTTGTTTGTACTCTAGGGATAGAATACCTCGTTCTATTCGTGTAACTTAATGCCTTGGTTGAATAGGACGCTCACTCGGGTGTGCTCTTGCTTTCCCACATACGTCCTCGTCCACGTTGGATCCGGTCCAGTCCGGTCGAGTTTGCGCCGAGCGAGAGTGAGAAACTGAGCGTCGGTTCAGGGTCAGGTGTTTTGCGTCTCACAAATTCTTGACAGCTTTTCTGGAGGTTCCGGGGTTTTCCAGGTTTGTTGCTAGCTTCTGAGACTTGGACTTTCTCTGCTTGTGTCGATCGAGTTTTTGTGTGCTACTCCAAGATGCACATCTTTCGGTCCGAGGTAACGGTCTCTCGAAATGTACTACCGATAAGAAGGGGTTCACGCACTCGCTATTAAGACCGAATATAGCCAGAAGCACACTGTCGACCAATCGCTCTCCGATAATGGTTTCAAATTTGTATAATCAGGTTTGGGGTCAAGGAAAACTTCATCTGCTCTGCAGGTCTACCAAGGATCGCATCTTGCATCACTTCGCAGCAAACAACGGTGATATTGAGCTTAAATCTTTGCTGTCAAAAATGTGATCAGGCTGTTTCATAACACAGGAGCTTAGCCTTTCGAAGCAGCTGGTAGACCAGCACTTTCTAGAGTATGCTACACACTGAGAGTTGTCATGACATTGTTAGCGCATACTCCGACGTTTGATCTCTCCGTTTGAACTCATACGCCTCAAGCGCTTCTGTAGTCACCCGGATTCGCAGTATATAGATGCCCTGGCTGATATGTTGCGTATGGCACTGCCGAGGAGAGGTATCTTGTGTCAACGAGAAATTTGTCCTTTTTGTTTAGAAAGCTGTGACAGGATCTCGTTGTAGGTCCGAGGTGGGGATGAGTTTCCTCAGAGTCTTGTCGTTGAAACACCAGGACTCCTCATATATTTATATAAGGAAAAAGGCTGGAAGGATTAAAAAATGTACGATCTAGGAATCTGATAACGTGTGCTATTTGTTCGTATACAGAGTTTTTCCTTTGTTCCAGGAGAATAAAACACTGTTGATTATATGCTCAGTATGCTCAGGGCAGGAATTTCATTTCCTGGGTGAAATACTGGAATCTTTTCTCATGAATATCTAAGGTCTGGCCACGTGTTCTGCGTTCAAGGGATATTTTGTTGCACTGATCGTGTCGTATTTTCTTTCTGCGAGCCAGTTCCAGCAGGTGACATGTGGTTTGTTCCTTCGTTCCTCGGCGGTGTCGTTCATAATGGTTCAGTGTGCTGCAGCTGAGTTGGGCTCCATTATTGACCACTGTTGATTTTTAGTCACCATTCCTCCATGCAGCGTTAAAAACTTCTCATCGGTCTTTCATTATCTGTATGGACGTGTTGGCGATTCAAACTCCACGTACAAAAGCACACCCCAAGAGAGTCTTTGCGTGAGGGTATAAAGTCGCATGAGTGAAAACCGCATTTTGGTGATTGTTGTGTCCTGTTCTGGGCAGAGACAGCCAACAGCAGCTTGCAAGTGGTATAGCTGAGCAGCTCCTAAGGCTTATGCCTGTATTCCGTGCCCGATATAAGTATTGAATCTAGACCCCCTCGCATGCCTTATCTGACTGCCAGCAATACACCAAGAGTAAGTACTCACATCAGAATCTTGCTATGCAAGAACGATGCCTTGCATTGTGTCCTTTACCAAAGAATAGAGGGATTTGTCTTCGATTCTTTAGCCTTTCATTCACTCACGTAGTCCTTTCACTACTTGCACTTGCACCCACAGTAACCGCTTCTTCATATGTCTAGTCTTACACGTTTTGATTATGGAAAAGACATGTGGGGTTTAGGCTCTGGTTACAATACTCAAGATAATTTCAAAAATTTGAACGAGCATTGAAACGGATGAAGCTTTAGTTATAATTAGGTTTAATTGTCAGCAATTCTCCAAAATTGCCCCTCAGATTACTTGCTATATGAAGTTTGTTTGTTAGAAAACCCTTCTACGGGTACACTGGTCAAAGTAATAAACTTAATTCTAGAAATAGTGTTACTTACACAATTGTTCTTTCATGGGGTTCTGGCAAAACATACACTAATCTAGTAAGTCGAAGTAGTCAAATGGTAAGCCCTTTCAACTAGATCTCAAGAACTTGAGTTTACCTCTACTCCTCAGTTCTCATGTTAGAGGTGGAATGTTAATTGTGCAACATTAAGTGGCATCTTTGCCAGGAGCTTTTCTGATGTGGATAGCCAAACAGAATAGGGCTAAAAGTGTAGGCGTCTTTTTGAACTAATGATCAATTCAAATACCCCTTGACATCACGTGTGTTTCTAGGAGTTTGTTTTCAACACTTCATTTGTACTCCTTTTCTGTCCTTATGGTGTGGTTCTAGTAGTTTCTTTTGTACACTTCAGTTTCTTAGAACATTTGTAAGCCTTTTCTATCCTTATGTGAGTATATCCATCGTTGTGTACTCGGTTTCTTTCTTATTTGAATTCATGAATTCTTAGACAAGTTCATTTGTTAGAGACACGATTTATTGGCAATCTTGTACAATGGAAGTTTAAACTCATGACTTTCTCATTCTAGTGATTCATTTTCTTCTAAGAAGTGCTCATTTGACAATAACCTACATCAAACAAAAAATCTCCATATAGATGTTATTTGAAAGAAATCATTTGGTAAAGATTTCATTATTTGACTTGACAGATGACCGATTTAGCCTCAATCTAATTTTTTCCAATATAATACAGTTTATTTGAAAAATTACAAAAACATTCTCACAATTTAGTCTCTAGATCTATAGTTATTATATTTACATCTATTATAAGACGTATGTTAGTTCTATAAATGTCACAAATATGCCTAATCATATTGTATTATTTGCCACTTTTAGTTATCCATATTTAGTGTTATAAATGTCACAAATATGACTAATCATATCGTATTATTTGCCACTTTTAGTTATCCATATTTAGATTTTGTAAATGTCACAAATATGACTAATCATATCATATTATTTGCCACTTTAAGTTATCCATTTTTAACTGTTGAGTTACTTGTGTATTATGAATGTCCAAATTAAAGATATCACCCTGATTTTATATATCAATATATTATAAGTTTTCATCATATATATGGCCAAATATCAATATATTTTTGAGATATTCAAAAATAAATTCCACAATTTTCTATGCATATTTTTTAGATTTGATATACCGCTTTTTCTATCTTGTCATAGTGAAAGCAATGTGAGTATTTGATGCAAATAATAAAAGAACATGGAATTTTTCCACTTGTAATGTTTTTGGATCAAAACTTTCTTCATTCTACATTTTTAATTCTTCAAAGTTTGAAGCAATAATATAAAAGAGTATTTACAATTTGCACTTGTCTATGATGAATATTCTAGATAGATTTCTGACGTATATATTCCAAAAATTTGAAATACGTGAATCATAGTTTCAAATATTTACAATTTTTTGAATTTAAGATCCAAACATATTTTTGATGCATAAAGATGTTTCTATACAAAAGTAAGAAAACAGTATAATCTTGAACTTATCAATATAAGTGTTTATCTTTAATTATTAGATTATATAAAAAAATTTAATAATATATTTAAAATTTATTATAATTCATTTATGCAAATATAATTATTAAACATATATTGTTCTAATATCATAATGTTATGAAGTGAGTTTTCAGCGTTGAATTTGCTTGTACTTCTTTAACTTGTTGAGGTTAATTTTGGTTAAGGAGAAAACTCATGTGTAATTATTTATAGCTGAGATTGGTCGTTTACGTTGGGTATTTATACCTTGATGCTTCTACGAGTATTGCTATATTTTTCACCTGAAGTAGCAAACTCTCTCAAGTGTATTACTTCGTGAACGTAGTCCTTGAGTGTGAACCACGTTATACATGTGTCTTTTGTAGTGTTAGTTTGCTCACTCTAATCTTGAGTTTTAATCGTTAGAATTGGTATCAAAGCTGGTTTTGATTCGGAGTGTGTGACAAGTCTTGTCGTGTCGAACGTGAAATTTTGCTGACGGTTTTCTAAGACAAGATTTACTAACGGTTTTCTAAAACGAGATTTCTTTACGGTTTTTTTTGATATAATTCTTTTACCCAAATTTTAAGTTGACAGTGAAAGTTTTCTAACGCATGAAGGTTTTTGGGTTGAAGATCAAGTTTATAACAAACTTGTGAATTGCAACAAGTGATAACCAAAATCTTGTTGCTGCTGGTTCATTCATTCTTTTTAATTTGAGCCATCCATCCATTGTTCGAGCGAGGACGATGTGTTTGTGTGTATATCTAAGCTCATAATCTTGTTACTTTGCAAGGGCGGAACATTCTCGTCTCATGAGTTCTTTCTAGATTTTAGTTTGAGAATTTTTGGTCAGGAGGATTCAATCAGTTTCGATTGAGCTCGCGAGATGTGTGTTGTTTGTTGTGATTCCGTATGTGTTCAAGATTTCCAGCGATAGGAGGAGGAGAGGATGTGCATACACTTGTTTGAGTGAGCCAAGCCGGTCATTTTGGTCGTTTGGTTCATGGAAAGAGTGGCTTAATTTGGATTGCTTATTATGAATGTTTAAAATTTGCGCTCGCGAAACTTTGACTTGAACGACAATGCGTCACTTGGGCTTGGTGTTTGTCGTCGGTCCGGTATGCGAGTCTTTGTTATTTCTTCCACAAGCAGTTTTTGGGTGCCAATCGGTGAGTGATGATGCAGATGATGTTTGAGTGGTGGGTTTTGAATACATTGCTTTGTGAGGAGTGGAGCATGTGCGTGTGAAGTACGGCGGAAGACAGATTGGAGGCTGATAGTGCAGGGAGGGAATTTCCGATGAGATTTGTTAAAAACGGATGTTTAGTGAGTTTTCATTGCAGGATTTGATCAAAATTTGGCAAAATAGTGATAGCATTGAATAAATGTTGTGGATCCGATGACTAGTTTAATGTATTAGTGTACATGGAAATGGCGGGCCGTCCTTGAGGTTGCGGACCACACCCCAGATCACGAACCATTCCGAGCGGCGTGGCAGGTCGCAGCCCAAGCGTCGGGAGCAACGGTGAAGGAATATTCCGTCATAAACACCTCTTAGAAATATTTTTTCATCGAAGTATAAACAAATTGGATATTGTTAGAAAGCTCTTGACGCGAAACATGCATCTGGACATTTCTCAGGAGCTGAACAATGATTCAAAAGGAGGAAATTAACTTGGAAGCCACCATTGTATCTGTTTTTTGACTTGTAGAGTTGACAGAGCGATAGATCAGTGGCGGTTTTTGATATAACATAATACCTTTCGATGACCAAAGTGATTATTTGTTTTGGAAAAAACAAGTAAAAGTGAAGTTTTGATCCATGGGTCTAACAATATACCTGAGAGAAAAACTTACTAACATAAATGAAACTGAATGATGTGCTACTCAGGACGAAGCAGTTTGCATGGTGTTGGCATACTTAGCCCCTACCATACTCAAGCGGCTTGAGGAGTATTATTATGAAGCTACGATTCATTATGAAGCTCGACACGAGAATCCAAGATCATATTCATGCCTTTCAAAATCTATTCGTGTTTATTTGAATTATAGGAGAGAATTTTTTTAACACAAAGAAGATAATGCATATTCTTCCTTTATTATTGTCTACCTATGAGATGCTATCAAAGATTATTCTTCATCATTAGAACACGACACTCACTTACAATGAAGTTGTAAGTGACTTTTTGACGGGCGAGATAGAGCTGGAAATGTTATTTCCCTCCATTCCCATCCACTTCCGGGATAACACTTATTATGACTCGAAGTCAATGACAATCGATGGATACCAACGATTTACGGCGTTCAGGATTGAAGAAACAGAGATCAAAATCTCATGAACAAAGTAGATTCCAGTTTATGGTTCAATCATTTGATAGAATGAATGTTATTTGTTGGGGATGTAAGAAAGGTCACATCATGAAGGATGATGCCATATGAATGATCGATACATGTCTATTCTTGATAAGAAAAAAGTTTTAGTTAAAGTTGATTTGACATTTTGTGAACATTGCATCATGGAAAAACAGCATAGGCGAGCTTTTGACGTTGGAATTCATAGTTCCACAGAGAT